TGATTAACTTTAGCTATGAGAAAACGAGTATAGTCCGTTGAAATTACGTAGTCAGCCATCTCACCCCGTCCTTTCCCGCCTATCACGTAGGTAGGTTCTAGGTGTCTAGTTAATTTATACAGGCTAGGTACGTTTTATTTTGTCTACCTACCTAAAACATTCTCTCTTATTTAGAATTGATGCCATTTGTATGCCTTATTATAGTGGTTTTAGCTGGTATGTAGATATATATTTAAGCAGATAAATGGCTAAAAATACACTAGATTTCAGTATGCAATCAAAATTTTAAAATGAGTTTTAGTTTCGGTTTCGGCCGAAGCTGAAACAAGGGCCGGAAGTTCGGTTTCGGTTTCGGCTGAAAAACCTGTTTCGGTCAGACACACACACAGTCGCTAGTGAGTAATAAAAAATTGTTAGGCTAACTAAACACTAAGGCAATCAGGTTCAGGTATAGTGATGTATTTCCGCAGATAAATATGATGGCTAAGGTTCGAAAGCAAATAGAATAGGGTAATCAAGTGAGGTATATGCTTTTCTTATAACTTTGTTATTTTTTTTATAGGTCAACTAGCAACCGAAATTACTAGCATTTCTGTTTACCCCTCGTTTGCTTAATTGCTTGTATTAGGAGTAGGTTCACGTCGGTAGTGTACTGGTCAGGATTTGAACCCAAGATCTATTGATCGCAAGTCCAACGCCTTAACCACTAGGCTACCGCCGCTTTTGTTAGGGGTAAAACGTACATGTGTATACGTGTATGTGCACTTTTTTTTTAAACCCATGCGAGCTTTCAGACCCAATGAAACGTTGACTTATCTGGTAAGGTCGTATTAACAAGGTTACAACGAAATGTTAATGTGAAGTGGACATTGTCAATATCGAATATCGAGACAATAATACCTACATATGTATACTAAAAGTTTTACTTATTTTTTAAACTATCTACAGTTTAAACGGATCATTTTGATCAAGTACATATTATATGAGTTTTCCAACATAATTTCGTGGAATTTAATGCTTATAAATATCTCTCAGTTGGGCCATCTTCCCTAATTTTTTCGCACTTGTTTTATACAAACATCGTCTTCCGACACATCTACATACACCATTATTGTGTAGGTGTAACGCAAAAAACGTGAGATAAACTGATGTTTTTAAAGTTGTTCACACTAGAGATAGTTTACTAATAACCAAACAAAGAATGCATTATGTTTTGTCGAAACTAAACTACTTAACTTTCCCTTGAAATATAGGTGCTCCCAATTTGTCCATTTATAATCCCTAACGTGCCTAGTTATCCCTCTACTGTGTGAGATCAAACAATAATTGACAAAATATGGGTATTTCCTACGCCTATTTCTTTGAGTATAAATTAATGCAATATTTTTTTGAAATAAAAATAGGTAATGTTTTATTTTACAGGTTTTACTCTTAATTACTAGTTAACAACATAACTCGTAAATAAACACGTACCATTCTAATTACATACGCTACGCAAACGCAGAGAAAAAAAAACAAATTCCTTTTAAAATATTACAGTTAGTCATATGCAATATAAATACGAGATGGATATGTGGAGGTGTCATAAACCCACGTTTCCTCGAGAGAAATCTCCGATATTGAAATGGTCTTCGGCGCGGCAAACGCCCAGCGAACCTAAATACAAATGCAATAGATAGCGCTACATATTGACACTTATGTTAGCGACAGGCCCTGCACAGGACATACTCGTATACGACGTTTATTTAAGTTACTAAAATGAATAGAATGGTGGAATTCACTCACTCCAAAATCAAAATCATTTATTTCAATTAGACCAATTATAGGTTTTTGAATAGTCAGGAGTAGAGGTCAGCCAGAAGTTAGCTGTAAATACGTAGATAATATGGATAAGAACAGGCAACGAAAAACTACATGGATAAGTACTCTTTCAATCAGGTTTTTCTGTTTTTACAAGATACCTATTACATTCTTTATAAGCTCAAATTAAATAAGTGTAAGAACAATCGGGCAATATTACTATGGTATTTCAGTCCAGATACGTGCCAGCCATCTTTCAGCTCATCCAGGAAGCTGGTCGATCTGACCCATAGGTACGTCACCAGCAACAAGACTTTAAACTTAATAGACCATACAGTTCTCATACGAACAACTAAAAACTTTAACTCTAACACATATAACAACAAGGTTAAGAGTATGCTAGATCATGTGAATTATTTGTAATTATAAAGTATATCGATAAACTGATGCATGTCACACACAAAACAAGACGATGATGAAAACGAACTACTCAATTAAATCTGTAATTATGAACCATTCTGTAATGGCATACAGGATGGTACAGAATTACAGATTTTGCGCAGGACCTGCGCCATATTCTGCCGAGCTATAGCAAGGGTACTATGCTCTTCTAAACAGTGTGTTTTATACAGTCTTAACATTTAGTTACAGAATGTAGGTATGTTACAAATCAACAAAGATGAAAAATGTCTGGACTTCTAATAACTTGTTTTGGTGGGACTAATTCACTCCCATCGTTAGTATTGTAATTATGTCACTTACACCTTCTCGTAAAAAGATGCAAATTATAATATGTTTATAGGTCTAATAGCTCTTTTCTGCAAAATGAATATACTATACATAAATATATTAATACACCACTATATCATCTGCATAACGCATACGCTAAACGTGCCTTCTACTTTTGTGTTGAAAGGACAATATATCACGTAAAACATCTGTTAAGTCAAATTACTTTTTAACGAAACAAAATATTTTTTTACGTTAAATGCATTACTAATTTCTAATCATTTCGAATTAAGTAACGGTATTCGTGCCCGCTGATATTTACAAGTTATTTCATTCCCAATTTCAATGCATTATTGTATTGGAAATCAGTAGTGTCAACAAGTTATCAAAGTTAGTAAAAAAGTTAGTTTTATAACAAACTGGTACACAGTTAGTAAATTTCAGTGATAGAAGAAAAATATGTACTCAAAAAAATTACAAGTCTAGTAAGAAGAAATGTATTCTTAGGAAGGAGACAACTTCATTAGGGCCAAAGCAATTGTACGCAGAGCGGCAATAATCCACCGACGCGGCCTACTCGGCTCGCTTACGCTTAATCTTGTTTACGATACAAAACCCCACAAGAAAGTAGTTACGAAAGTGAATTTGAGTTAAACTTGTATCGAATACTTAAGTCAATGCAATACACGAGCGCTTGCGGTATACACTTTATATAGATTTAATAAACACTGGGCTCGTTAAACTATTTTCGTCTTTGTTTTTATATTACACAAATCACTGTTGTGAAACGCTCGAAAGCAGTTTAATGGCAACTATAGAATTGGGTACTTTGCTACGACGACAAAAGCTATTTTTTTACTTTTGTTATTTGCACAAAGAAAACAAAACAAACATCAAAGGTGAAGAAACGTAAACAAAATCGTATGATCGCTCACGAACCCTCATGCTCGCTAAGAATCAATTGTAGAAGCAGATGTAAATCATAAAGTTAAGACCTTGACTTACAAAGCATTTTAATTCTAAACTGACATATACCTCAAATGTAGCTTAGTGAAGCTCTGTAAGCTTATGAAAGACGAAGAAGGTAAACAAGCAGCACCCTTACCCGCTGATGCCAACCGCAACGTAAACGTGTTCTTATTAGCTATACACATTTTAGGGGAAGTTATACGCTAGCTCGCTTTTTTGTAAGTCTCACAATTTACTTATATTTCTGTGTGTGTGATAAGTCTGTGATGTGACTTATTCTCGTATAAGCTGATAAGGAAAATATATTATCCAAATACTAAATCTTTATTGCTATAAAAATAAATATAAGTTGGGTTTCAGCAAATCTCATCATGCGTTCATAATGTTTAGTAGTCATGTTTATAGTTCTTAGTTCGCCATCCTGATGGATGATAAATATTATCAATGCAGAATGCCCATGTATATTATTATATACATGGGCATTCTGCGCTGCGAATTAGCACAATTTTTTTTCGGCAACTATTAAAGTTCCAGAAGATTTTGACAGGTGCTCATAATAAGTCGCAGAACCACCTCCGTCCTCCATAAGTGCAGGCCTAGGGGTGGTAGGTAAGGCCATCGTCACTCTAGCAGAAGTAGGCCGCCCTTTCGGGAGCACAAAGGGGACGTAGGGGTTCCCACACAGGAGGGGGTCATTTACACATCGTACTCGTAGATGGTCGGGGTATCAGGGATTTCCTTCCTAGGGTACACCTGGTTCCCCGGCAACTGGTACCCGAGACGGCGTGCGGTTTTTTTTCGGTTCGAGTCCGACATAACCACGGGTAACGGGGATTTCCGCACAGAAAAAAAAAGGTGCTAAGAATAAATCTAAGCCGACTTATTGACAAACTTTATAGCCGATAAATCTGCAACAGACAATAAATGAAACGAAATTGTAGCCCAAGATATCATAGTGTAATTACCCGAGTGATGAGCTTGAAATACAACGGATACAGCTGATCAAAACTAATTACTCTGTACGATCATATAACTGAACTAAATATGTGTTTTATAAACGTCTTTTTACTTTTGCTGGATAATGGGAATTCTTACTACTATTTTCTGAATCATTTTCTGGTAATGAAACATTATAAATACCTCGAACAAGTATTAATAATTTCCCTGTAAACTTTTAGTGTAAACGACGAGGTAGCAATTCTATAATTAGTCAGTGATCAAGTTTGAAGTACCTACTCTATTGAATCTGGCCATTCTATACCTATTGCTGTGATGGTTTTTGACGAGCTAAACAAGCGACGATAAACAGCATTGTTATCATAATTGCAAAAGTCATAACGCTAGGTCAACATATGTATTGCGTATCACCACTCGTTCAATCACGCAATCATTATTTGCGTGTAAGATACGGATATTGTTCAGTTTAGGCTGTCTTATCCATTTAATGCCTTTCTTCTGGTTAAAATCTTTTGTTTGTTGAAAGAAAAACAACATGTACTCACCTAAAACTTGATTGAATATTTTGTCAAAATTTACTTCATTCTTCTTTTCCATATACTTGTGCATTACACTTCGTACACTGAAACAAAACAACATTTATTTAGTACAGACTTCATTAGACACGTAAAGGCGAAGTTCGTAACAAATTTATCAATAAAATATACATAATATAACAAAAACTATTGAGGCACGACTTAAATAAAATCTTAGTTTATCGTTTTGTTTACCATGTGACGGCCACTAAGACTTTTTTTCGTGGAGCCGTGGCTTTGAACTTTTTACGACCATGTCTGTGACGCCTTGGTAAACTGAGAGTCTATGTGCAAAATACCTACTTTGTCAGTAGTAAAGATTACAAAAGGTAACGGTAACGACTCTACATATGTAATTGTTTTTAACAACAATGTTTGAATTATAATCAACAGTAGTGTGATACGTCAAAATTACTTCAAGTGACAGTGCCTACTTGTCATTTTTAGTGAGATATACCCTATTCAGATCTGATTTATAGACTGCACCATACCAAGGCACATGGATCAGGTAGTTGGGCTGCTGTTCTGCAGTAAGTATTAACTACTTTGAACATCTAGTTGAGAAATATTTTTCGTGTACACATAATGTTTAAAAAACAATTTTTGATTATCAATTACAATAAAAAGTAAAATAGCATAAATTATAATAAAGAAGTGGTTCAACTGGATAAAAATAAAAAAAAATCTAAACCAGCGCAGTATGATCACAGATAATAGAAAAGGTATAACGAGAGTAACCAATAAAAGTTCTCGCACTGATTAGTTTGTTTACTTGTAGTTTAAGTCCGCCAAGTCCTACCTAGTCCGGTTGATGGAAGCTTCCTGTATGCTGGATGAAGACCACCACCTCTTCTTCTAGTCTTAATATTTTACAGGCACAGAGATATCATAAAAATATATTTTTATCCTTACGAATTGATAAAAATAAATTGGTAAAATTAAATCACATATTATGTAGATGACCGTAGTTTTAAATAAATCTGGTTCAACTGTAGCTATCAAAATTAATCTTTATTGAATTTTGTTTTCCGTAAGCTACCGATTTTATTCTAAAAGTCAACATTTAAGATTTTTATGTGTTACAAACTCGTAATTAATAAAAGCATTAGTCAAGACTTTTAACATTAAAGCATCTGCATGAAAACATACTTTGTGTGTGACTATATAACTTTCCTTCAGATTGTGCGCAGTAGAAACTAACTTTCCCACAGATTAAGACACTCTTGTTTTATAAAATCGGTGAAGTGCCTGGGTTATGTATTCAATGTATAGTGGCGCCATGTGGGCGCAAGGCATTGTAGGTAAGCTGTTAGTGACTAGCAAGGAAATACGAAATGGAACTTGTCATTGAAAATGGTTTTTCTTGTTTTCCAAAACGTTCTTCACGATCTTTTGCATTCGCTAAAATCGTTCATTACTGCATACATGAATCTCCGAAGATGGTACCTCCAAAACATGGGTTTAAAATGCATCAACCACTTTGTCTTTCGTCGAAAATCGTTGACTAATCGTTTCAGTTTGATGATTGAGAACAAAACGAAGTAATCGGTTACCAAATCAGGACCAAACTGGATGATCCATTAATCCGAAGTTTTCAGAGATCAAATAGGCGGTTGTTTTAATAATTATATGAGAGCTTGCATTGTTATGGTGAAGATTTAACCGTTCGACATGGCTCTTAGGAGATTGATGCTATATGATCAGTTTTCCCAACAACAGGAAGTTGAATAATCATCTTCCTGTTCTTCGTCGTTGAATACAAATAAAGAATCATAAAAAATCATATTCATCATCAAATTCATAATCAAATCATTAATATATAAAAATAAATCAAATCGTATGTTTAGGAGTATGATTACTGATTTTAACTTAACTGTCAGGACTGCAAGGAAGAAAACCTCTATAAAAAATTACGGACCAGGGGGATGCATGGCTCATGGGACGATCACTCACAAGCGCACTATCAGCCGCAGTACTTGCGGCCTCCTTGGTTTTATATACATCTATGCATCAACGACAGGAAGGAAAACAATAGGAAGAAGGAGAAAAGTCGGAAGGCGGACGACACTTCGTCCCATGATGAGGAAGTTCTACTCCAGACTCGTATTTCGGAGAGAAATCAATCCGATTTCTGGGAGCAGACGAACGTCGGCCACGTATCAAAGCCGACTCGAGTGCTCTTACGGTAATTCCGATTTTGCCCTAACTTGGCGGAAGCTGACACGTCGGTTCTAGCGAAAGGCGAAGCGTGCGAAAGAACGCTCGAGTTGTCCTGAGCCACTGAACTTAGACAGCAAACCGTGGAATCTAGCTCTCTCTTGCCTGTTCCTGGAGGCCATTTGCGTCAAATTATGGACGAAGTGTGGCGAATTATTAATCAGCGCCTGGTAGAACTGGAGATAAGGCTGGACTTTGGTCATATCGTCAGGCATCTATGCGAAGTGGGTCCAGATTTGTCACATGGTCCCATTTAGTGCGTAAAGGGAGCGATCGACGATTGGAGCTTTGTTGCACTTCAAGACAGCAGAGAAGATCGTATCAGAAGAGGTGGAGAGCCGTAGCTGTATACTGTTGGCGTCGTCGTTGGACATCGCCAACACACTGACACAGACAACTGTGTCAGGGCAACGCTCTATTATCACGCTGTAGTTAAGGCGGCTTGTGGCAACCTATTTAGAGAAGCGTACGACTCTACGCTCCTCTAAATAGGTTGCCACAGTTATGTACGAGGGTTAAAATGGAGATTTGAATCGTGGACCCAAATCGTGCTATGGAAAGACTAGAGGTCGTCGTCGCGTAATCTGTTACGCCGACGACACCTTGTTCACAGCCTCAGTGGTGATGCCCGCGCTATTCTGACATACAGTCGTACTAAAAAAAAACTTGAATGTGATGCAAATTTCCAGAACGAATAGAACTTGATCATAACAGATTCTCTGGGGAGTTGCTATAGAATGGTAATCTAACTCGTTTTAAAAGAAAATTATAGATATGAACTAAATTGTTATACTATAACAAACTGCCTACATTGATCGTTTACAGAAAGTAAATTATCCATACTAATATCCATAAAAATATTATAAATACAAAAGTGTGTGTCTGTCTGTCTGTTTATATCTGTTACTCTTAAAGCTTAAACTGCTGAACCGATTTAGATGAAATTTGATATGGAGATAGCTTGATTTTTTATTTAAAGGAGATAGGCTACTTTTTACCGCGATAGCCGACATACACGCGGGCGGAGACGCGGGCAAAAGGTAGTCATATTTTTCAGTTCAAATCATGATAGGTCATTTTGTATGTAGAGGTCATCAACCATCAGCATAAATATATATATATAAATAAATATATATATAGACACAGGGCAAGTTTATCAGATGGCAATTATCACCCAAACAAGACATTCCTGAGTTCTTATCGTATGTGTATATGTCAGTGAACTCTACTAATACTGCTGGCCCCATTTTTATATTTTTGTTAGTGTTTTTGTATGAGTTCTAATAGTGTAGATTCACAATTTGATCTGGTAGGTGGAGGTGCAATCAGGTTTTAGGATTCTTATTTCTTAGGCTATAAAATAAAATTCCTAACATGTTTTTGAGTAATTTAAATGGGTTGTGCCGCCAAAGTTCTAGGACTTCTGCCAGTATTCGACTAATAAATCATCCAGAAACAATAAGTCTGTTTCTAGATGATTTCGCTACACCTTTGGACAAAGTAGAAGAGTAATTTATTCGTTTTTTTGTTATCTGGTATGTTCTGTAATAACAGTAAAAATCATATGTTAGTCACGTGTGCTAGTCTATAACTTACATTTTCCCTTTCAAATTCCTAGTCTTTCAAAATATAAAATTTTTGCTGCATTTATTAAAATGTGAAGGTTAAAATAGTGAAGAGGAAAAATAAAATGTCATATTTTTTATTGCTCTTCTATTAATGAAAACAATACATTTTTTTTTTAATAATATTTTTACACACATTTCAAATACGAATCTAATCCCAAACTAAGCAAAGCCTGTACTATGGTAACCAGACTGCTGATAATGTTGATTGGTAATCTCAGAGTATACATACTCTTTTGATGTCAACTCTGATCTGTTTGGTTTATAATTCCTTAACGGTTTAAATTACTTTAAATTTGGAATTTCTGTTTTATTTGTTCAGACTAAATTGTCATATTCTTGGTCATTATTATTGTCATAGCATGAAAGTGATCCCATTAGCCACATCCACCGTTCAACAGATAATCATACTCATATAATTATAAATACATACATATTATAGATAAAGACACCCAGACAGAACAAATGACTGTGCTCATCCCACAATTATTTGCCCTGGATAGGAATCAAACCCACGGCCTCTGGCCTCTAGCAGTCAGGGTCATTAACCACAGACTAACAGGCTTGTCAAATGATTTTTATAATACTATACCAACAAGATTTATAACTGCATATCATATTAATATATTTCTCTCTGATAGATGCAAATAAGAAAACAAACTTAAATTATGTTAGTAAGTAGATTTTTGTCTTACAATATATGATTTGGGACTGATTCCATTGGTGGCAGTAGATTTAAAGCATTTCTTTCTAATTTATTTTGTCACAAGGCATTCATTACTATCAAAGAAATTTAATTTAATGTAATGTCAATATTCATTAAAGATAAATTTAAAAAAACTAGTATTGTGTAAATTTAATAAACATGCAAAGTGATTATTTATTCAAATTTATAACTGCTGTACTTGTTGAGAGCATTGACCTCCTGAAATGTTAATGTCCTATTTTGTATTTTTATTTTATAGTCTATGTTCAGTAACCTCTTGTCTAATAATCAGCTGCTTTTATACAGAAACATGTCATAGACCACCTTTGTTTCATCTAGCAATGGTAACTACTTACTCAACTACTTTATAAAAGGTATTTTTATATACACATGATTCCTCTCAATTAATGAGGAGTTTGATTACATCGCAATTTGATTAATTTTGTAAACAAGATTACAAAATTCGGATCATGTAAACACTGGCCACACAGTACCGTGTCATCATAACATCGCTCAAATACTTTACCTTGGATCTGGCAGAACTATCTTTTTACTAGCTCGGGCTGCTGGAGTACATTTCGACTTCTCCATAGCCATCAAGTAGCTGACGTCTGCCAGTACAGCCTCGAGGTCCGCCATTTTGAGTCTGTATTTATCACCTTCACCAGACAAATAATAAATAACACTGGTTCTTAACACAAACACTAACTAAATCAAGCCGATTTTCAGCTGACAGTCATAACTTTCCTCACATCACGACTGTTCACCGATTCACGGAATTTGTTGATGAGCGGTGACTGTGACACATGCTGATTATTCACATTCGCTGAATATTTTTTAATGAACATAAGACTACCTAACTTGCTTTTACAATAACACCTTAGAGAGATTATAAGTTTTTGTTATTAATGTAACAATTATTAACACCCAAAGAAGTTAAAAGAAATCATTTGCAATCGCTAAAACGTAATCTAATCCAACACCCGTCACTCCGCAACTTACACACACACACCATCGGACTTCGTAACGCACACAAGTATAAGTTTATGTAAACACGTACAGAATAGAATGTAATAATCATTCACTCACTCACACTTCCAAAATGGAAGAAATCGTTCGGAAACAAAATAATTTAAATTACATCTCCCTTGCCTTTTGTGTTGTCAATAGTCGTGACTGTTATGAAATTAAAAATTACGGACCAGGGGATGCATGGCTGATGAGACGATCACTCACAAGCGCACTTTCAGCCGCAGTACTTGCGGCCTCCCTGGTTTTAAATACATCTATGCATGCCCGGATTTTGGGAGATCATCAAATAGCTTGTAGGGAACAGGCTATTTCATCAGTAGGTCATAAACAAAAAGATCAGAAGAAAAAAGATTACCATGAAAAAATTTAAGATATATTATGTAACTGAACTGTTAATATTATTTATTTAAAAATTACGTTCTGATAGTATTTTAACTCTAAATTTATAGATAAATCTTCTTAGTACTACTTTAAGAGTTGTAACAGAGAATGTAACAGAGAAGATTAAAAATAGGTTCTTAAATCGTTGTCGACAGAAGAAATAATTTTTCAGGCAGCAGTAATGTTTGTGTGTTGAGTTAACACACAAACATTACTGATGCCTGAAAAATTATTTCTGATCAAATTTTAAATGGCTCTTTTGTTTGAAGTATTTGAGAAATGAAATAGGCTATAAAACATCATATTGCAAGGCTTCGAAGCTATATATCTATAAACGTAGGTGAAACTGCGGGTCTTAACTTTATTAAATGGTTAGTAATTTGTAAAAGAAATTACTCTATGGTATGATTTAATTCCTTAATTTACCAGCAGTCTGTACCTAACCATCAAATGGTGGTTGAATTTTGACCTTTTGAGTGTCTTGTTTATGGACTTTTGTAAACAAACATGCCAAGTAACCATGTACTGGACCCTTATATTAGTTACCCTTACAATATATTATTGCGCCTTAGCCGTTGATGCTCTGTGGGGAGGGGGGGGGGGGGGGTTTGTTCAACAATAAAAGTTGTTAGGCTGATGATGAACATGTAATATTTAAAAAAAACCGCTTTCTGCACTTCTTATGTTTATTATAAACACGTAATAATTCAGGCATGGTTGGAATATACTTCCATGTTCAATATTTGTTCATAAAGGGGCGCAATGAATGTTCTTCTAGTATTAATATAATTTTGGATTAAGAATTTGTTGAAATTTTAGTTTTGCTATTCATAAAAGTGCAACAACATAAAAAAACAAGTGTGCAAAACACCTCTCTTTCTTGCCCCTACAGTAATATACGAAACGTAACTCTCTCTCTCTCTTTCTATCTTCGCTAACTTATATCTCCCTCTTAACTTCCGTTCGCCTCGGAGATCACACTTTTCGTAACGCTCACGTCACGCATTCTCTAGCTGACTCCCCAAGACAAACGTGCGTAAAGAAGTTTTACTTCAATATAAATATTGTATATAAAACACAATAAAGACGTATCATACTATTTACACAAAATATAGGTCACTTTTTTATATTCAAGTCGGTATCGTGTCCAAAAAAACCCTTTCGGTACGATTCTTTGGAAATTAACCAGCGAGCAAGAATAATGTAGACTTTAACACCTCATTTTTTGTCTGTGGGTATTTAAATGTCAGATTAGAGATTGTAGAAGAAAATGATTGTGATATTTTGATAAGGCAATATGAGGTAAACGCCGGCGTGTTTTGATAAAAACTGTCTTTACGTCGTCGCTTAGAACTTATATTGTAAGTATAACGGTTTTAAGACAATAACTATTTTTCTATATTGGTCGATCAAATTTCTTTATGGAAAAGTAGTTGTTGAGGTCGTATATCTTTTTCCATTAATATTGCGCATGCAATTATTAGTCTTTTATAATTAACTTCTTCGAGTTCTTCAAGTCGTACATTTTTAAGTATTTTTTTTTTAATGTTTTAAAATATCGTATTTTTCAATTTTTATAATTTAATGACTAATAATATTTTTAGTGTTATAATTTTTTAATACAGTAAAGTTTTAATTTGATGTTTAAAAAAGGTGTTGTATTCCAGCAAAATGATAAAATATTGCCCACCAAACGTGACCCTTGGCGAGGTATGGGTGGACCATGGAATATCACAATGTTTCATGGAGACAGTATCAGCTGTCTTCATAGGTGGATTCCTATTAGTTTTTGGATTGATGCAGATTGTTATGTATAAAAGGTAAGAAGAATTATACAAATACATAATAGTTATTTTGATATGTTAAACTTAACATTACACAACACTTGAAATACTCTATCACATGAATGTAGCCTGTAAATCTGTAACCATAAATGACTTAAGTCACGTTTCAGTTACATATCTTATATTTTCATGGTAATCTTTTATTTCTTCTGACCTTTTTGTTTATGACCTACTGATGAAATAGCCTGTTCCCTGCAAGCTGTTTGGTTAATAGGATTAAGAGGTTTCTCCTTATCTGTGACACTTTCTACATAACAAGAATACTGAAGTTTTACAACTGATAAAATAGTTTGAATATGAATGATACACATATAGATTTTTTTAAAGAAATTCTTTGGTGATCAGACATCATGAATGATGATGATGTAAACTTGAAACAAACCCTATATCAACCTATCTGGCCAGTGTGGTATAGTAGGCCAAAACCTCCTTTTCACTATTAAAGGCTGTTCATGATGTGATTGGTTTTGATATTTGGTAATTGACCATGTACTTAAAGTTCCTCTGTAATTGGTTAGTATTCAATATTATAATAATTTCAGATCAATATTTAAAAAACTAATTAGTTTCTTTGATTTCTGTTCTTTGTAAATTACATCTACTTTGGTATCAGATTCTAACAACTATTGACTAACTATTTACTATTGCCAGTGATGGTTACTGGCAGAAATGGTTTCGTAGCAATTCGAGAGATTCGAGGAGAATGTAGAGAAGTTAGTTGACATGTTTAGGTGTGCTTTGGCTTTGTGTCCCATTAGGGAGTGGATTTTTGGAATGAAAACTTAGTTATGTTTTCTTCCCATTTGACATTATATGAAACTGATAGCAAAGCTAGCTGGATAGCTTTTGTTGAAATCTAATACACATGAGATCAGTGATATCAAGAGTTTTACTAAACTTTGAGGACAAAAATGTGCTTACTGTACAGTGCTTACCAGTGAAAGCACTTTACAGTGTAGTGTCATATCAAAGGGATGGCATGTCAGGGGTTAATTGAATGATTTTGTGATTTCATGCAGAAGTGACATTTCAAAAATTTAAAATGTAGTACATAGAAATCCAATGACATACTTTTTACTCTGAAGAAATAAAACTGTTCTCTAGTTTTTATATAATCCTGCTAGTACACTAACTTAAATGTGTGAAAAACCTTTTTTAGTTTCTTAGTGTGGAAGAATCAAACAAAGGGATATGTTTATTATTTTATAACAATACATACAAGTCTGTACATTTTATTGGCTCATAGGCAGAAATTCTGCCCTCTTCCTCCACAATCATTTGTTGTGTTATTTAATGTTTGTGTTGGAAATATGCTGAAGACAATTTTAAACCTGCGGGCATAACAACATTGGTTTTAAAATAGAGTAGCTAAACTGAAATTTTGATACACCACTTTAATCTATTTATGTCCATATTGTGGTGGCCGAAATCTTTGCATTGGCCTGGCTACTGATTGATAAACCACACTCATCAATCATCATCATCAACAGCCTTTAATAGTCCACTGCTGGACATAAGCCTCTCCTTAGAAAGGAGGTTTTGGCCTACTATACCACGCTGGCCAGACGGGTTGGTATAGGGTTTGTGTCAAGTTTTCCTTCTCTCTGCAGTGCTGTTGTTCTGCGTAGTTTTTTCCCTTAGTCGGCTCTTACGACACCCACGGGATGAATAGGGGTGGTGACACTCTGTATTCTTAATGGGTTACCACACGGACTACTCTAAAACCACACTACTCTAAACCTACTTACTCATCGGATTCTATTTTGGCGACCGATTCCACCCTTCAATAAACCATACAAAAAGTTCCTATGAGTAATTGTCTTTATTCCTGTACTTCCAGAATCTATGGTTAAGTTTTTTTTTTTACGAAACGCCCAAATGTTGTAATGGCAGTAGCAACGTCGATGCAAACGTGAACTCTTTTGTCGATAGAGTTTACCGCCTCGAGGCTACTTATTGGTTAGAAGGCTAAAAGACTCAATGATCCAAAGGAAACCAGCCAACATAACATAACATGTGATGTTTATATTCGGATCCTAAACACTCTGAGGGCAGTAAAATAGTTAATGGAGTAGGGACAAAATACACTGAAGTGCCCAGGCCTTTGTCTTCTACCGACTCGAATCTCAATAAAGGAAAAAATTGTATTCAAAGTTGCTCCCAAGATAAATAGTAAGCACTGGTCTTAATGTTTTTATAAGCTACAACTTATAGAATAATATTACAAACGACAAGATGACGATAACATGTGAAGTTTATCTGTGAACTCAAACAAAGACACGCTGTTTGAATAAAATATATTATCAATTATTGTTTAAACAAGCTGGTGCTCGCGACTTCGTTCGCGTGGAATCCAAATTTTTATAGGGTTTTCCGAGAGGAAAAATAGCCAAAGTTACTCCTTACATAGACAGCTACTTGGTATTAAAGTATTATCAAAATCAGTCCTGCCGTTTAGAAGATTACCCGAACAGACAGGCAGAGAGACAGACAGCCAAAAAATATTTTAACTGGTTTATAGGCATAGGTATCGTTCAAATAGCATGAAAAAGCTTATTATTTTGACATTACAAGCAGACTAGTACGTTCAGCATTATAAACACATATCTTATCTTACTTGATTTTTAATAACAGTTACTTATTATTTCACTTATACTAAATATGAAATATCAATTTTGCGTACTAGTTGATGAGACCAAAATGTTTTCGTTTATTGTTACTGCATCGTTCGTAGCTTCGTTTTATTAAGTGCCTTCGTCTTTCCTCGTATTAATAATTGTTTTAATCGGGCTGGTAACCAAATTTTAAATTAAAGCTACATTTCGCGGGTGGATGGGTTCGTCCGAGTTAGCATGCTTTTAATTCCTTCACGCTGAAGCGACCAGCGACAAACGAAAGCTAGTTCTTGATATTTGTACTAATATTTTGAGTATATAATATGTTGTCATTTAAACTCATCAACTTTTGTAAATCTTGGAACACGGTTCTCTTACGATCAGTAGTTGATTTACATTTCCTCTTAATTTATTCTGAATTACAGCATAGCGGTCTGTGATATCTTAACATAAATTAGTAAAGAATAATATTCGTGATGTTCTGAAGTCAAATTCTAAAATTACGTGATAAGTTATCAAAACATATTTATACCGCACTTATCTGGATTTTTTTATATTAAATGGTAAAGGTAAGCTGGATTTGGAATCAAAGTAACTGTTTCAAAAAAGTTTCGCGATAGACAATCACGACTAAAGACGCGACGAGACACAAAATGAAACGTGTTTGTCCCATAGAGTCGCTTTGCGAGGCGCTTTTGTTATCTTCACAGACAGATGGAATAATTACATTACATATATTATGTAGATGAAAATGAAAAGAGACGTTTTTGATTAACTATAATTATGGTAAATAATGGTCAATAAGTGTGCATTACAGTATATACTATACATATTACGCACACTTACTTGCAGGGTAAGAGGTGAAAGAACGTGAACATGTACCTAATATACAAATCCCACAGAAGTTCATAATTTTAGCTTGTTATATAAGTGTTTTCCAAAACTGTTATTGACCATTATTATTGAAGTTTGGCTCTACATGACATCTGATAACTTTTTGATAAAAAGTAGCTATATGGTCTTTCTTACTTCTGCGAGAATTAATTTAATCGATTTTTGCATCATTTTTGCACAAGTTACTAAAGCTAGAATCTATGGTTCTATATATTTACAAAATTTTCATTAGTGTTACATAATAAATTACATAGTATGAAATCTATCCAATACTTTACGCTTAATACGCGTACCTTACGGAAGAGGTAAGATGCATATTAATGATTTTTTATATCTTTTACAATTTAGGATTTAACATTCGTCTTAATAAACAAAACAAAACTGTGTAAAAATATATTTCACAAACCAAGAATATTTATTGAAAATATACAGTCACTGTCCCGACACCGTCTTATCTTATCGTACTTTTAATAAATTCATATTTACTACTCACTAAACTTTTTATTCAAAAATACCATGAAACTAAAGATACATATGTATTTTTGAAATCAGATCGCTTTTAAGCAAAACAGGAAAACATAAAGATGGATTAATTCACATTAGTTAGACAATAGATTTTTAGTACAAGTCTATCGAAGCCTAGAGTAATAAAGTTCTGCACAAACATTACTGCGGTTTGCATAAGTTGAGGAAACATGTAGGCTCGTTACAACTAAAGGATAATGAGTTTATTATAGTCTTCATAATACTTTAAATGAAATAGGTTTATGAGTATAAAGTATAAGGTGGTATATACGAGGGCTGCTCTTTACGTATCCGGAATAAAAAAGTGAAACAAACGTATAGCATTTATTATAGTTTCATTTTAAAGGCTGTTGATGATTGATGATGATAGTTTTATTGCTTTTCAAAATATTCACCGTGATTATCGATGCACTTTTGCTTACGTTGGAACCAATTTTCGTAGCACTTTTTCCATTCTGATTGTGGTATCTCCATTGCATTGATGCATTTTGAACGCATCAACATTCTCTTCACGGCTCGAAAAACGTTAACCACGTAATTTATTCTTCATGGTTGGGAATAAATAGAAGTCGTTAGGGGGCAAAGTTCGCCCAGTGAGTTGTTTCTGCCGATGTGTGGCAGCTAGCATTGACATGATAAAGAAGGATTCTACGTTGTCTGTTATTCTTTCTTAATTCTTCAAAGACTTCTGGCAAACAAATGGTCGTGTACCATTCAGAATTAACCGTTTTACGATCCCCTAGTGGCACTGTAGCTACATGTCCATTTTTACCAAACAAAACAAGCGACCATTTGCTTCAGTGATTTTTGAACAAATGACATGACTTTTGTTGGGTTCGGCTGTAACCGTTGATTGTTGTTGGAACGAAGTTCCTTATCGCGCGTTGTGAAAGGGGGCTAGACGGAAAAAAATCTTACGAAAATTGGTCACGACACTTTTTGCTATAGTAAGCTATTGTAAGCTGTGCGGCGTCGCATGTTTCTCTGTCTGTCTCTCTCTCTCTCTCTTATAGAAAGCAAGCCAGATATTTTCATTTCTATTTCGCATTGAACAGTGTGGTGTCGCGACGATTATTTTTGTTGAGTGTATACAGGTTTTTTGTAAATAATAAATAATATTACAATTCCTTCACTAATTAATCGAAAGGAACTTCGTTCCATCCGGGTGTCCCTTGACACCTCTCAAGTTTTTTTAGTTTTAGGATCATACGCATATATCCAAGATTTATCACCTGTAGATATTATAGACAGCTTTTGACGCACCCTGATTGTACTTTTGTAACATTTTTTTACACCGATCTTCTTTATTTGGTATACTTCCCATTAAGCCTCCCTCTCAATTTAAGAGCTAAGCCCTTGACGGTGAACCAATCGCCACTCCGATCTATTTTCTGCGATCGTTTTAAAGGTGGAAAACTCAGGCATAAATATAATTAGTTTCTTTCAATTCATCATGATGTAGAAGTATACGTATAGGATACTTTTTACAAGTTGATTGTCTGCTATTAGGTCATAGAAATGTAAAGATGGATACGATTAGGACAAACTGGGACAAGCCCTGGAGTCTGTATTTCTCTATGGATGTATTTGTTATTTCCTGTTCGTAAAGTAATCATGTATGCAATTTATTTAACTTGATAACATAATTACAGCAAATACAATATTTTATTCGAATTAATTAAAACGATGTAATTTTATACGTCAGATATTTGTGTCAATATTTATGTACGAGTAAATGAGTAATGCGCTCATTATTGTCGTGTGAAAGATTTATTTATTAGATTAATCTTAATGTTTTTAAATATTTACTTTTATATTCGAATACAATCGAATTGATGATTTCCGAGGTCAATCATAATAAAAAAAAAGCAAAAGAATGATCGCTAGCAAAACAAAAGGTCAATGAGATTGGCCATCTGCAGTTCTATCAATTTATGCTAAAACAGCTGCTATGTTACTCATTATGACATAATAATTTTTATGCATCAGATGTGTCGGTGTGTCAGTCAATATGTACCTTTTTAAGATACAATCATACCGTGTTTATGTCGGCGGTCACTTTTTATGGTATAGGAAAACAAACGAGTAGACGGGTCATCTGATGGTAAGTGATTACCGCTGCCCTTGATCACATGCAACTCTGAATGCGTTGCCGTCATTTGAGCCCTCCCTGGAGAATCAGGAGTATTTGGGCTCCTATAACCTCACTCACTCGGTGCAATGCAATGAAAAAAATGCTTAGCAACGGTTGTTAATGAGGCCGTGTTATCACTGCGGTCGAGCTGGCCCATTTGTGCCGAAAGCATAGCTCTCCTACAGTTGCACGCTCCAGCTCCAACGGTAAGGCCCGGTATCTACCAAAGCAGAGAGGAGAGGAGACGAGAGATGTGTTTTGAATAACCAATTAGAGTTTGTTATTTCCACATCTCCTTTCTGCTTAGCTTCGGTGGAAATAGATCAAGCGGATAGGAGAGGAGATGTCTCATTTTTCTATAGAATTTATAGAAGCGAGCAAGCGGCGCGGCGGAGCGGAGAAGTGTGTATTTGGCGCCCGGGCGGCGCAGCGGCTCCCTCTTGAAATAGTGTGGCATATTCGCCATGACTGTGACATTTTATATGGTTTCTTATCCAGACTCTACGTTTTCTATCTATTAATCGTATTCCTTCAACCTCTAATTACTCTTCTTCAAGCAAATTAAGATATACCTATCGTAACGACATGACGCTGTCCTTTCGTAGCTACAGTGACTTGACTGACGGGACTTGAAAGTACAGTACCTACAGTATTTGACTGGTTTCGAGCTCTCACAGTTTACATCTCTGCTACACACAGCTTACTTCTCCTCTCCGCTACGCGTCTCCTCTCCGCTTTTGTGGAAATAACCTGCCAGCTTCGCAGCCCATCTCCTCTCGTCACGTCTCCTCACTGCTTTGGTGGAAACCGGGCCTAAGTGATTAAGACAAAACTAGAAGCATAAATTGTAACTTTGATATACTCAGTTTGTTTTCTTTATTTAAATATTATTTTGCTCCAGGTATTCTATGGAAGTTGAAGATGTAAGATCTTCGCGGCTATTTGGTGTACAGTTGTTTTTTACACTGTTTGTGCCCGTGCTGGCAGTGATAAGATTCTTTTTGCAGGCGTTTGTTTTTAAGGGAGGACATGTATATGGATATATGGTAAATATAAACACAAAATTGGATTTATTAAAAGCAGCCATTACCAGTAAAAAGTAGCCTATGTTACTAGCTGATAATGTAGCTTTCCATTGGTGTAAAAAGTTTTAAAATTAGTTTACTGATTTCGCCGTGAAAGCATAACAAACAAATTCGCTTTTACATTTATAATATAAGTATGAATTAAAATCTGAAATTCAATCACTTTTCTTTTTATAAAATTATTCCTTGCCTAATAAGTTACTCAATTTAAGCAACACAGAAATTCATTGAGTAGGTTTAGTGTAAATTTGAATACATGTAACTCCTTCAATGAAAGTGGCTTGACTCTTATTTGTCATAATTTCCATTTTAATCAATCGTCAATAAGTGATTTAAAGGACTGAAGTATGCAAATTATTTTCCATTGTTTCAGATAGTAGCTTTAACTGTAACTTTAATAGTATTTCCAATATCGGCCTATTTAGCAATACTTGAAAGGAGGTTTTTACTGCCCTCGGTCCTACCAAGAGGACATGGGTTTGTCTTGCTTGTGTTCTGGGCAATGATATTTGTCTCGGAGAATCTTTCATTCTTGAATCTGAATAAGGAAGGATGGTGGTGGCATTTGAAAGAGTAAGTAATTTATTAATTATTTTAATAAAAATTTATATTTTAGGATAATTTATTTGTCAGATTGATTTGCGGCCATTAGATTTTCTAGTATTTACCTATAAAAATAGAAAAATCAATAAAAATTAGTACTTATTATTAGCATAAATTATTATCTCTCTTTGTAATAACAATACTTTAATTCCTTTTGCCGTTTAAGTTATAATAAGACTTAAAAGTCTGACTCGGGATATAGTAACCAAATATCACAGAGCAGGGGTGTTCTACGTTAAACCATGTGTTAAACAAACCAACGATCAATTTTGATTTAGGTTTTTTATTTGAAGCATGACTAGAGATCATGAGTGTTTTAAGTTGTAATTCGGGAAAATCTGTTTGTTTAGTGTAGGAGTTGTCTACTAAAAAAATATATACGCATCTACACGATTTTGACTCTAGTGATTATCCTTCCATTAGTTAGGTTAGGGTATTCTAAGACAGGTTTATTTTTGCTGTAACTATTAATATCATTTTCTTATATAGTCTTCAAGATGGACTGGAGATGGCACTGTTTGTCGGCCGTTATGTGTCTTGTATGATAATGTTTGTGCTCGGCATGAAGGCACCCGGAATTATGCACCGTATTGAATATTTAGAGGAAGACGAGGACACTCGCAGGAATGTACCACCAAGGGTAAGTTTTTATTGCTTCTATATTCTGTTTTATTCAAATAATGGCCGTTAAAGTAGGCAATAAGTAGAAAGAAACCTTTCAAAAAATAACATCTGTACAATGCAATCGTGAATGTTCACTGCTACCAGAATCAATATTATATTTTTGAAAAAGTTACACATTACAAAATTACAAAAAATTACACATCTCATTAATACCACATAAATAAAGTGTATCCGCGCCGCGCACATAAAAAAAAACATATTGACAAATGATGCCTAAAATAACCATGAATGCGTTCTTCTTTACAAATGTATTGACATTATTAATGTATTTATTTGTTTTTATTGCTTAACTTATTGTGTTCTTTTGGTTTGATATTTAAATGAATTTAATGGATGTCATACCTTCCTTTTTCGCAGTAGGTTTTATTATTAAATTTTTATCGCTAACAGCCCATGCAAAATACTTAGAGTTTTTAAAGAAGATTATTTCTGTAACGACAATACTGTAGTATTCAAATTAATCCGTGACGCTATTTATTATTCTTTATTACAACCTTCTACACGCAGTGGTACCTTAGATTAAAAAAAATTTCAATCTTGTGACGCTGGATTTAACTTAACTTCTTTTTCACTTACCATTGTCTTATATAGTCCTGTTTCTAGTCGTTATGAGCCGCCGACTCCGTTAAACACTCAGCAAAACATCATAAATCCCTCGTATTAGTTCGCATTATTGGGATCCGTAACTACGGAACCCTACATTGGTCGTGACTTGACGCGCACTTGACCGGTTTTTTTAATTGACTCATAGATAAGACAATACGATTACATACTTTTTTAAATTTCGTAATGGAGCGATTAAAAACTTTTGAACTAGTTTTTACTTCTCTTGTCATTTGCAATGTCACTTTGGTTTTATATTTTGGATAATTTATAAGTTAGGTTAAAATGTCATGTCCCTATCAAAATCATTTAATTATTAGCACAGAAGAAAAAGATATATTTAAAAAAGAAAAAAAGGTCACTATATGGTGTTGATTTCAGGATATTGATAATTTATTCAGATAAAAGTATATTGCCATAAAAAACGTTAAGTTTGTTTGGGTGAGTAAAGTAAACAGTCTGAAAATTAAAAAAATAGGTCCAAACTTTCTTGAAAGTAGATAATAGCTTAAACTTTTTTATCTTTAAGAAGTTAAATTTAAACATTATTTACATATTCAATATGCCAACTTCTTTTTAATACAGAGTAACAACAAACTTATCAGATCTAAAAATATGTTCATAAGTTAGTAAATCAAGTGGAGTTGTATTTATCATAAGGTTTCTTCACTTAAGGCGCAGTATTCAGTTAGGAAAATGAGAACGTAAAAGAATATTCTACTCTTCATTTAGGTACTGAAACATACTCAAGTATTAGGTATTGATGAATAAGTCTTACGTTTTAATTTATATTTGATTTCTCCGTCTTATTCTGTCCTACTGTGTTAACTTTTCAGAATGTTGTTATCTACTTAAATTAGGTTACATTTTGTATATGTATGAAAATGTAGGCGCATGCTAGTGAGCGCTATCAAGAAAAAGAGTGTGCACACTTTACTGATTTTGTTGTTGTGTATATCGTAGTGTATAATAGCATGATCTTTATATCTGTTATTTGTCTTGCTATAAATTACTGCTATATGTTATTAACCTAATGATGTATGTACACGGAGTAGCAATTAGGGTCTGCAACTGGTTTTACACATAGCGTCATTTTGGGCCCAATTGAAAACCAACGTCAGGCTTTTATCTAACACAAAGCTGAATTGGGTCCGATTTTGGCATCGGTGGTAATTCAAGCTGCAAAATTATCTAAAGTGTTGTGTTATTGCCAAAATAAACGTTTTTCTTTCTAAATCCAAGAATTTAAATGTGACTGTCATTGTTCACTAGATTAAACGGTAAACTATGAGGCGTTTTTTTGAGACTGAATGTTTGTTTTCAGACTGTTTATTTGTTCACTCAATCAAAATGAACGAACTGGCGAATCATTTTTACCTGTATAAACCCGTGAGAAAGTATATTTTTATTTAGTTATTTTTTAATTAAGTTTTTATTTATCTTTGGGTTGGTTAGAAAATAATTCTTTTATTACTGATTTATTTATTATTATTAGTAGTGTAGGAATGTTTTAAAACTTATATATGGATTTCACATATACTGAATTCAAAGAACTAAATTATTAACTCACTGATATTCACCAAGCATAATTTTTTAAAAACTGTAGGTACATTTTTCGAGTCTGACTTGCCGTGGACTAATAATAAGCGTAGTAAAGTATGTATTACATAGAATGCGATACTTTACAGAATGACAACCAATCAACATTCCGAAATGCATTCTCCAAACTCCGGACCCTACTGCCTTTTCTCTGGCCCCGGAAGAGTCCGTGTTTGCAATTTACTGTGCTTATATGTATTCTCGCACTCATTGCCGGGAGAGTTGTCAACCTGTACGTACCAATCTATAGCAAATTAATAGGTAAGTGGAATGTGTCGGCATTTTAGTAGTTTGTCATTTTGATTTTTTACCACGAAGGACAACAAAACTACAAAGAGCAGTCAAACTTGGCATAAACCTTATACCAACCCGTCTGGCCAGAGTGGTATAATAGGCCAAAACCTCCAATCTAATGAGAGACCTATGTCCAGCAGTTGACTATTAAAGGCTGTTGATGATGATAATTTTTTTGTTACTTTAATACATTCTAAGTCATATTTTATAGATAAACATACATATATTCATAAGAAAATAAAAATACTAGGAAAACTATCAATTCACCGAACTTCACTATCCTGTATTCGATGTTAGTATAAATATATAGCTTCACGATGCAACAGCATATATACTGCATAAGTAAAAATATACTTGTACGTCTTTAGTATGTTAGTATGTTTTTTTCGTTACGAAGCCTTATCAACTACGGAGTAACTACGAAATCTGTATGGTGCAATGAAAGCTTTCACGCCGATACAACTTTCCAACCGCAACCGTTAAGGAGCGGTCCCCTGGCGATGATCATCTCGATGGTCGGGTTATAGCACCTTTCGTTTTGGTTGAGGGATACAACACCCGTTCCGCCACAACTGATTGTTTTTTGTAACAATTTATTAATTATTTGCAGTGGACAGTATATCACTACCGCCAATGATATTCAGATGGGACCTGGTATTAGTCTACGTGTTCTTAAAGTTTCTTCAGGGCGGAGGTACAGGCGGCATGGGTCTCATCAACAATTTGAGATCATTTCTATGGATAAAAGTACAGCAGTATACTACTAGGGAATTACAGGTATGTAATAAAAATGTGTGTAGTGTTTGTTCCATTACATAACTCAAATAATTGTTATGGCTTTGCAACAGGGCATTTTTAAACGTCATTTTATTATAACTTATTAATGTGATCATGTAATAGATACTGCTTTTCTGAATACATTTTATTACTACTTACTTTCTTTATAAATTTGACTTGTTATTTAATTCATCAATCAATCATTTTTCTCTGTTTTAGTTAGAATTATTTAAACAGCTTCACGACCTACCTCTTCGATGGCACCTGTGCCGTAAAACTGGCGAAGTGCTTCGTGTTATGGACCGTGGGACAGACTCTATAGACAATCTGCTCTCATACATTTTATTCTCAATTACACCTACTTTAATTGATATCATAATTGCCGTGGTCTTTTTTGTCTCGCAATTCAACGCTTGGTTTGGTCTTATTGTATTCTCGACGATGGTGCTTTATATAAGTAAGTTTCTCGGTATTTATATTTATACAATAATATTAAGTTAACAATTACAATAGCTAAGATAGTTTAAGACAGGTTCGGACACAGGCACAGACGATTGATCGGCATCATACATAATATTGTATTTGTAATTTATGTTACGATCTCATTCAAGTAAAACGAATTATATGACCTAATAAAAACTTCGCATTAATCGGCACGCTTTACATTTATAGTAAGTCAAGTAAGGTCGATATTTCTATGTATGACAAAATGCATTCCACAAAGGAATAGTCATAATTCAATATTAAACTATCAAGTCATGTGAACAATCTTTAATCTTAAAATTCTTGATTAAGATTGAATTGTTGGGCCTGTTGGTCTAGTGTTTAGTGACCCTGACTGCTAAGCCGGTGGTGGGTTCCATTTCCACCCAAGATAAATAATTATGTGATGATTACGATGATTTGTTCTGTGTGTAGGTGTAATTTATCTATGATATGTAAGTATTTAGAAATATATAAGTATGTCTATTAGCAGTCTGATCACCATAGCACAGGCTCTTTCTAGGTTGGAATCAGCCTGCTGTGTGTGTAGTTATTTTTTTTCTAAGTCCATTAAATATACATATAAATTATATTTTATTATTATTATTTAAAAAAATCTGGACATGAATGACAGCTTGGGTTTTGACTTCAATTTCATCATTATTCGAAATCATTTAAACCCCGACAGCTAGCTCTCTTGCTAGCGATTGTACTACATAGAAAAGATAAAATTAGCTTTTCTTAAAAAAAAAAAACAAAAACAGTGTTTTACATTAGATCATCTTGAATCCTCTTATAAGCAAAAATTTCATTTGTATTATTCAGATCACATCTTTTCTTTCAACAATATTTTCAACCTCGGTACATGATAACTTTTTTTATTGCAGTTACAACTATAGTAGTTACAGAATGGCGTACGAAGTTCCAGAGACGTATGAATTTAGCTGATAACGCACAAAAGGCGCGCTCGGTCGATTCTCTGCTCAACTTTGAAACCGTAAAATACTATGGCGCCGAAGGTTATGAAGTATTGGCTTATAGGGAAGCTATTAGTAATTACCAGGTAAGATACTTTTCTGAATAAAATCTCTTATTGGTATCTTTTTTGATATAAAAACTTTTCTTGCCAGAGATAATATTATTCTATTAAATAGTTACCAACTTAATTGCTACTTAAAACGTGTTAGATTTCTATTAATTATAATGACCAATTTCACTTAATATCGCTACAGAGGAATTTCTTCATATTTATTTAAATCAGTTTACAATTTTTATTTTGGGTTGCAATTAAAGCGAATTTTGTTGAATTTTTCAAACAATTTTCTTTCCTTATTTTAAGTTTCTATTGCAATAATTATTAATAATATTATAATATTATTATTAATTATGACAATATAACCTCTGTGCACCTACCTTACAAGATTTCTACACCACCTAAACCACCCTTGACCGTTAAAGTCCGCCGATGTACAAAAGTGCATAAAGTTATACATATAAATAAATAATGATATAATATAAATAATATAATAAATAATATTTTGTTTTTCAAAATTGTCTTGTCTTTATGCAGCCTTACGTTCGCTAAAGAACGTCTAGCCGCTTTTTGTCGTTAAAAAACGTTTGTTCGTTATTTACAAATTTAAACTTGTGGAAATGGTAATGTGATTTTTATTGTTTTTCAGAAAGAAGAATTTAAATCGCTCATAACACTCAATATGTTGAATACAATTCAAAACATAGTAATATGCAGCGGTAAGTGTTTAGTTATTATTATTATTTCGGTTCTATTGCAATAAGAAGTGGGGTTAGAAAATACAATTGTATATTGAAGTCAATTTTGTTGGGTTTGTATCTGGTGCGGCCGTCTAATTCGTCTTTTTGAAAATTATTTACCACTTTCATAGATTTTTTCGGTACGTTCGGTTCTAATCAAAACCCTGACTTCTAGATTTCTTAAATTACCATTTGTATAACGCCTTCGTAAATCTTTATAAAGTGGTGCATAATTTTCTGGCGCTATTGACATGCACTTAAGAGGAGAAAAAAGGCCAAATTGGAATTAAAAAAAAAACAGTATTTATGTAATTCTAATGAAAGTCGGTTTATTCTAGAGAGGCTATATATATATATATATATATACACGACTACGCCATCCGTGCAGTCGGTATTTTATGATATTTAAACGATCAGACTAGTGACCGTGAGAGTGGTTTTCTGACATGCTATGGTACTCCTGTCGAGCTGGCCCATCAATTCATTTATGCTAAAGCGATGCTCTCCCACGACTATATTCTTATGATTATTAACTATATTATCTTAAAGAAATGTCTATTTATTTATCTTAAAGAATCATAATTTTGTTCTTCAGGAAGTCATTTTAAAGTGTTTGTCTTCAGGTTTACTTGCCGGATCTCTTCTTTGCGTATCAATGGTTGTAAGAACTGGTGAACTGACTGTTGGTGACTACGTTTTGTTCGCGTCCTACATCGTCCAGTTGTACGTGCCGTTGAACTGGTTCGGAACTTACTATAGGTATGTATTTACTCACAAGTTACTCGTAGGTATTTACTTTCTACGCTTTTTTTTTTGGCATCAATGTACAGCGCTCCACCACTGTGCGCTTTTTGCCTTTTACAACTAATCTGTGGAACAAGTTATCGTCTGCGGTTTTTACGGACCGATACGACCTTCATACTTTCAGGAAAAGAGCGTACTCCTTCTTCAAAGGCCGTCAACGCGCTTGTGACTCCTAAATTGCAGGCGTTTATGGGCGTCGATAGGTACTTTCCATCAAAGATGCTGGTGGAAGGTGCTTTAGTCACTCATGTATACTCCTGTATAATAGGCTATTGAAGTACACCGGACATATATATTTCTAAAAACACATTCATGCATATTATAGGTAAATTACACCCAGACACAACAAATGATGGTGCTCATCACACATCATTTGTCCTGGCTGGGAATTAATTATAGGTATACTTTTATCAGCTGCTGTTAGCGTCAGCGGTGCGCAGCGGCCGCCGAAACGCGCTCGGACGTGTTTCATTCATATAAGATAATTAATGAATGATCAGTCTATTACTACTTTCCAAGTCAATCGAGTAAAAATGAATATTAAAACTGAAACTTTTTTAGTCAACATTACAATTGATTTAACCATTTTTATCCGACTTCAAAAAAAGGAGGAGGTTCTCAATTCGACTGTATTTTTTTTTTTTTTTTTTTTTGTATATTTGTTACGCGATTACTCCGGCAATTATAAACCGATTTGAATAATTCTTTTTTTATTTGGTAGGTCATACGTCAGAGGTGGTCCCATTTTCACCAGGTCAGGATCTGATGATGGGATCCTGGGGAAATCGAGGGAAACCCTCAAATTTTGTAGGCATATACACTGTTTATCAGAAATTATCTTAATCTATGTAGATTTTTGCATCTAGTGGTCACCATCTGATGTTGCTGAGCTGATGATGAAGCTGTTGATGAATGGTTTAGGAGTATGGGATCTCTGTAACAAAATTATGTAATACCATCGAATTTGAATGTGTTTGAGTTTAATTAATAAGAACTCCGATCCTATGTGATATTCAGGGTCTGATGATGGAGACGGTAAATAGCCATGGGAACTCTGTAATAAAATAAAGCAATTCCGCCGTGTTTGTGCTCATTTGATTCGTCTCGACTAGGAGCTTCATGCTAGTCGATTTTTAACCAACATCAAAAAAGGAGGGTTTTTGATTCGACAGCATGTTTTCTTTTTAACCGACTTCCAAAACACAAAAGAGGAGGTTCTCAATTCGTCTGTATTTTTTTTTTTATGTATGTTTGTTACGCGATTTCTTCGTCAATTGTGGACCGATTTTCAAAATTCTTTTTGTAATCGAAAGGGTATGCTCCCGAATTGGTCCCATTACCACCAATTCAGGATCTGATAATGGGATCCTAGAGAAATCGAGTGAAACCCTCACAATTATTGGGAATTTGACAGCCCCGACAACGTGTTTTAGCTACGAGTATTTCTTTAGCCAAACAAACCATGGCAACTGTCAGAGACTGGGCGATGTGATGCGCAGAGAACTTGCAGTATTTATGTCACCACAGTAATTTTCGTTGTATTAAGAAGAAAAGGTTGAAATTTTGTATTCTATCTTGTTAAAATAATTCGGATAGACGTTTTGTTGCTATGGATGGCATCGCATTTCGTTTGTAAGTAATTTTATACTTAATTTATTAAAATAGTTCTGGAAAAAACTCTTAAATTTTGGGTGGGTCAACTAGGTTAATTTCTAACATACTAGTATTAACCCTTCTAGTTGGAACTCCTTCTATAAAATATTGAGCATATTTGTTGAGTAGTCTCACTAAAGCTTCCCTATCTTCACCTTCGAGATCAGTGTCAATTGAATCGGAAGTTATTTTGTTCGGTTGCAACTCACAAGAATTTGACTGTTTCTTAGAAAAGAATTTAAGCTGATCTTGATCAGTTTGGACGCCAATGTCATTTTCATATCCTACACTAAAAATGGTAAAATAAACCCTTTTTAAAAAAAAAGTTGAACCGACTTCAAAAAACACCGACAAAGAGCACTAAAAATTAAAAAATAATTACAAATCTAAGTAAAAAACTATAATAAGTACCCTCAATGTAACAGGTAACATTATAATACCAATAGTCCCCTCTAGTCTGTTTGAAGTACCTGTTACATTGAGGGTACTTATTATAGTTTTTTACTTAGATTTGTAATTATTTTTTAATTTTTAGTGCTCTTTGTCGGTGTTTTTTGAAGTCGGTTCAACTTTTTTTTTAAAAAGGGTTTTTATTATTGGTACTATAGATGATTCCAAATTAAAATGTTTCGTTTCGTAAATAGTATCTAATATATAATGTGTGCACTGGTCAACATTTTTACTTTCTTTAGCCGTTTTCACATCATTTTTATCATTCTAAATTTAACGGTCACAATATTTTCTTAAAACTACGTACAAAGAATTCTCTATGCATAATGTACACGCGTAGGTTAACTGAATATGAAAATGACATTGGCATTTTCATATCCTACACTAAAAATGGTAAAATAAACCCTTTTTAAAAAAAAAGTTGAACCGACTTCAAAAAACACCGACAAAGAGCACTAAAAATTAAAAAATAATTACAAATCTAAGTAAAAAACTATAATAAGTACCCTCAATGTAACAGGTAACATTATAATACCAATAGTCCCCTCTAGTCTGTTTGAAGTCGGTGCCAAGCTCGATGCACAATAAGTAATACTGGTCTATGTCAGCTTTATATTAGCACAATGAAAAATTAAGAATTCAAAATAATTCTAATGAAACATCGAAGATTTTGTTAATTAATAAAGACCAACCAGATCAATTACGTGCGCAAACTTATCAACTACTTATTAAAGAATTCAAAATAATAATATAATTGGAGATGTGCGTCCACTTTAGCTCGTTCATCATGTTTTGCGCAGCATGAAGACTGTTGCAGCTGCCGCGCTACATTCTACCATGCCTATCAAGCACCTATTTGGCTTGGCACCGACTTCAAACTGACTAGAAGGGACTATTGGTATTATAATGTTACCTGTTACATTGAGGGTACTTATTATAGTTTTTTACTTAGATTTGTAATTATTTTTTAATTTTTAGTGCTCTTTGTCGGTGTTTTTTGAAGTCGGTTCAACTTTTTTTTTAAAAAGGGTTTTTATTATTGGTACTATAGATGATTCCAAATTAAAATGTTTCGTTTCGTAAATAGTATCTAATATATAATGTGTGCACTGGTCAACATTTTTACTTTCTTTAGCCGTTTTCACATCATTTTTATCATTCTAAATTTAACGGTCACAATATTTTCTTAAAACTACGTACAAAGAATTCTCTATGCATAATGTACACGCGTAGTTTAATTTAACGTGCCAATATAAACATACATCAATATTTATATCGAATACATCAATATATTCATTATATCGAATGGCCTATAAATACATCAATGCAAAGCAATATAGATGACACAATTACTGCTCTAAGCCGCTAATGAATGGACTGTTATTGATAAGATAAATCTTTATAGCCGTGAAATTTCAAATAGTGTGTTTTATTATCATTATGCTATCAAAAACTTATCTATTGGATTAAAGCTAAACTCTGTGGAAGAAAATTGCTGCAAACTAAACTTCTAAATTGTGAAAACAATTTAGAAGTTTGGCGGTTCTTTGTAATTTTTAAGCTATTGCATAGCTTCTATCGAGGGCCTTGAGCGCGGGGACCGAATCCAGAAATTCCGTAACGAAAAAAAAACCTCACGCTAAAAACAAAACAAAAAACAGTACCAAAATCAAATGCTGAACGTCAAAGGAAATTTCGTCAACATAATGCAGAAAAATCTTACATGGATATGTAATTTGATTTAATAATAATATTTTTTATTTATTTATTTAAAAACAAATTGTAATATATGCTTCAATATTTTTATTTAATAAAAGAAAAAAAAATGTTTTCTTATCGGTCACCACGCTCAAAAAGTGTAACTTGAATTAATATCAAAGAAAAAGAAATACTGCATAAATAAAATAAATAAATAATTATAATTGCATAAGTTGATACAAAATGCTATGCAATAGCTTTACCGCGGCAGTCCCCGAGTGCCACACGTCTTTTTTTTGTATTGGCAGATACATTTACTATTGCATAGTTATAAAACTACCTTTTGATCATCGCGGTAAAATTAGCCTGTTTACCCGCTGAAACCTTTCCACTGGTTAAAGCATTTTTAAAATCGGCATAGTAGTTTAGGCGTCATCATCATAAAAAAAACTCACTCACATTTATAAGTATATATGTAAATATTTAAAATATACAACTTAAAGTAAGATAAGGCAACAAAGGTTTTTCCTTTTTAATCACACTGAATTTGTCACTAGACTTGAATGTATTTACTTTTTTATATTGCTATGTTAAGTAGTAAACTTAAATAAGATTTAAACCTGTCTAGTGAATCTAATGACTGCCGATATTGAGTTGATTAAAAGTTCAATTATAATGTTCAATACACTACTAAGATAAAGAATACGTGACTTATTTATATTACGAATTAGGTACTTCTCAGACAAATACGTTCTGTTATATGATTAAGCAAATAAATTATCAGGTGACCCGTCTGCTCGTTTGCCCCCTTATACCATAAAACAAAATTCGTCGTTATTTTGATCAATTTAAAGTTTATTGTAAAAATAAGTCGATACCAACCCGTCGGTCAGCGTGGTATAGTAGGCCAACACCTCCTTTCTAAGGAGTGGCTTATGTCCTGAGTGGCTTATGACTGTTAAAAGCTGTTGATGTGATGTAAAAATAAAATAAATGATTTTAAAACTACCTATAAATAAATAATGTGTAAATAATGTTAGAACTAACAATGTGTTCTTAAAAGAGGACATAAGATAGTAATATTAGGTCTTTACCTAAGAAGTTTGAGATTTGTATGAAAATTTTAAGGTATAAAAAATTTGGTTATTTTTATTTTAGCTAATCAAAGTACGGCCCCAAATTATCTCAACAATTTTGACATTTAGATGGCAGTTTGTTTATTCCTTTGCTGCAGAAGTCTGTTCGCGGGGAGGCGATGAAGTCAGCGAAAGTGTTTTCTACTGCCCCTCGGTTGTTGAATTTTAGCTGTAACTCTTGTAGCTTTGCGGTAGTCTGTCGTGAAGTGTGAGCCCGTGCGTTTTAGTGGATAAGCAATGAGGAAGAGCGATTGACAAGTCGTGTTTATTGAATTGCGAGCCTCTCCATAATTGTTTGCAATCCTTGGCAATAGACACTGCCGTCATTGTTGTGCCATTTGGTAAGAAGCTGTGATATACAAATTTGGCACTGGTCCACCAGACAATCACCATCATCTTCCTACGGGTAATCTTTATTTAGCGCACTAATTAGATGCTGTACCCGGGTCCACCCACTGGAACGAATGCTTACGGTTGTCGTACATGATCCCTTTTCATCGCAGAGAACAATTCGATTCAGAATTCCCTCGTTTCTATGCCGATTCAGTAGTGCTATGCATGCTTCGACGCGTAAGTCTCGATGATGGTCATTTAGCCTCTCATAAGCTGCGAAAAGCTCGAAATGCCGCTACACTGTAAAATAGTTTCACCGGTGAACGCTGATCAGTGTAGCGGCACGCCGATGAGCGCTGATCAGCGCAGTGGCAAATAAGAGGTTAGTTTATGTGGCACCCACTTATCTAGCTTTTTTATTTTTCGGGTTTGACGCAAGCACTTCAATGTTGTTTTCAAACTCAGCCGTAGATGGTGTTGGCTCGCTTCCACTATCGACTCAATTCGTCGTTGTCGCCTATAGTTACCGGCCGACCGCGAGGGGCTCGCTCTTGAACTCAGAATTTCCAGATCTAAAACGATTGAACTAATGGACCGTGTTTATGCAAGCAGTGTTAGGCCCGTACACGTCGTTAATGATTTGTGTTATTTGCGCAGCGGTATTGCCACGTAGGAACTCATATTCGAAAATTGTACGAATTTTCAGTTTATCCATGGCGCTAATAACTACCCTAATTTCACAAAAAACAAAACACTATGTAAAACAAATGACTGAATTTTAAATTAAAATAACATGGCTTTCGAATAAAGTTATCTGAAAATGTTGGTTTTAAAAATCTCCTACTTTATGCTATGTTAGAGGGGGCAGACGAGCAGACGAGTCACCTGATGGTAAGTGACTATCGCCGCCCATGAACGTCTGCAACAAACTTCATTTGTTATTATAAAGGTCACATTCTTTCAATGAATTATGTGTAGCTTATTATGTTCCTTAGTGGTAAAAAGGTCTTTTTATTACTTGGTTCTTACCACATAAATTGAAAGAACATAAATTGTCTAATAAACCCATCACAAATTATTATTATATTTCGTATTGTTATTTCGTAGAAGTTCTACACATGCTAAAATGTTTAGATGTTAAAAAGAAATTGATTGAGAAAGAAGTGATAAAATTGATAGTCAATATTTATATTATATTATAAATACCTGCCTAATTACAATTAATTACACCTCACATGTTGTTTCGATGAAAATCAGTTTATGTATTAATTGAACTGTTAGTAGATAATGTATAGTTTATCGCTCATTAATCAATGATATTCAAAGGAAATCTGCTTGTTAATTAACTAAAAGACGATATATAAAATTAATTAACAATGTAGTTTATGTGAAAATATTTTTTTATTCCCGTGGGCTTTTCTTGAATGAAGCGTTCTTCGGTGTGTATGCTAAACTTCAAAACGATAATATGAACGATGATACCCCATTACATTACAGGGCTACTATATATCTGACAGCAAATGTTTTTATATTCATACCTTGATTACTGTCTGTCTATTAGCCAACTGTATATATTTCAATCTTTCATCGAACGTATGCATATTTATTTATCATTACCCTAAAAACAATTGTATATCAAGAAAATTATGTCCGTTGAATGAACTAGTTAGGTGAGGAAGCTTCTACGGGGAGCAGTCTGTTGTTTTTTTTAAAGGGGACTAATCCCACCCACACGCCCACCACTGTAACTCCTGTACACCAGGATCCACAGCAGTGACCCACGAACACACCGAGTTACGACACTCGGGAAGTCCCAGGAAGAAATTAAACTGTCTTGGAACCCGCAACGAAATTAATTAGTCTGTTGTTTGTCAGGCGCTGCAAGTCTACGAAGTTCAATAGAGATTCCTAACACCTTTCGTCTATAAAATGAAGACCCGTTAGTTTTAACTCCCCCAAAAAGTATCCATTCTTAGTTGAAACCAATTGATTAAGTCCGATTTTTTTTATTTAAGGGCAATTCAGAAAAACTTCGTTGATATGGAGAACATGTTTGATCTAATGCGTGTACAATCAGATGTGTGCGATGCCATAGGAGCCCCCGATCTGTTGGTGAGACGAGGTGCCGTAGAGTTTAAACACGTATCCTTCGGCTACGGACCAGAGCGTCTCGTGTTAAACAATATCAGTTTTAAAGTAGCTCCTGGCAGTACTGTGGCTCTGGTAAGAAATACACATGAAACATGAATCGACAAAAATGACTTCTTCAACTTTGACCTCGTGACATTTAATTTTGAATTTTGTATACACTCTAAGTAAATGAATATTGAAAAATACTGATCATGATTAAACTCCGCTTAGTTAAAATAATATTTGTCGACGAAAATTGGTGCGACTTAACTTGTACAAGTATAAAACTTAAATACAAATTAAGTCGCACCAATTTTCAACGTAAAATATTACGAAGAACTTAATTTGGTAAATATTTCACCATGTAACGGATAACACAGTGAGACTATGTTTTAATTATTATTTTTAGGTTGGGCCAAGCGGTGCCGGCAAGTCGACCATAATGCGTCTCCTGTTCCGTTTTTACGATGTTAATGAAGGCGCGGTATTGGTGGACGGACAAGATGTGCGGACTGTTACACAAGCATCACTGCGGGCGAACATTGGCGTCGTGCCACAAGATACTGTGCTCTTTAATAATAGCGTAAGGTGAGTTTTGCAGTATCGGTAATGTTGACATCATGTACGTAAATACATATAAATGTAAATGATATAAATATATTATCATTTTAATGCACCATGTTCGAATCTAAAATATGACTTAAATGTACTAAGCAGTTTTTAATACTAAATGCCCAGTGTAAATAAAAAAGGTGGATGGGTTTATAGGCCACCACGGCCATACCATTATTTTCTAGTAACAGAGCCAAGGCAATATTACGGATGTTTCATGAGTTTTACATAAATGCGATAAACAATTTAGTAATCATCATCATCATCATCAACAGCCTTTACTAGTCCACTGCTGGACATAGGCCTCTCCTTAGAAAGGAGGTTTTGGCCTACTATACCACGCTGGCCAGACGGGTTGGTATAGGGTTTGTGTCAAGTTTTCCTTCTCTTTGCAGTGCTGGTGTCCTCCGTGGTTTGCTCTTATTTAGTAATAACACATATATTACGAACGATTACTATTTATTAAAAAATTAAACCTAAACATGAAAAATTTATTTAAAAAACTAAAATCACTAAGTCTAAATATCTTAGGTATCAAAATAATAATCTAATTATTAAAAAGAAATCAATTTTGTGTTACAGATACAACATTCAATATGGAAAACTAACTGCGTCAGCCGCGGACATTATTTCTGCGGCGAAGAATGCCGACATTCACGATAGAATTCTAACATTCCCCGATGCTTACGATACACAGGTAATCATTAATTAAATATATCTAATAAACAAACAGATCCACAAATCACATTATTCTGACGCTCATATCAAAGAAATGTGAGAAATTCGCTTCATGCACGAATATAATATTTCACTGGTATATATTACTGGATACGCTTCCTATAGATATAAATCATTTTACTCAGCATTCTTATTTTAGATACACATTTATTGCGCCGGATTGTTATCCATGGACATTCATTATTTCTTATTGGATGGACATTTATTATTTGGTCTCTTGATCTGTAAAGAAAAACGATTAATTTTTGTTAAGTAGCTTACACTCCCATGTATTCCATATCCCAAGTTTGGTGTAAGTACACCCATTACATCTATTTCATTACATAAATAGATTGAGGTTCCCGTTTTAGTAGGAGTGGGTATGCGGCATCTTACTGTTTAAGCTGTGTACCTTATTTTGTAATAATAAATAAATAACCCTTGGTAGGTTGGAGAAAGAGGTCTTCGCCTCAGTGGGGGTGAAAAACAAAGGATAGCGATCGCGCGGACTATCCTCAAAGATCCAGCGATAGTATTGCTAGATGAAGCTACTTCAGCCCTCGATACCAACACGGAGAGAAATATACAGGTAAATTATCTAACATTGAATATTATTTGTGAAATATGAGGGCTTTTTTATGACAGTAGGGGAGGACAGAGGGGTACTTGAGGATGTGAGGATATGATGAACGTCGACGATTGTCTTTGCCTATGGCCAAGCAGCAGACTAGTAAAGGCTGATGATGATTATTAAGAAAGATGCGAAATTGATATCAACAATTTTAGGAATGAGCATTTTAATTTTTTTATGGTGTGGACCTAACTCTAATGATTATTAAAAACTTTGTTTTTTTTCAGGCCGCATTAGCACGCGTGTGTGCAAATAGAACAACGATAATTATCGCACATAGGCTGTCTACAATCATACATGCAGATGAAATCCTGGTGTTGAAGGAAGGGGAAATCATTGAGAGAGGAAAGTTAGTAACAAATTACAATAATAATCTGTATTACTACCTATCTATATTATTATTATCAATATATTATTGTTAATTAACTTAATCTGGAATATATAAAACAAACATATATTTTTTTAGCCATGAAAGCCTTCTCGCACAAGGCGGTTTCTACTCATCAATGTGGCATCAACAATTGGAGAGTCGTAACGGGAACGGCAACATCGAGACCAATGAGGATGGAAATAATAACAATGGAGGTGGGAACAATCAAGCTGATGGGGTCAACGCCCTTGATCTAGGCCATGGACACGGCCACTAGAAGCTAGTTAGGCCAAATGTAACGAGACAGGGTGCTAGTCGGTTCGTGGATCAGGATAATTTAATGTGTTTCTACTAATAATAAGGGACATGACAGACTGCTCCCAAGCAGCGGTTTGTTATTAATATTTTGTAATGAAGTGTATATTTTCTGTGTAGATTATGCACAAGTTAGTAGACCTGAACAAAAAGTAATGTACATAACTTGACCTGACCTTGTTTGATGGTGTTACTGTATTGTACCTAGTAGTATTAATTATTGTGATGGGAAAAATTTATGTGCTGTTTCAGTGTTATTAAAACTGTTTTTATTTATAATTTACAGTTTTATTGTTAAATGAAGTCTATTCCTTATATTTATTTTACTAGGGCATGCCGTAATGGAGAAGTCTCATATTTAATAATTTAATTAGTGCAATGGAATTAAATTATAGATCTAAAATGCAAAAAAATAATGAAGCAAGAAGAATCTATCTAATGGATATCTAATTGACTGATAAAATTTATGTGCAATCATAAAACGCATAATTGAGGTCTTTCACACCAGTGTGACATTGTTTCACCTAGACGAGATCGTCACATACAAAACAAAATAACAATTGCTCAATTCGCATATGAGCCCTTGCGCTTTTCACGATTACTTAACACGATCTTAGAGCAATTTACATATTTATTTTAATGTGTGAATGGAACTGCAATCATTTACACAAATCAGTTTAGAATAAATCAAAGGAATAGGATGAGGATCAACCGAAAAAATGATGCCCTTTTTTTCTTCACGCAATTAATAAACGTTTAGTTGCACTTTGGTCGTGTGCAATTTAAGAGAAAGATCTCTTCAAATCCAACGTTATTATAAACATGTTCAATGTTTAACTTATTATAAAAAGGTGGCGTCTTACAGGTATAAAGCTATTGAAAATGTATTACCGGTGAAAATCACACTATATACACAATACTAAGTGCCTACCTACCTACTTAGTATTAAGCAAATAGAGCCGCAGCAGTCGTTCAGGTATTGCGATGTCACACGAGAGTCCCTCGGGAATTTATTCGTGCAATCGCACTTAAGGTTTATAATTAATTGACGAAGCAAATTGGAAATCTCCATTGTGGTGGCATTCATGAAGGATGGCATGAGTTTTCTTCGTACAACGCTCAACCATTTGGAATAAAATGAATAACTGAAATGGGCGGTCATGAATTACAATTTATAACCGCCTATTTCTTTTAAAAAATAGAATGAAAAATAGATGTGTACATTTATCTGTTATGCCTTTTTCTTTATAGTTTTATATTTGACAAAACAGCTTTTTATTGCTGTGACTTTGTGTGCTTAATAAGTGTTAAAAACAGTTCAACGGACGATTTCGTATAATTAGTGATGAAATAAAAAAAATGTATTTTAATTTAAGAGCAAACCCGTCGCTGTATAGTGCGGGTGTGAATGTCAGATCGCCATCACGGAGAAGCCTGTTGCGAGAGAGGGATCGTGGACTATAGTTTAACTTTTTTTAGTTTAACTTTTTTAAACTGTCTCAATTATTATTCACTTGAATGTAGCTGATCAACATTATCAAAAAATTTCAAAAGATGGAAATCTTTTTCGGTAGGTACTCCAGAAAATTTAACTTGTGATAAGATTGGAGTGGGGTAGAAAAAGTTACAATTTTAAAACATTAGCCCATTCCACAAGGTAGTCTTAGCACTACTTCTCCATGACAAATATGGTCTATATATGCCTATTGCAATAAATTAAATAGAGCCTTCACAGCATGAAAGAATGTAAAACAAAATGGACACAAAATTGTTAAAAGATCATAGGCATTATTTATGATTTTGTGTTAAAATTAAAAAAATGAAAAACATTAAAGTTCACAGTCCTTTGTTGACTGAATAATCTATCTTTATTTTCAACTTTTTTTTAGTTTATTATTAATTAAATTAATAATGAGTTCTTAGTTACGAAGGCTAAATCAGGTTTTGTTCAGAAATAAACTTTTTATCTTTTTAGGTAGAATTTAAAAAGAAGCACTAACGAAATAGAGATAATCATGTAAAAAAAAAGTGAGATTGTTTTTTGTAAAATAAATAAAGGTTATGTAATATTTTCAATATTTTATTTTTTCTTATTTTTAATCAATCAGCTAAGTTTGCTTGTTTGCGACCACAATAAACACTTAGTAAAACACTTCTTAGTAAAAACAATAAATTAGGTAAGTATCGACAAACAAATAAATCTAAAGGATACGACACAATCTCCAAAAACAATTTGTGGTTAGTTTTAGCCTTAAAAAACTACTAGCCTTTACTAGCCCCTACTTTGGAATCTAACGGAATAAGTTAAATATTTACTGCGGCGGTGACAACACTTAAAACCTGCACTAAATATCTGTTCACTACAATATTCTGCAACTGCTTGTATGTAAAGAAGATGAAGAAGATTAATAAAAATAACTGATTACAGGTTAATAATAATTCGATTATGTCAGTTTCTTAGAATGGATGTAGAAGTGGGACCCATGGCACAAAGAACTCCTTATCATAGACAGGACCATTAGGTAGGACAGGTACGTCGTAATCGTAAGAGTTTGGCGACATGTTGGATAGATTACAAGAAGGCTTATGACTCGGTTCCAAACACATGGCTTTTGAAGGTGTTGGAGTTGTATCGTGGTGTGGAGCCCATGACCGAATGATTGACCCAACCGAAGCTAGATTTCTTAGCCGAAACTGGTCGAAAAAGAAACCGTACCTTCGGTCGGTTACTAATTAGATCTTATTGATAACGAAAATGATAAAATGTCATAGTATCAAAGAAGAGCTTCATGTTGCCTCTTGCTAATGTACAGTCGAGTTCAATGATATATTGGCAGTGCCAATATTTCAAAATATTGTAAGCGTTAAACTGATCATATAGTACGTACACACTTATACATCAATAAAATGTTATCATATAAATTGTTCATTAATATGTTACGGTAGCGCAGTCAATGATATATGACTACTCTACTGCACAAAAATATCTAAATGCTCCAGATTTCAATATACATATTTAGTACCTAGAATTCATAAATATCTATTAATACATAAACATCTGTTAATATTCAGCTATATGACCTTTACTATGAGATTTATTTTTGCTTACCGATGTGGAAATAATAAAGCGACGTTGCCATTCGTAATAGGACTGTATTACTATCTTAGCATACTCGTACTTAGCATCTGTATTATTTGATTAATTAGGTTTTAGGAAATCTTAGGGTCAACGCAGACTATATGTATTTGTTCAAAACTTTTATTCAGTCTATTTTTAAAATTAAAATAACATTTACTTAAGCAAATATTTATTTTATAATTTATTAGGTATTCTAAAATACTTATTTCGTTCTTCTAAAAACCTCACATCTATATCTATACAAATAAATGAAATTAAAGTGTCTGTTTGTAATGTCAAAATAATAGGTTTTTTCATGCCCACAAAATATTTGCACGATACCTATAGGCATAGGTATTTTTGTGTCTGTCTGTCTGTCGGGTAAGCTCAAAACAGCTGGACCGATATCGATAACATTTTATTACCAGGTAGTTGTCTATATAAGAAGTAACTTAGGCTATTTTAACCGACTTCAAGAAGGAGCAGGTTGTCAATTCGGATGTTTATTTTTTTTTATACATACATAACTCCGTCATATATGATCGGATTTTTAAAATTATTTTTTTGTTCGAAAAATCTGATAATGAGACAGCCAACTCTTCCAAAAATGACAGCCAATCAACCGCCATTGCTGCTAAGTTTTTAGTGTTCTTTGTTGTATTATTAGAAGTCGGTTCAACTTTTTATTAAAAAGGGATTTATCCTCTCAGAAAAACCCTATAACTTTTTGGCGATCGAACCCGAGGCCTCACGTACCGTACTACACCACTAAGGCAGCGCAGGGCCGCTTTTTCTCTTTTCGGCTTTTTCTCGTGCGGAAATCACCCTTCGGATACCCCCCCACCGGACAGCCGGGGTTATGAATTTTAATTCCAATCAAATTATTTTTATCGTTATTTCAATGAGTTTCAAAATCATATTACTTAATTTCGATACAATTATACCGCGGCATGTCGTGGCATGCCATGGTACGCCGCAGCATGTGGTATCATTCTACAGCAAAATTTCAAAATTTGCATAGATATTTATGAATCTCACTGCACTGAAAAAAATGTACAAGGGACTGCGCAATATTTCGAGTCTTTGTCTATAGCAATATTATTGATATTATGTATTTACATATTTATTATGTCACGTTGTGTTTACTATGTATATGTTTGATTCATGAACATGGTCAGATAGTAAAGAACTCGACTGTACCTAGTATTTGGAAGCTAATAGCTTTTAGAACTTACCTGTTTTGCTCCTTGCGGCCTTTAGCTCGTCTTGATACTTCTGATTTTTCATTTTATATTCAACTATAGACATCGATGGCCGCTGTCTAGCGAATTCTATAGTCCTTAAAGAGCTCCTTGCCTCATGGTCAGTGTAGGTCATTGTACGAGCATAATCTGAAGATACCTTTCGAGTAAGTTTTCTTCCATGTTGCAAATCAAGGGTTTTTTCTAAAAACTGGGTCCCCATATTTGTATCCATATGAGAGACAATATATTTCTCGTTTGAGTTTCCATGTAAAGATGTGGGAGAGTTGGTTAGGTATCTATAATGATACTTTTCGTTCATTTCTGATGCGGGTCTAGAGAAGTGCAAACGTATAACAGGATTAATTAATATATCGACATTGATAACTATTAATGTCAGAGTTCTATTATTATAAAACGTATATAATTAAACCATTTTGTGGTGTTAAAAAGGCAAAATTATGTTCTACAAAATTTGTAGAACCTTTTTAATGTTGATTTTGAACAGATCGCAATCAGCTTTTGCAGTTCACATTATACACATACAGGAAAAATTGCATATATTATGTATTAAGATAACAAATATACCAAAGGAATTTGAGGAATCCTTATTAAAAGGAACCTATTGTAGTGGTACGTAAGTCACTTAATCGCTTAGATTTGGAGTAAAGTGAAAACCCCTTCCCTCAAGAAGCGCACACGAAACTCACACATCGAAGTGCACATCTTCTAAAAGGCATGATTCCTTTATTCACTCTAGATACTTACTTGAATGTCATCAACGTGGGCAGGCTTCCATCACTTGACAATGATACATCATCATAAAGTCGTGAAAGGGTTGACGCTCTCGGTTTTGTAGTTTGTTGTATGTGTATGTAACCGGTTGGGCGTCTGTCAATTACACCTTTCGGTTCCTTATTGTTAACTGCTACACGGACCGTCCTATATTTAAAATTAATATTGTTAAGTTTTAGTCATTTCAAAAGCAATGGGTTTATGGACTATACCGCGATCTACCCTCTTCTGCGCTAGTAGGTATATTAGGTGTAGTGTTCGAATTCATGAAAATAAAATTAACGCCAAACAAACCTAAAACCCAAAAAAATTGAATCCATAATTGTTTGGTCGGTCACCAATTAAATTATTAAAAGAAAAAGTAAAAATTAAAACTAGGTAAAGTCCGTGTACAATGTTCAAAAGAGCTATGTGAGTGAACCTATTCGATTTAGTCAGGCTCAACAACCCGGAACACGACACTATCGCCAGCAGAACACTTGAGTAGGCCGTGGCAATACTTAAAACCACCAGAAAATTACTTAAATATGAATTAACATTACAAGCCTACACTATATTCACATTTACACACTTACACAAAAAATGATACAAATCAATTTCAACGAATACATAAACAGTTTAAAACAAACGAAATATGAATTAAAACAAACGAAATATGAATTAAAACAAAAATTAACTGTTCATCACTTTTAAATGTGGGAGTCAGCAGCAATCCCAAGCAAATTTGTCATCTAAATAATCTGTAACCGTGTAGTATGCATTTTCACACAGTTTTTGTTTTATTAAGGACGTAAATTTGTTTATACTTAATTCATGATATTTGCTTGGAATTTTATTGTAGAATCGCACACCCTGATATCGAAAATATTGCTTACTTTTTGTAGTGTTAGTGTAGTTATTTCTAGTGTTTATGTTATGAATGTCGCTAAACTTTGAGAATAAATAACTATTTTTCTTAACATACACTAAATTTTCATATTTAAATTGAGATGCGACTTCGAATTTATTTAAACTTATCCCTCAGTGCCTATAACTGAGATTATAAATTGCGCGAACACAAAGATCCTTTGAATGTCAGCAGCATTTCCCCGCAACAAAATACCGTATGACATTACACTATGAAAATAGCTAAAACACACGTGTCTAGCTGTTTCTACATCGGTTAATTGACGAATTTTATAAACCGCGTTTGGAGAGAGTGTTGTTCACATCGTCAGTAACTGATTGCTGTCGTTGTAGTTTAAATAAAAGTAAAGTTCTATCCGCAAATAGCACTATCTCTTGATTATCTTTTATCAGATTAGTTAGGTTATTTATATAAACATGAAACAAAAATGGGCCGAGAATTGAGTCTTACGGAACCCCCATAGAGACCAGAGACCCGATGGACCTCTGTCCATTAACTTCCATTCTCTGGATCCTATTACCCAAATAAGAGATAAGAAGTTCCAAAGCAGTATTCCTTATTCCATAGTGATGCAATTTCCTGATCAATGTTTTATGAAAAACGCAATCAAATGCCATAGACAAATCACAAAACACACACAGAGCATCCCGCTTGTCCTCCCAGGCACTTAATATACTTGCCAGAAGATAAACACCAGCATTACTTGTCAAGCGACCTCTTCTGAAGCCAAATTGTTTCTTGTGTAGAATATTGTTTACACTAAAGTGAGTTAGCAGCTGATCGAGTATAATTTTCTCAAAAATTTTACTGAAAGTAGGTAACACCGAAATAGATCTATAATTTGTAGGATCAGAGGTCCTGCCCGTCCTAAAGAAAGGAATGATCTTACTACGTTTCGTTAGGTCAGGAAATACACCACATTCAATGCACTTATTGAAAATTAACGCCAACTCTTACACAGGTGGTCTAAAAAGTTTTCGACCTGATCACGAAGATGGCAACACTCGTGAATAAAAGCTAGTGAATTTTGTTGTTCATCTGCTGACAGTTACTCGCCAAAGTTTCAGCCATTTTGGACGCGCAGCTGTTATGTAACAGTCGTGTGAGTGAGTTCATGTGAGTGTTTTAATGAAAATGGACAAAATCGAGTATCAAGCTGTCATTAAATATTTGTTTTTGAAAGGCAATATGCCTACGCAAATCAAAGATGAGTTGGATTCTGTGTATTAACCATCATTTACCACAGTCAAATTTTGGGCAGCTGAATTTAGACGTGGCCGTAAGAGCTTGGGAGACGAACGTTCGGGACGTCCAAAAACATAGCCAAAGTTCAACAAATGGTGCTAGAAGACCGCCGAATTAAAGTGAGAGAGATAGCAGAGGTTATTAACATGTCAAAAGGACATGTTTGTCACATATTAAATCAACATTTAGACATGAAAGCTGTCCGCGCGTTGGGTGCCGCGTTTGCTCACGTTAGACCAAAAACGTCTTCAAATGAACATTTCCAACGCTTTGTTGGCTCAGTTTAGACGCAATAAATTCAAGTTTTGGGGCCGATTAATTACTGTAGATGAAACTTGGATATACCATTATACGAAACAATAATATACAGTCCAAACAGTGGGCTGCAAAGGGGGAACCGGCTCCAAAAAAGGCAAAAAAAATTTTTCATCTGGGAAAGTGATGGCGACTGTTTTTTTGCGATAGAGTCAGAGTTATTTTAACCGATTATCTCCAAAAAAAAACCATTACACTCATTTACAGAATTACCCCAAAGATCGGCGGTTTTCTTAACATTAAGAGCATTGAACCTTTTTACAATATCTTTATCGGTGGTACAACTAAATGTAAACTTAGTATTACAAATGTTGATATTCTCTTTCAATAAAGATTCTGCAATCCGTGTGGTGACGGAATAAGAATACGAAGTGTCATCACCCCCATTCATCCCGTGGGTGTCGTAAGACCCGACTAAGGGAGAAAACCACGTAGGACAACAGCACTGCAAAGAAAATGAAAACTTGACTCAAACCCTATACCAACCCGTCTGGCCAGCGTGGTATAGTAGACCAAAACCTCCTTTCTAAGGAGAGGCTTATGACCAGCAGTGGACTGTTAAACGCTGTTAATGATGAATAGAGGGGGACGAATTCAAGAACTTTGTGGTCGAAACTGGAATGTCTGTATTTTTTATGAGTACTTTTTTTCAACAGTTCGGCATGATTACAGTTACACGACCCAGAATTCAACAGCTCATTCATTCCCAGCATATATACCCTCATTTGCTTTTTAGAACTTTTAGATTTATTAGTCATAGATACTAATTTTTCATTGAGATATTTTAACTGAGAATTAATATTTTGTGTTTCATATTCATGGTTCAAGTCTCAATTTTTTAATTTCTCTGAATACATATCTAATTTTCTAATAGTCTAAGTTACGGCTGCGGAATCAATGCACTCATTGAGTATGTGCTTAAAACCCAACTCTTAAGCACCCGTTGATGTATTTTTGAAATGTCCCATTCACTCATTACGTAAATTGCAATAGTTGTCTTTGTCTAATGACGGCACGTGTATCGATAGTAATATATAGCTACCGTATATCATAATAAACAAAAAAAAAATAGCTTGAATTTAATATATAAATAATAAACGTACGTTATGAACGTATAAATGAAAGGTGCGGCTGAGTGCGCAACGGCAACCGTGATTTTTTAGTCTTTACATATATTGCCGTGAAGTGGACGATATTTTATTTTAAAAATTAGTGAACGAAATGTTTTTTCAAAAATTAATTAATAAAAACTTAATTAAAAATACTAGCGGCCTCATTTTGATAGGCAACCTGGTAGATATCTAATCATATGCGTAAAAACGTGGGTTTTTAGCACATGCTCGATGAGTGCACTGATTCTGCAGCTGGATATCGTACTATAAGCAATGACAAGAGTAAGTTAAGAAACCTCAAGATGAAATTGAATTCTCTATTCTGAGATATGATGTGACAAGTTGTATGATAAATGTTACAATTTTATTCTTACGTGGAAAATATTGAGTTAACAAAGTTGAAGATTATAGCAAATTTTACAATTAGAATAAATCGTTACTCGATCTAGATACTTTAGGAGGTTGTATGTGTAGTGGCCATCATTTCTGACACATTTTGCTAGTAAATAAAAATCAGGATTTAAGTTCTAAAAAATTTGTATTAGGCAAAATTTCGGCAATTTAATAAAAATCTTAAAGTTCAATATCTTGAAAATAATTACTTTTGGGATATGGGATTTAATAGTGAAATCTATTAGAAATAATGGCCACTACTCGTACAACTCTCTAAAATATCTAGGTCGACTTAACCTGTAACCCTGTATCTTCCCGATTTGAGACTTCCCGAGTGTAACTCGGTATGTTCGTGGGTCACTGTTGTTGATCCTGGTGTAGAGGAGTTACAGTGGTGGGCGTGTGGGAGGGATTAGGCCCCCAAAGAAAAACATCCTGTATCTGTTAAGTTGGTTTGTGTCCGCTTCAAAAAATTTAAAGTTCTACATCGATTGAGCTAAATAATTGCCACGATATACAAACCGCTCCAAGGATGGTTTTTATATATTTTCCTCGTCAATTTAGTTTCCCATTAGTGCGACTTCAATGTGTTACAAAGAAACGTAGCGGGTTACAGTTGTTTTTTTATATAATGCCGCAGGATTAGCTAGCGTGGACCTAGACAATAACTTACACAGTGCCTCAATATTATTTCCATTGAGTAAGCTATACAAATTGTGTGTGGACAAATTATTTGATGCCTTGAAACGCCATGATTCTTGTAAAGGTCTTAGGCCCGTATTTTACAACCCGTCTCAAGTATCGGTTGAACTCTGATTATCTGAAATTAGTTTCAAATTCAGGTCAACGTTTTATTCAGTTGAAACTAATCTCAGGCAATTATTTGAAATTACAGTCTGTTCTCAATTACGTTTAAGCATGATCAATTTTCAATCGATCGATTTTCACATCAATGTAGTGAAAGTATTCCTAGTTGAAACAGATATAAATGTAATACCCTAATGCTTCTATTTCTGACTTGCTTCTTTCAGCTTCCTTTAGTTTCTCAACAATTTGTTCAAACTCCTCTATGTCTTCCGGACGGACAAATCCGGTTGGACGTCTGTGGATCTTAGTGTGCGATGGCGTTGCAGTTTTCGTGCTGATTGATACCCTCCTGAAATAGTAAATTACAGCAAATGCAAATTTTTCATTTAAATTGTTCACTTTCGGGAGTTAAGTTTCCAATATTTCGGCATCACTAACAGTATCAGTCAAACATAGTAAAAATCCCATGTGCAATAACTTATCAAACAAATTATTAAATTATTTTCTTAAGGTTATATTACATGGGCTGAAAAGTCCCGGGCCTAACACATATATGGCGCTAGTTTTATTGCAGTCACCTTTTTTTCAGTTAATACTAACCTTCAAAAGACAGCTGTTAGAATTTCATGATATTCTATTCATTAGTTTGTGAGTTATTGTGCTAAGAGTGACGATACTTTTATTATTTTCAAAACAATGGATCAAAAACAATTTCGTGTTTTAATTTTACACTGCCTCTTGATGGGAAAAAAAAAAAGCAATGGCTTGAAAAGTGTTATGGGGTCTCCACTCCATCAGAAACAACAATAAAACGTTGGTTTGCTGACTTCAAACGTGGTCGTAGAGACACCGATGATGCAGAACGCAGTGGATGTCCAAATGAGGCGGTAACACCAGAAAACATAAAAAAAATCCACAAAATCGTTTTGAATGATCGAAAAGTGAAGTTGCGTGAGTTAGCTGACATCGTAAAGATATCAAAAGAACGTGTTGGCTTTATATTGCATGAGCATTTGACTATGAGAAAGCTCTGTTCAAAGTGGGTGCCGCGTTTACTCACTATTGACCAAAAACGAGAACGTGTTGATGATTCTGAGCAGTGTTTGGCCATGTTTAAACGTAACAAACCGGAATTTTTGCGTCGATATGTGACAATGGATGAAACATGGATCCATCACTTCACTCCGGAATCAAAACGATCGTCATCTGAGTGGACAGCAACTAGTGAACCTCGTCCAAAGCGCCCGAAAGCACAACAATCGGCTGGAAAGGTTATGGCCTCGGTATTTTGGGATGTGCGTGGTGTAATATTCATCGACTATCTTGAGAAAGGAAATACCCTTAACAGTGAATATTATATAGTGTTATTGGAGCGTTTGAAGGCCGAAATTGCAAAGAAACGACCGCATATGGCAAAGAACAAAATTTTGTTTCATCAAGACAACGCACCGTGTCACAAGTCAATCAAAACAATGGCAAAACTACATGAATTGAACTTCGAATTGCTCCCACATCCACCGTATTCGCCAGATTTGGCTCCCAGCGACTATTGGCTGTTCGCAGACCGCGGTAAGAAATTTCGCACGAAACGTATGTCAAACTATTACATTGGCTAGGAGGTTTGGCGTTTGGCAAGCAGCCGGCCCTTAATGAAACCAGCTAAACCTTTTAAAGTAACACGTTGCGCCGATCCTAAATAAAATAGGAAAAGATTTAGAAGATGTTGACTTAGGAACGATAATATGATGTTGACAAATATTTTGAATAATTGAGTCAACTTTTTTTTTAAAGTTAAACAAAATCTTTCTTTCGTTTACTTTAATTCCTGAATTGGATGAAATTGGTTTTATTTTTTAACATTGAATGAATCAGACTTCTGTCTGAAAAAGCATGTAACTCAAGACTCAAGACTGCACTTATTAAGGCATTCTTTCGTTGCTTTTAAACGAGGGAATGAATGAATTCTAAGGGGGGGGGGGAGGGGCTCAAACCTTAGAATTGGAGGGAGGAGTTTGGGCTTTGGTAACTTCATTCACTCGATTAAAAGCAACGAAAGAATACCTTAATAAGTGCCGTTGCGTAAAGGCGTCACACATGTTATAGAAATAATCTGTAAGCTTTATTACACTGAACCCTATAATTCCGTGAAACTATAGTTATAACATATAGATGCATAAGTATACTTACTTCTTCTGATTTCGATTTTTAATTTCTTTTGCAGTGATCCTTAAAAAAAGAAATATATATTTATATTAATCATTTATAAAAATAATTCATATATATTCCAAATAAGTTAAGAAAAGTTTACCTAAATAACCTGAGGTCTTCGTCAGTATATCTCCTGAAAATTAAGACATATATTAGTTAAAATAATTTGAAATAGTACATAAAAAGTACACCCTTAAACTTTGATTAATTATTCATCACTAATATTGAACACAACCTTACTCGTATAATCTCTATATAAATGTTAAGTTGGTTTTTATACGCTTCATAAACTCAAAAAGATCTGCACCGATTGAGCTCAAATTTTAACACGATGTAAAATCTTTTTGACCCCTTCAAGGATTGTTTTTATCTATTTTTCGAGGCAATTTAGTGCCTCATTCCTATTGCAATTTTAATGTGCCACAGCATAGCGTGGCAAGGTACAGCTAGTCTAAAATCTAAATCAACCACAATCTTATTCAAACTAGGTACATTTTAATAAACTTTGATTTTAACTCGTGCCCCTGCGAATATAAGGCCGTCCGTTTAGTGAAAAAAAGTTTAAAGGACATACAATCATTCATACCGATATCAGAAGGGACCATGCGTCTAGGTATAATGAAAGCTTTTTTTTCTCTACACTGTTTAGATGGGACAAGCTTGTCGGGTCATATTAATGTATACAACACATCAAATTAAAAGAACCTATTCTTTTACAGGTATTCAAAAGCAGATGTTCTTTAATAGTTTTTAAAATGTTTATTACGCAGCTCCTAGATTAATATGTATATGTACTAGTTTTGCACTCACTTTCGGCTGCCCTCAATTTCATTAAAAATATCAAACTTTCCCTCCTCATTAGCAATTTTTTTAATGATCGAGCCTCCGAAACTGGTCGTATCTACATTTTGTCTGTAAGTTATAAAATATTATGTTTATTAAAAAATTGTTATAACACTGGATAAACATTTAATTGTAGTTTTTTCATACTTAATATATTCCCGGATATCTTTTTCTTCATCTAATTCTAAAGACATTTCTGCAAGGAAAAATTAGAAATTATTTAGTTGTAATATTAAATAGTTACAAATCTATTGCATACCTACGTGTCATATATACGTACCCGAAAAATTTATTTCTAAGTCATTGAACTCGAATAAAGCATCAAGTAAATCATCAGGTACATTTATCACATCTCTTTTAACATACAATTGCTTTCTCTTCTCACGGTCTTGTTCTAGGTCAGTTTCGAGGCAATAGTCACCTCTCAGCAATCTTAAAATAATATAAATGAAATGTTTTGAATACACAAGTAAATTATTTAAAATATACTTTTCGCACTCGAAGCACAAAATTCACACTATTCGTGATTTAGTTGCGCGTTGCGTGAATTTATATTGTCAAAATGGTAAACTGCAGCATGATGGGTTGTAAAAACGCATCAGGGACGTGTAATTTAAGTAATAAAGGCAAAACATTTCATCGGTAAGTTTATCTTTTACTAATACATCATCAGTATTTTGACTGTTAATGGATTTTAAATAATAGGTATCATTCATTTATAAGTATCATTACTGTTAATAATAGGTCTTTACCTATGAAATTGCCGTTTTGTATGCAATAAGTGAAAGTACTTATTTTTTCAAACTTTTTTATTTCTGTTATTCGAAGTAATCACCCATGCAATCGACGCATCTTTGCCAACGCATTGGCAGTTTATTGATGCCCTTCTTGTAAAAATCAGCTGGACGGGAGGCAACAAACTCTTCAAAGGCATTTTGTACTGCCTCTCGGGAATTGAATTTTTTACCCACTAAAAAGTTGTTTAAATTTTGGAAAAAGTAATAGTCGGTAGGTGCAAGGTCTGGTGAGTACGACTACGAGCAAATACAAAGAGAAGGGCCTAAGCAACTATGCACTGTGATTCTTACTAGGTCCTGACGTCATCACAGTAAGTATGGCTTAAAGTTAGTACACTCAGAATCCGTACTGTCTTGTGTCGCAAAATCACAAATCGGTATATTTTCGTGGTATTAAGAAGAAAATGATTAAATTTTGTATTTTATCGTGTAAATATTATTCGGATAGACGTTTTGTAGCTATGGATTGCATCAAAATTTATAGTTAATTTATTAAAATAGTTCTGGAAAATTCTCTTAGTGTTTTTTGAAATATAGTATATATATTTAGTAGTAGTTATGTAGTTACATCTATTCGACACTAAATGACTAAACGTTGTGTAATGGAAACTAAAAATACAAAGGTACGTAGAGCTTAGCTTTAGTAAAACAATTCTAAAATTTGTTCTGCATTCAGTCCTTAACAATTTTTAATCGCCAAAATAATATATTAAAAAACTTTGTAATCATTTTGTGAACAGACTGTCATCTATCGTCAACTAGAAAAAGACACATAAATAGAACAAAAGAATAGGGTCGAAATTGGAATCCAATTTTAAACCAATAAAGTACTTTTAATATGAAAATGAAGGCAATTGTACTTGTAATTGTATTGGCAAATTTTTACGAAACGATTAAAGTATAAGTGACATTCTAATTGCAAAAAAAACATTAAATAAAATTTGAATACGTTTAGCACTTCGTAAAAGTCAACCCAAGAAAATAAAGTCTCCTTGAAAGTAAATACTATATTTAAAGTAGTTTTCTACCGCAAGACATCTAATATAAGTATTGCAGCTTAGATATTTGAAGGTTATATTAATGTTTGGTAATTTTATCGTTTATTAATTTATTTCGTTAATTGTTTTTTTCTCAGATAAGCATTCTAAAGTGCATTCAGATGCCTAATTTGAAAATAATATTTTAATTTTATTTGATTTCTAAATAAAATTACATGCATGACTATAGACTATAATAATTTCTTTATTATTTGTTCTCCCTTAAAAATAACACTTTTTTTGTCCGTAGTGGAGTGACAATAAGACAAAAAGATAAGCCGTACACAGAAATTACTACAAACGTTTTAATTCTCACCCTAGTAATAACCAGCGCCTATGAGTTAATCGAGTCATAATCTATCTGTATACTAAACTTTATCTAAATCCTTCCAGATGTTCCAGAGTGAAAAATATCACATACACGGTACATACCTTTTTTTTCCGTGCGGAAATCCCCTCGGATACCAACCACCAGTATGTCCTGGGTGGCTATGTCCGACTCGAAGCGACCAAAAACTGCACGCCGTCTCGGGTACTTGTAGTCGGGAAACCAGGTATCCAAAAAACCCCGACATACCTCGGACCATCTACGAATTAACTACAACTAGATGACCCCCTCCTATATGGGAACCCCGATGTTAACTGAGGACTCAGGATCTTCTGCTCCTCTGATGATATGGGAACAGAAGACCAAGTAACAGCACCTGACCCACGTTCGCCTGGAGAATTTGAATATGTGGATCCATTATGTGGATGTGGATATGTGGATCCGCTTATGGAGGACGGAGGTCGCAGAACGACCTCCGTCCTCCATAAGCGCAGGCCTGGGGATGACAGGTGAGGCCATCTGTCACCCTAGCAGAAGCAGGCCGGGGTGGCGGCGAGCGCGTTGCGAAGCGCGCTCGCTTCCAGGGAGCACAGGGAACATAGGGTTCCCACACGGGGGGGGGTCGTCTACTCGTCTGTAGATGACCCGAGGTATGTCGGGGCACCAGGGACTTCCTTTCTAGGGTATATCTGGTTCCCCGGCTATTAGTACCCGAGACGGCGTGCGGTTTTAGTGGGTTCGAGTCCGACATGCCACCGACAGGTGGTATCCGAGGGGATTTCCGCACGGAAAAAAAAAAAAGGGAAGTTAGTACGATTATAATATGAGTAAGATTTTTGCAATATATGTAAGTTTCAAGATGGTACAGATTAATTAAATTAATCTTTAATAAAATCACTTGTACGAAAAATCTGAATACGTCACGTGTCGTCTGTGCGTGTGGGTGTATGTGTATGTATGAATGTATAAGAACTTTTGAATAAACATAAGGAGAGTTAAAATATTACTCATAGCTTTTGTTTTGTAACAAATATAGTAAAAAAAACATTAAACACGAAAGCCGGGCAAGAGCATATTTCCTAATAAAATTAATAAGTATAGGTTATGTTATTATTTATTTATAAGTTTAAATTTAATTTTGATTACATATTTACTTTTATCAGTCTGATTTGATTAAAGTGTCTCGTCTTGCCCGTGAAGGTAGTTGAAAGACCATATTAGGTTTTCTACAAGACAAAACAAACAAACAAACACAAGAAGACAAAACAATACATGTACATTAGGGTGTCCCGAATTTTTTTTATTCTTATTTTAGCTACTTAAGACCTCTTAAAAGTTGCGCTGTTAGACGTAGATTAGCGTAAAAATAATTCAAAAAATATTTAAAAATATCCTTAGGGCTACCAGCATTTTTATTTACTGAAAATTCGCAAAAACAACCTTGTAGTCAATGTCGTATATTCTATGTTTTATGAATCAATCCTGTTTTGTCTTGTAATTTTATTAATAAGAATAAGCCTCGGCTATGATTTGCAAGTATCGACAGGTTGTTTTAGCGATCAATCGGTTTGGATCGGACTTGCAAAATTCCTACAAAATTCATGTTTTGACTTGATTTTCGTACGTGCGCTACTTCTACAACAAGACAGTTCGTCTCATTTCTATTTCGATTTTACTCTTGTAAGGAGTTGTTCTATTCTTCTTTGAAAGAAAAACGTAATTTGCGTTACTTAATCATAAAAATGTGTTCAAGGCGAAGTGAGACTACTTATACTATATTGGGACCTTATAAAGAACTTGACGATCGCCAATTACCTGTTATAAAAGACGTTATTAAGTGCATTTTATTTACTAAAAGTGAATTAAAACTACAGAAAAACGGAAAAGATCCATCGAACACAGAAGTCTTTTCAATAGTTTCTGGAAAACTTAACACAATTTGGACCAAAGCTTCAATCCCCATCGTTTCTAACGTACGGGTTACTCAACTGCTAACCGCATATTTTAACAAATATTTATCACTAATAAGATATCCTAAAGGTAAGAGAAACGATAGCTATGACAACAAAGTTAAGTGCTTTTTGGAATCGTCAAATTTGGAAAATTGTTCCTGCACTAAACCCAAGAAAGTTCCCATTTCTGAAAGAGATTTTTTACTGGACCAAAGAAATGATAGGAAAATGGCAATAAGCGGCGTAGACGCAAAAGAAACTGCAAGGCTTTTAAAGAAACATGAAAGACAAGAAAATTTGAAGCGGACAGAGCAAGCATGTTTTCCGAGTACTTCACAAACCGATACTGTACCGGTACGCGTGTTGCCGCCTCGTTCACAGTCGCTTTCAATAGAACCTTCTACTAAAAGTGACTTAAAGGAGTCTCCATCTAATTCATTTAGTCGGAACATTCTGACGCTGCCAACAGTAGCTAAGGTATGTGATCGATACGGACTATCAACGCGTTCGGCAGCTGCAGTCGCTTCAGCAGTCTAAGTTGACGTAGGAATGGTATCTTCCGAAGATCTAAACCTTGTGATTGATAAAAATAAGATTCACAGAGCTGTTTCAAAGCCACGTACCCAAGCCAGCAAAGACATCGAGAAAATTATTATAAAGAGTATCTACTTCGATGGGCGAAAAGATAAAACTCTCAAGATCAATAAAATAGACAGCCGGTACCACCGAAAAGAAGTCTTAGAAGAACACATTTCAGTTCTTACAGAGCCGGGATCTATTTACTTGGGACATACGACGCCGAGTCGAGGTACTGCGAAAGGGATTGTCACTTCTATTATAGAATTGTTAGAAAATCAAGGATGGAACTTAGAAGTAAGTTGTGTGGGTTGCGATGGCAGGTTGGAAAGGAGGTGTCATTAAATACCTGGAAGACTATTTGAAGAGACCGTTACAATGGTGTGTTTGTATGCTTCACACAAATGAATTACCGCTTCGCCATTTGTTTATGTCTCTAGATGGTAGCACATCTGGGCCGAAAGAATACTCAGGACCTATTGGAAAACAGCTAAATGTTTGTGAAAGTAAACCACTAGTGTCTTTTTGTGCAGTGGCTGGCAATTTGCTCGAATTACCTGATGACATTGTGAAGGAACTAAGTACGGATCAAAAGTATCTGTATGAAATGTGTCATGCTGTGACGACTGGTTCTTGTTCCCCTGAGTTAGCGAGCCGCCAACCTGAAAAAATGGCGCATTCAAGATGGCTAACTACTGCCAATCACATATTCAGACTTTATGTAAGTACTGTTTCGCCATCAAATAATTTAAAGCTGCTTGTCAATTATGTGGTCAAAGTTTATGCTCCAGTTTGGTTCCTCATTAAGAAAAACTCATCATTCAAAGATGGAGCCAATCATATTTTTCAAATGGTTACATACTCCCGATTTTTGCCTGATAAGCAAAGATCTATTGTGAATTCAGTGATCGAGAGAAACGCTTTTTTTGCTCACCCTGAAAACTTACTTGTTACCATGCTATTCGACGACAGAGAGCATATTCGAGAGCTTGCAGCTCGCAAAATATTAAAGGCAAGAGAAGCAGAAATAAGCAATACTCGCAGGGTATTTAAAGTACCAAAACTTAACTTCGATGTGCGATATTACATCGATTTGATATTTTGGCAAGAGTGTGAGATATCCGCTCCACCGATTTTGCGACAGATGTCCGACGACGAACTGAGAATTAAGGCTAAAGAACAAAGCTTCGATGCTATTGATTTCCCCTGTCATACACAATCAGTGCAAAGATGTGTAAAGCTAGTGACGGAGGCTTCTCTAAGTGTCACGGACGCTACAGCTCGGGATGGTTTAATCAGAAACAGATTCAAATCTCGCGCGGAAATGCCTAATTTTGGCCACAAGAACCAATTTCGTATTTGAAATAAGCACTAATTATAAGTATTTAAACTTTACTGAACATTACCTTATGTCTTTGTAGTACCTATAAATTTGATTAAAACCTTTAAAACATTATTTTTGTATCATTTATAGTTTATGTTCGAAACCTCTAAAAATGGCAAATTTGAAAAACTTCTAGGATCGGTAGAGGCCTAAAGATGACAAATATTTAATTAAATTTTGTTATATTTATAATCTATTCACAAAAACGCAACTTTTGATACCTCTTGCGTAGCCGTCGCTTTAAAAAAAAAATCCCATACATTGACGGGACACCCTAATGTACATACCTACAACATGCAAGCTCCATTAGTCAGGATAAGGTAATAGATGTGCTTTAATTTACTTTTTAGGCAATTAATACTTGTTTATTAACTTATGAGGCTCATTAAAACTTGAAACAAATGTCAATTATGAAAACAATGATTTCTTGTCTTTACACGTGCGTTACATAACTAACCTTTGTAAATTAAAGGCTGATTCAACTTCTCCAGGGTAAGGGACGTCCGTTAGAGGTAAATAATAGGGTTTCTCAACAATTCTACTTGATTTAGGCGTCAATTCAGAAAGACCATCGCTGGCTTGTTGGAACCCACCTTCTTCCTCTGATTCATATTCTTCATATTCATCTACGTCAAAATCATCGTTCACACTTTCACTAGTGAAAAAAAAGTTTTTATACCTTATTTTCACGCTTATATTACACTCATTATATAAAAAAGGAAAGCAAAAATAATTCAAGAACAAAGTAATGAGTATGATAATGATAATGTAAAATTATTTTAGATGCTTTTTGTTCATCATATTGGGATCAAATACGTACGTACGTACGGTACATGAATACCTCTCCCCAATGGCATGTGCACTGTAAATAGGAATAGGAAATATAGTAAAGCGTTAAAGGTAGGGCTCCTTGAGAGGATTTTTAAATTATTGACTGACTTTCATTGTTTTATAAACAAATAACACATATATTATGGACGGACTTAAAGACATGCCATATTATATCGTTAAGAACGGTTGACTGCAATAGCGGGCACTACGCGATGCTATCATAGTTTTCACATAAAAGTGACTGTTCCCCTACCTATTTTGACTTGAACGGACATCTTGAACAATTTTGTCAGACTCCTCTAGTGCAAATTCTTCTGCCATTCTTTTTTTCTCTTCAATTGCCGCATATAACTTCTCCAATAAGGCCTTAAAGGATAAACCAGGTCATTATTTCAACAGAAGGTTAATACTACTTTATAATTTTACGTACTTTATAACTCTCTATAGCTAAGAACTCTTTATGTCTCTAATATGTACAATTGTTTACTATTTGACATCTTTAGATAAGTTATTCTCTTAGCTACAGCACTTACATACCTCATAAAATAATGCTCCAAGTTGAACAAGATCTTCAATATGGCCAGATATGTATTCAGTAGCAGTTTTGTTAATTGGCCTCCAATGGCACTCCATGTTAAAAACGCCTGCCTTGTAAATAGTTATTTTAGCTGTTGGTGATTCGTACCATGTCGGTACACTTTCGATCTTTTTAAGAGTTTGTTCACCTTCAATAAGTTGGCCAAATGCTACATATTTGTTTTTCATCCAAAGGGCTGGTTGTAGTAGTACAAAAAATTGTGTAGAACAGTCTTTATTCCTGAAAATATTATTCGAATATGATAATGGTAACATTTGCCTTTTTATAGTTTAGATTGCAAGCGAGCAGACTCGTCAGCAGCGACCACCGCTACCCATGAACACCTGCAACTCCAGAGACACAAGTGCGCTGATTGTGTGATCCTGATTTTTGAGCCAGAGGTTCTGGGTTCGACTCCCACCCAGGATAAATATTGTGTGATGAGCACGACCATTTGTTTTGTTTCTAGGTGTAATTTATGTATAACTAGCTTTTGCCCACTTGTATGTCGGTTATCACAATAAAAAGTAGCCTATGTAATTCCTTTAAATCGGTTATTGATTCCCCATACAAACTTCGATCCCTCCCCTTTTTTAAAGGATGATTTCGGGGATAAAAACTATCCTATGTTTTATTTTCTTTGTATTTCATTTCAATCGGTTCAGCGGTTTAAGCGTTAAGACAACCTGTCGTATTTATAATATTAGTAGGGATATGTACATATCCCTACTAATATTGGGGCAAGCCTATTGCCGTACATTAGGCATATATATATATTATACATATAGTATATATACTCGTATATACCTAATGTACGGCAATAGGCTTGCCCCCAATACAGTAGGAGTAAATGATGTCGACAAAATGTGTACCACTTAATTCGCCCTTCGGGGACAAAGACGTGAGTGTATACATATATGCATTCACCAAGTTATATTCTTGTTTTTTTACGTAAAAAAATTAAAGATGCCATTGTTTTTTTTATGTTTATTACACATTTAACTAGGTTATTGAATAACAGTTGAATAAAATGATGAACTATGTTTGGAAACAGGTAGTTTGGGCATAATGCCAATATATTTACGTCTTACCTGCCCGCATTAGCCATGGCTAGTACTCCACGTCTATCATGGGGAACAATATAATTTTCACAGTCCAGTTCAGTGGGATTTTTCAATGCAAACCCTCCACATTGTATCCAGGAGTCTTGTACAATGCGGTGGATAGGGGCCCCCGCATAGCCATTTTTCTTTAATTCACACAGCCTAATGAAGTTTTCACATGTAAACGGGACTATATCAGCGTATAGCTACAAATTGATAAAATTGATTAAATTTGCTAAGTACCTACTTGAAGATTTAGTAACGGCTGTTTTTTTAAATCCTCAGTTATACTATCAGACAATCAACTTGGGAATAAATTCATATCGCTGTTTATCAAGCGAATAATTTTTTTCTGTTTTTCAATCGGTAGTAAACCGTCAGGTTGTTACTTGATGGTCTTTTATAGCTAAGTTCACTGTAAACATGCGCAAGCGAGTTGCAGCAACAAAGTTAGTAATACGTTAGATAAGGTTCACAAGCAATTAGACAACATTTGTGTCATTCTTTTCTTGTCATTGCTTGTCTGTCAGATAATAAGATAAACTTATTGACGTTGGTAGTGTATGTATATGGTGTAGTGTTTATTTTATTTATTTATATCTTTATTGTATACAGTTAACACAATATAAGTTACTTACAAATATATGGACGTAACAATCGGCGGTCTTATCGCTCACGGCGATCTTTTACAGACAACCTTAATACGGATATTAGACATTTAAAAATTTGGGTAGTTTACATAATGTGATAGTTTACATAGTGAATGTTTAAAAATACCAAAAAAAACATTTATACACAAATATACATCTGTTCACATTACACATAGATAAATACACATACATATGCTATATATAATGAAACCAACAGTATTGATAGTCAAAATGTTTAGTGTAACAGACTGCTACTTGAAAGGTTGCGGGTTCGATTTCTGCTCCATTCAAACATTCGGGACATTTACATTTAATTTTGTAATTTTGTCTGGGTGTTTCTAAGTATAATATGTATGTATTTAGAAAAAAAAGTACCTATGTATATTTATATTAGTTGTCTAGTACCTATAATATAAGCTCTGAGCTCTTAGTTCGGGACTAGATGGCGTTGTGTGAATGTGGTATATAATATTGTGATTATTTTTCTTGTTACTTTTCTATAAAATGATATCAATTAAGAGACGAGTATCAAATTTAGAGAAATTGCATTTGCTAAAAATTTGTAATGAAATTGTTCACCATCATACAAAGTATTGTCATTTCATTCTCTAAAAACGCTTTCTTTTGTCTCAGGACAGCGAAATTTACATACTCAGTAAGGGCAACATATATAAACTTTACTACAACAGATATTAGAGAATGTAAACAAACAAACAAAACTCAGAATAACTGTTCTACGGATAATATCACTAACTGATGCGTGTAACGTCAGATAAAGTTCTTCCTTAGATTTAAGTTTTATTCTTCAAATAAAAACTGTTTGACCATTGAAAAATCCAAAATTACCCTAACTGTGGAAGAAACGCTATCTTACTGTTTATCTGAGGATTAAAACCGGCCCTAAATTTAAAATAAATGAAAGAATTCAACTTAAAAAATCGAACGTTTAGAACGGTCTTAAATATATATCGGCCAAACTTACCATGAATATTAAAGGTCCTATGGGTACATTATCGATAGCAATGTGTAGAAAAGCGCACGGTCTCTGAAAGTATTAAGTTGTGGTGATATGTAATTTAAACTTTTAATTGATAAAATTTTAAATATGAAGACTTACACCACTTGACTTAATATAATTGGAAAATTGTTCAATGCCTTCTTTATGAAAATCTAAATATTTAGGATAATTGTAAATATATTTGGTTTCAATCAATTCTAGTAATTCTTGTTCTCCGCCTAGAAATTCATTGTTTAACAACACAACAACTTGGGACTTTATACAATGCACTTTTTCACCAAATTGAATCTTCAAATCATTCCATACTTTTGGCCATTCGACACTGCTTACTCCTACAAAGTAATTTGTTATTAGTTTTAGATATTAATTATTAATGACACAAATAATTACTCTAGGTCATGCGTTCAATTACAGGTCATCGGAGTTCACTATAAAACAAAATTCGTGTTTGCAGCATATTTTTAGCTTATGTTGGAGAACACAATTTACTACCTTTATCGTTTAAAGCTAATCTACTTGCACGATAGGTATAGCTGGCATGTTGGTATTTAATATGCCTTACAGAAGTGAGGCACACTCAATACAATTACAAATTTCAGACAAAAAAAGGACGGAAAAAGGAAGATTAAATTAAATGACTTTTCCATTTAATATCATTGACCATTTTTCACGTATAAGGGTAAAATGACGAGACAGGTCACCTAATGGAAATTGACCACTAAAAGAAAAAGATAATGATGATGATTGATATTTGAATGTACGCACCTCGTACGATAGGAGCTTCAAACTGCCTTCTTCTACACTTATGCAATCCTCTTACCATATGCATGCAATAAATAAATTCTTTTGTTACCCTGTTTCCAATCACTATAAATCTTAAACGCTTAAGTTCTTCAGTTTTGGGAGCCGGATATGATGGATTTGCGACAGAATTGTGACTGTGTTTATATGTACCGGAGTATTTAGCTTTAATCCTATGTTCCCACGGGTGTTTACATGTCGGTTTTTCTTTCAAGATTATTCCAGGATTAAAAAACGTCATTTTGAGAAATCGTGTTTTGCTTTATTAATATATGATATGACATGCCTAATATTTTTTATTTGTTTGAAGAATCATGTCATTTTCCTCTTTGTGGCCTGGTATGAATATTCATGTCATTTCTCAACGCCTTTAAATATTCCAAACTGCTTAATGATCCTGCGATTTGGCCACATGGAAATCGGGTCTCATGCGTCCGTTGTTGTCTCTTATTATATTATACAAGGTCATTGATTAAGCAGAGTTGATCTGTATCAGATAAAATTGACCACTTTCAAATAGTTTCAAACAAGCTTCATGGTATAACCGTAATTCGTAATCCGTATATTCGTGATGCCACAGCATAGATATTCACACAACGCCATAACAATCTTGTCAGTGACTTGTGATCTCCGAACCGTCAATTTCTTTCAGAGTTATAAAATTTGTCAAATGGAGTAGTGTTAGGGTAATATACAGGGTTACTGGGGAAGTCAATCTAGATACTTTAAGGTGTTGTAGTTACTGTTGCCATTATTTCTGATAGATTTTACTATCATATCCCAAACCTAACCATTTTTAAGATATTGACTTGAACTTATATCCTTATTTTTTTATCTTTTTTTTACAGTTTTTGTGTAGTTGATACATTGTTTTATAATTTACATTACCAAAATTGTAGTTAACAAACTGGATGAAAGTAGATGGTTAATAATGGCAAAAAGAAATACATTTGTATTTCTTTTCTTTGACGAATATTATAAAATATTCTACTACATTTAAGCTGCAGATTTCGTTCTACAAACCAAAGCTATCAATTTCGTTCTACAAACCGTTCCACAGATTGGTTGTGCGGGGCAAAAAGTGTCTCAAAAAGCGCACAGTAGTGGAGCGCCAACTATCCAGATGATGAGGATGACAATTTTGGCGCGTGGAACGTTGGCAGAAAGTTGCAGCTGGTATTAGTCCGAACAATTCCTAGGAGCACTCTCCATGATCTATGCGATAGAGAATGCAGAGTGAAGCCACATCTCTATCTAACGCCAAGGGATCGAGCCGATCGGAGATGTCTAGGATTCCGATGTTGGCTGAGGCAGTTAGGGAGGTTTTTTTTTTATTTGAGGTGCTCTCAAACCGAAGTGATACGACAAACTCTTCGAGTCAGGCAGGGTATACTTACATAATCTGAAAGCATTCACTTATAGCGTGATATATATAGCGGTATATAGTGAACCTGTAGATATTTTCGGTCCGTACGTGGACGTCTTTGCAAATTTAGGCAGAGCATGTGTGTGCCAATTCTGTTAAAGCGGTGGTTGGTAATATAAATCAGCTATGACTAAAAGGCCAATTTATGGTTACGGGTAAAGCCTATAACTCCGGTTATATTATGATTATGGTTTAATCCAGAATACAAACCTATCTTATCGTAACACAATAGGTGACTGCACAGGTGGCGCAGTCGTTCGAGCGGTTGCCATGCCGCTTACCACTACGCTGAGTGTTGTGGATGCGATCCCCACATGGGACGACACTTTGTGTACTCTACAAATTGTCTGACTTTGTGTCCGTTTCATGTATGTTTGTAAAGTCCCCCGTGACACAGGATATATTCCTAATGCGGGAGATGTCGTTATTTAAAAAAAAAAACGGCGTGATGGGTCTATGGACCCCCGGTCCGAACGTAGTGAATTCTCCAAATTTTGAACCAGTCCTCTATTTTGTTAATGTGATGTTGTGATGTCAGTGCGTATACGCGCGATAAGAAACTTCGTTCCAAAAAAATAGTTGCTCATTCACAACAGCGGCCGCAGTCGCATCCTGTAAGGCATGTTTGCATATACATGCGTACCACTTATGGGAGATGCGGTTCAATCGAAAAATCGACCAAACAGTATTAATAGTCTTGCGACTGGCGGAAAGTGTTTTTTTATCGCTCGATACACTTAAAAAGTTGTGCTATTCGTATATAATAATAAAACTTCATTGGTTGAGTAAATATTATGTAACAAAAAATAAATATATTCTATGAAAAAAAAACCGATACAAAAACGTAACAAACATTTCTATAAAGCTATTTAACACAATGATGAGTAAGTATCATCTGTCGTGTGAAATTAATCCGAGTAGGCGTAGTTATTTATGGAATTGCTTCAGTACACAAAACTCAAACTTATGTTTGAATTTTGAACAGTATTTTTTTTCTAAATCTGCAAAATAAAGAAATAAGTTTATATTGAGACACACATATATAAATAAATTATGAGATGACAGTTTTGTTTTCTGAAAATGTATCATTCGTCTTAACTTTTACCAATCAGTTTCATATTTTCGGGGATCATCGTAGAGGACTGCGACGGTTTAGACTTTAAGGTATCTATACCTTGGTATTACATCGGTAGCAAACCATAACTAAAAATCGCTGTGAAACGGGTGCTAACAAAATCTTGGATAGTTCCTAGCTTCCTCGCTCTACCTGTTTTCTCTACCCCAATTTGCCTTTATCCGTTGTCCCGTCTGAAAAAAATGGCATTAACAAGGAAGGACGACCTTACCACCAGGGAGTTCATAAAATAAATCAGCCAAATCCATTTTGAGATTATTTTTTACTGAATAGTTATGTAATACTGCATATCTAAGTAATTTATAAACTATCGCGTTCCATTTTTTTTTTGTTTACGTCTCTAGCAAGTCTAACTTAAGGTGCTTAAGGATGAGTCCCCGCCCTCGGTCCTTTTTTGTGCCGTTTTGTTGACAAATACTTCTACATATGTTCAATGGAATAAAGAGCTCACGATAGGCATTAAGAAGATACCTTTGAATTGCCCAAGTTCTTAATCAGTTACCCCTGGCCTTAATAGGGTCTCAGTACTTAATAGCTTTATTTATAAAAAAATATATAAAGCAAAATTTCTGAAGAGTTACTGGTACCATTATTTAATTTTTCGCATTGACCTAAAGTAAATAAGTAATATAAGTGTAAGCGGACTAGACATGAATTGAACTGAAATCGCTATTAATACTACTTATTACTAACCAATACATGTATACTTCTTTTGTAACCTTCGGCAGACCTCTAGTTCGAGCAGGAACCGTGTTATTAGAGTCAGGATCAGTACGTAAATGACTGATATAACTATGAAGTTTCTGTTGCTTTGTCATGAGTAGTCATCATGGCTTCTCGATATTTCAGATTTCTTAATTGATATTCTGCGACAGTCATTGATGGACGTTTCTTTGCATACTCAACGCTTCTTAAGGAATTTTGTGGTTGATGTTCAATATGGTCAATAGTCCTAACGTAGTCAGAGGATATTTTGCGAGTAAATTTTTTCCCACATTGTAAATGTAGAACGTAATCTAATGAGTAGTCTTCTGACTGAATATTATGAGAGTAATATTTGTCTCGTGTCTCGTCGTCAGTCAGAAAAAAGCTTGTTTCCGTTAGCAAATAATTGTTTGAGTTTGTCGCTGCAAAGGGTCTAAAAGTGGAAATCAGTAATTTACAAATCACAGTTCATTCAAAATGTTAACCATTTAATGTCATCTAATCAAATCATACTAAAATACAGAGTAAATACTAATCCACTCAGCATTGCGTAAGAAAATTCATGCTGAGTTCTCAAAACCTCGGTACATGATCACATAGCCTTGTCGGAGGTGGTGCCCTTTGTGTTGAAGAGATAATTGTTTTATGGTACAGGGGAAAATGAGCAGTAAGTGACTACTGCTATTAAAAGCAACGAAGTAAAGAATTGCTTAGCACCGATTTTCGTCCTCCATAAGCACAGGCCTTGGTGGCAGGTCAGGCCAACTTTTACCCTAGCAGAGGCCTGGGTGATGGAGAGACGTACTACGGAGTGCGCGCGCCCTTTCGGGAGCACAAAGGGGACATGGGAACACAGGAGGGGGTCATCTAGTCGTCGTATATGGCCCGAGATACGCCCCACCGGTGGGTGGTATCCGAGGGGATTTCCTCACAGAAAAAAAAGGTGGAGATAGAATTAAATATTGAGAATACTCGTACTTATTTACACGATGTACTAACTTGTAACTCTTTAAAGTGGGCAATACCATATCTTCCTTATTGATTCTTACATCGTCGTATAGACGAGTTAAAACGGATATTTTCGGTAATCCCTGTTCGTTGTCTCCTTGTTTTGAGGAAGTATTTTTGTTCTGTGCAATGGTGACTTTTCTAAGTATGTGATATAATATAATATTTAGTATCTCTCAAATCTTAAAATATTAACTTTTAGCGTGATAATCAAGGGAACCCTGTGTAGCACTGAGCAATATGTGTATGTATGAATTTGGAAAAATCTACACCTTTTATTAAAAAATGTAGACAAATAATGCCAAAAGATAAGCATTAAAAAGGAGATTTTTTTTTTTGCATTTAGACCTAGTTCTTCGATAGGGGCCAATTTTTAGTTAAAATACGTGTTGGCGTTATTTTTATTTCTGGCCAGGATATCGATATATTATCTATAAATAAATCTTCTACTTTATATATTGAGTAAAAGTTAATCGAAGGAAGGAAGGAAACGTTATCACCTAACGGGTTCATCACATGTCTTCTGCGAGATATTAGACAAGATAGATTCTGACCTTGAAGTGCTGATCGAATCCAAACTGAAACTAAATCACAGTGTTAAAAATAAAAATTATGGCGAATTCTCGCACTGCCCTAAATAATATTTTTCCTTTTTTTGTCATATTATCACAAGTTACCGAAACGAAAAAATAAGCAGAACTCATGAAACAGTCGCTCAGAATTGATTTTCTATTATACCTAAATAAATGATAAATCTGGACACATATGAGAAATACAAATTCTGCAATCAATAAATCATAACATAGAACTATTCCAATTGTTAAATTTATTAAAATATTTTGCAAACCGATTTTAAATATCAATGACATTTAAATATTTACTCGATAATAACTATTTCACTGTATTTATTTGTGTAAAAGACACGTCATCTGTAATAATAACAATGTGCTTATTGGGATGTTAGTATTACATGGGAAAAATAAAAGTATGCTTTTAAATTAATTCTAAAACAGACTCGAGTAAAATACGACCCTGGTATATTTCTAGTATTTTATGTTTTTATTTTCAATTTGAAGTAACAATCGGCATGCTATGTAAAATCTAAAGCCTGTAAAATTAGCTCGGCTTCCATTACTAAAAATCGAACATGATCGCATTTATAGTTACCTATGAGGAATATTCTCGTCATCTTCTGTTTCTTGTTCCTGTTCAATTTCCCCTACTAAAAATGGTATGTCGTCTGCGTGAACAAACCCAGTTGGACGTCTCTGAATCAAACCGCGTGGTAGTTTCGAGGAAGGGAGGGTTATTGATACACTCCTAAAATGAAATCAATCATTAACAAAATTCCTATTATAATAATGTCATGAAAACTACCGTTCATTTACTGCTTTCCCTTTAATTGAAAAAAAAAAAGTGCCCTATAGTTTTAATATTTTGTGTTATGTTGTTGACCTAATAACCTGAGATTCTCAAATAGATTGAACAGTATACGACAGAAAACGTTTGAATTTAAAAACATTTTTTTTTTTTTTTTTTAAATTTTTATCGCTATGGAGTGTTTCTCGGGTGCACAGCGATCATTCTCTGTAAATAATACGTATTATAGAAATTGCACTTTCTGGGTTTAAAACAATACTAATTTTCCCTTAAATACCTTACAGAAGATGCTGGTAGCGTTTATGGAGAAGCGGGACTCCGTCCCACTGATCCTCGACTGCCTTTCAGGGCTATGTAAGTCTGGATTTGCGTAGGCTACACATTTTATTCTGGAACGCCGACAGGATGTCACCAGAGAAGACCAGGCTATTGAAACTGCTGTTGGCAAAGACGCAAGTGGACATAGCCCTGCTCAGCGAGACCCATCTCAGACCAGAGTTTGTCTAACTCAAAATGGGTGGATACCATGTCTACCGGGAGGATCAACGCTCGCCAAGAGAGACTGCTTACAGTGGATTAGCAGTCCTGGTCAAGAGGAGAGTCGTCCACCAAGCGCTACCAGTACCGATATTGTAATCTGCATACACCCTGGGCGTAGAGGTCTGCATCGGAAGCCAGCCCACCCGTTGTTCGCGTTCTACCGCCTACCAGGGCAGCGCCTTGCAGTGGCTGACATCCACATTCTGCTGGACTCGCCGTTGCCTACCATAATCGCCAGTGACTTTAATGCGAAATGCGTTGAACTCAAACACCATATGCCCGGCGGGCCGCCGCCTTCGAACCCCACGTTACCGTGCCGATGACCGAGCAGAGATGTTCGCGACACTCTCGCGTCTATTCAACGGCATCCTCCACACCGGACACTTTCGAACCGCGGAGCGACTTACAATTGATTGAAGACTCCTATTAGGCAAACAATGCCTGTGTTAGGAGACTTCGCTTTCCGTAACTAAGTGTATTTCTATCATCATCATCATCATCAACAGCCTTCGTAGTCCACTGCTGGACATGGGCCTCTAGTTAGAGACGATGTTTTGACCTGCTACACCACACTGGCCAGACGAGTTAGTATAGGGTTTTTTTCAAGTTTTTCTTTTCTTTGCAGTGCTGTGGCCCTACTACTATAGTTTGCTTCCTTAATCTACTCTTACTACACCCACGAGATGAATAGGCCCAGTGGTGACACTCTATCACCACACGATGTATTATGATGCTTCGGTACAAACGGCCAGGCTCGACTCGACCGATAGCACGCTATGCAATGGCCTCACAGATGCATTAGTAATAAAAATAATATATAACACGGCCGTCTGATTCCAAATTAGGCAGCGCCTGTACTATGGTAACCAGACTGCTGATAAAAATACTTATAAATTTTTAAATAGAGGAGATTACAGACACAGAACAAATGATCGTGCTCATCAAACAATATTTGTCCTGGGTGGGAATCGAACCCACGACCTCCGGTTTAGCAGTCAGGGTCACTAACCACTAGACCAACAAAAGAGACAACGATGATGATGATGATGTGAACAAAAGAGTAATGTCACTTTGCAGTACTTACTTGATTGTTATTAAAAAAATCTCACTTACCTCTTACGTAAATGTTTCATTTCTTTCTTAGTCATGCTAAAAGAAAATGATAAAACAATAAAAATGTACAGAAACATGAAAATATATCCATTATAAAACGAAAAAATAAGTTTTACCTAATTAGTCGCAGCTCATCATCACTTAATACATTTGGCCTGGAAATGGCATAAAAAACATTGAATTAACTTTATCAGATATAATAGGTAGCATTTTCAGATTTAATTATCGGTAGATTGGCGCTCAAATCAAAATTCAATTTTTTTTTCGAAAGCAATGTTACTTTAATTTGAAATTCAGACATTTGTTTACATAGTGTTTTATTTTTGTTAAATTGTGGTAGTTTATGGCATAGATAATGATGAATATGAGTTCCTACGTAAAAATACCAGCGCGCTAACATAAACACGCTAACTAACACTGCTGGCATAAACACGGTCCATTATTGGTTCAATCGTTTTAGATCTGGCGATGTTAAAGAACGAGCCTCGCGGTCGTCTGGTAACTATAGTTGATAACGATGAATTGAAGGCGATAGTAAAAGCGGATCCAATTCAATCTACGGCTGAGCTTGCTCCAGGATTTGGAGTTTTTTTTATGTTAGAGGGGGCAGACCGAGCAGACGGGTCACCTGATGGAAAGTGAGTTAGTCTAGTATCAATACAACATTGAAGCACTTGCGTCAAATCGGAAAGATAAACAACTAGATAAGTGGGTGCCACACGAACTAAGCGACCATCAGCGAGACTTTCGCGTAATAGCATGCACAGCACACTACTGAATCGGCATAGAAACGAGGGAATTTTGAATAGAATGAAAAGTGCAATGAAAAGTGGATCTTGTACGACATCCGTAAGCTTTCGCCTCAGTGGGTGGACCCGGGGACAGCATCTAATCTAAATCTATCCAGCAGACTTCTATAGTAAATGAATAAACAAACTGTCATCAAAATGGCAAAATTGTGTAGATAATTTTGGCCAGTAGGTACTTTGATGACCTGATATAGATTTTTTTTAATATAAATCTCCAACTTCATAGGTAAAGACCTAATATAACGGTAAAGCATGCCCAGCAGCAAGAAAAACGACACTTTCATACAAACTTCAATTGCTTGCTGCGCAGCTTCCTTTGGTAATAGAGTGATAAAATGTACCCTTTGTGTTACACAGGACTACGGTTTACCTAACCTGTCTCCATAGAACTACGGAGTATAAATAAATTTTATAACTATTCATAACATTAGTACGTAACTCAGAACATTATACATTCTACATTTAATTTTAGAATAAGATTACAATTTCAGTGTATAATATGTATTTAAGAAACTACAACTTCCGTCAAAAAGTAACGGATGCGTGTACAAATCTTTTTTCAACCTCAGTTATTTGCGATACTCATCACACACCACATCAACAGCCTTTAATAGTCCAGTGCTAGACATAGGCAGCTCCTTAGAAAGGAGGTTTTGGCCTACTACACTAAACGAACAAGAATATCGCAAGTATAACTAACATTAATTGTAGTTAATATAAAATACACTCACTTGTGTTCGCTTGTTTCGTTTTCGAAGATTGCTAGCTTCTGTGACAAGTTTGCTATTTTATTAACAATACGACCAGCAAAACTTACTGAGTCAGCGTTCTCTCTGCAAGAGAAGCAAGCAGTCTTTATCAAAGACATAACCCAGTATTTTGTTTTTATAGTTCTTGAGGTCCTCGTGACTATCATTAAATAAACTTGAATGCTATAAAAATCTATGTGTTAGACCAACAAAAGCATTTGTGTTTTATTGAACTTTGTCAGAGTCTGTACAAGTCTGTTATCCGTTAAGCTCTTTTCAAGAGCCCTTTAAAACACTTAGAAAGTGAACGGAAAGTTGTGTTCTTACTACTTCATATTATCTTTTATTCTATAATATTTTTCTAGTTTAACTGTACTTTATATATTTATATACTTAGTTGTTATTACGTTACATAGCTCCGAAGTAATTTCTCATCACCATCAGTCAAGCTTGGGTCTGAAATTTTTTAATAAGAATATATTAATAATAAATATTCAAATGCACTTAGTACTTGGAAATAAAAATACTAAAAGTTTATGTATGAAAGAAGTACAATTTTTAAACGATATGTGTTACAATTCAAAAGCTGCGTGCTAACATCAGCTATAGGTACAGGAGTCGCAAGAGTTTAAATTACACTGGCCGATGGAATTAAAAAGTTGATTAATTTTGATCAAAATTTGATCAGCAGATGGTCTCCAGTATACGTTATTTCATCAGCCTAGAAGATTATAAATAGTAGGCTCAATAAAATGTTTTACTAAATTTAAATGACGGTGTTAATAAAAAATTTCGTACCGCATAAATGACCTACTGTCATCCATTTATAATTTCAATAAAATTATTTTCACAAGTAAAGCACTTTGAAATATACGTATGTGTGAAAATTAATATTTGGTTACTCGTTTGGTTTATATTAAAAGTGTAAAGATATTGATTATGCTATATAATTATTCTAATGAAAACCTTATTTACCAGACATATCCGCGTCTGTTGTCAGATAATCAAATAAAGTGTCAAGAAGAACTTTAGAGATTTTAGCCTCAAATAGTTTATGTGGTTGTTCCGGACGCTCTCGTAGATCGCTCTTGAGACAGTAATCACCCCTCAAAAACCTATGGGTTGAAAATAATGGCAAAAAATCATATGAAAACAAAACGGTTCAATGAAGCAATATATACAGCAATGGGTACTTGGCTAGAACGCGTTGCTGTTGTGGAACGTGTTGTACAACAAGTAGGGTAATGCAAACCTCGGCTAAGTATTATTTTCTTGAGCTGTGCGCTGAAGGTGCACTAGACTTATATTTTGTCGTGGCCAGATTGGCGCAAATTTCGGGCATAGCCTGCCAGCCAGTTTACGGTCTCTTTAGAGAAGAGGTCGTCCGAGACAACATAATATGGTGAGAGTGATGGTCATAAATTATGATTTTACTATGTTATTATGACACTTTAAAAATTAATACATATAAATATTTAAAGTAAATTTATGTAAGTAATACCTGTATTATCATGATCACCTACCTATGTCTACTTATCATTCGCTAAGGATTGATTAAATTTTCAAAAATCACCCTTGATAAATAATTATAATCGTACAGTCATCAAAACATTACCTCCGTCACAAAAATGTCACTGTCATCTCAAGAAAAAAATATTACCTTTGTAGGTCATAAATAGAGTCGACTTCTCCGGGATAAGGGACATCTTTTAAAGGTAAATAAAAGGGCTTTGTAATTATCTCATTTTTACTGGAATGAGGTATGGAAAGTGTTTCATTAAATAAATCTTCGTAGTCATACATTTCCACGTCAAATTCATTGTTTTCCTCATCTTCGTTGTTAACACCTGTTCTTAACTCTTTTTCTATCTTTTTACTGTCAAATCTAAACACACAAAAAATACAAAAAAAAATTTTTTTTTTCAAACACCTTATGGTTCTTGCGAGAGTCTGTTGTACGGAGCTGGAGAAGCGACAAGTTGTTCCTTCCTCCGGGAAGGTTTTGGAACTCCCTTGTTCACGTTGTTCTTATTCAAGTATCCCAGATAGTCTACTATGTGCTACGCACTGAGTTTATAATCGTAAAAGTTATTCAGATGGTTATCATGCAATGGGAGGTTTAGTAAGTAACCTCAAGGGTCAGTAGACTAACTCAGGTGTTTTTCTTTTAGAAATAGTTAGATTCAGTAAGTTCAGTTCTAGCTGTACCCGTACAATTAGACTCGGGTGTTATTTTTTTTAAGTGGTTAGTCTTTAGTAAGTCACTACCGCCGCTCTAAAACTCCTGCAACCTAAGACTCACGACTGCGTTGCCGGCCTTGGCGGTGAGAATAGGTGCTCTTTTTTCTCGAAGCCTTGAAGTTTGTATCAGTCCAAAAATATTAACTATTTCCTGCTACCATATATTTGTTATTTTTACCTTTCAGTGTTAAATATACTCTCATCAGATTCTTCTTGTGACTGCTCACTCAATAAAATTACTTCTACTGGGTTTAGTAGTCTTAAGTCGATTTCCTTAAATACTCTTTCGAGTAATGCCTATAAAAATTAAATAGAAAGAAGCAAGAAAGAAGTAGAAGTAAATACTTAGGTATTAGATACAAGGTACTTTATAACACGGTATGTTAAACAGTAGTATATTATTAAAACATATGTCATTAGTACATCTATAGGTACTAACATTGTAATCGGAATGAAAAACTAATCCGATAGTTAAAAAAAGAAAAGAAAGAAAGTTTTAAAGTTAGTTAACTTAAGACTATGCTCCAGTCTATAGTATCAGCAGAATCGAAACAAAAGAATTAGAAGTTTAATGATGTCAAATAGTAGTAGTTTTAATTATATAAAACCAATGTGTAAAGGTTTTCGTGTCTGCAACCTCCGGCAAAGGTTGTTTTTTTTTATTATTATTTGTAAACGGTAAAAGTTAGACAAAATTGTTGTGTGGAACTTAAAATTTTACATATACCTATGATTTTATTTCCTTCAGTGAAAATTAACTGAGTTAGGGAGATTTTAAGTTTAAGGGAAGAACGTAAATTAAAAAAATCGTGGGAAGTAGAAAAAAAAGAAAAGAGTAAAGAAAAAGAGCATGTGCAATACTGATCGCCGAGAATCCGTACGAGTAAGCAAGTAAAATAGTCCTCTCTTTTTAACTCGGGTCTTGATACAGCGTCATAGGGTTTGAGTTTTTTATACCTGTACAAATTCTCAGTTGCCGAAATGCACCAGGTAAATTTTATTTCAATCGTAAAATTTATCTATATCGGAATAGGATCGCAATCTAAATATGGCAAAAAAGTTAATTATCTTTTAAGCACTCAAATTTCAGTTTTAAAATTTCAAATTGTTTTATTTTTTTAACACAACCAAAAAATCTGTATCTCTAAAATTAAAGATTAGGAATTTAAAAAAAATGCGCTTATTTTTCTACTACCTACGATTTTTTTTTAATTTACGTTCATCCCTTAAACTTAAAAACTAACTATCTCGGTTAGTTTTGTAATTTTGTCTAACTGACCGTTTTCGATTTATTGCAAAAAAAACACTTTCAAAATTATTTTTTCAACTCTTGCCGGCGGTTGCAGACACGAAAACTTTTACACATTGTTTTTATATCATTATAACTACATTATATAAAAATTCAAAGTTGAGTCGCAAACTTTTGATTTCAGACCTTATTTGACTGGACTAAAATAAGTAAAAGGAGTTTTGATGTTACTGTCAGTATTCGCAGATTTTATTATCAAATCACGTATACAATTTATAAAATATTAGCTGTACTCTGCCAGGCTTCGCTGTAGCCCATTATGGTTTATTGATGAGAAATGAGAAACAAAACAGATAAAAACGAAAAATAGATAAACATTATCTTTGAAGCGGTTTGTATATCGTGTCAAAACCTTAGCTCAATAGGTGCAGAACTTTTTGAGCTTTTGAAGCGTACACAATCCAACTTACATTTTTATATGTATAGATTAGTGTTTAGTACATACATAAATAAATATGCTCTTTTGTTGTAATAATGGTTAGCTACCTCATAAAATAAATTCCCAATTACAACCAAATCTTCAACATGTCCTTGTATGTATTCATTGGTTCTTTTATTTATTGGTGCTCTTTTACATTCCAGGTTCAAAATTCCGGCTTTGTCGATTAATATTTCCGATGTCGGTGATTCGTACCAAGTCGGAACATTTTCTATCTTGCTAAGAGTATTTTCTCCGTCAATTAGTTGACCAAATGCTACATATTTGTTTTTCATCCAAGAAGCAGGTTGCAGTAGCACAAAGAATTGAGTTGAACAATCTTTATTTCTGTAAACACACAATTTTACATTAATGAATTCATTTTCTATCTAACTAAGACAGATAAATTATAGGAAAGTATGTGCCTAGATATTTTAAAATACAACAATGTTTTTTATTTCTTTCTTTCTTCTGGGTCCAAATGAGTACCCAAATTATAACATTGTTAAATTAATTTCTAACTTTGATTCTGTTTATATTCAGCAAGCATGATGAAACTTGAAACCTGTAACTTATCTTCCGGAGGTGGGCGTTAATGGCTGCAACACAGTTATGAACTATAGCAGTCATTATCAACCATATTCTACTGTGCAATTTGTTACTTTTAGTTACAAAGAATAAACTTTTTATGTTTTTTATGTAATCTGTAAGGGATTCAGGGGTTCTTGACTAATTTGGGGGGAAGGGGTTTGGGCTGCGAAAATCCCATTCACTCAGTGCAAACTTATTCTTGAGCATCTAACTAAGAATGTATTAAAAATTGTAAGCTGAAGAAAAGTCAAATAGAAACGTGTAGAATTAGTCATATCAGTATCAGAAAATATGTTTAAAAATTACAAATTGAGCTTTTTTTGTATGGTGTAGGAGGGCAAACGAGCAGACGGGTCACCTGATGATAAGTGAATACCACAATCCATGAATACCTGCAGCTCAAAAGTCAGAAGGCCGTTGCCAACTGTTGAGTAACGTCCCTCACCCCCCCACGTCACTCACTTGATGAAATCAAAGAAAAAAGTGCTAAAGTACCTGCCTGCGTTAGCCATTCCGAGTACACCACGTCTATCGTGTGGTACAATGTAATTTTCGCACTCCAGTTGGTTTGTATTCTTTAGAGTGAAGCCTCCACATTGTATCCAACAATCTTTTACGATGCGATGAACAGGAGTTCCTGAATAGCCACCTCTGATTAATTGACACATGTTCATGAAGTTTTGACATGTATGCGGGGCTATATCTGCATATAACTGAAAATAGGATTTCGAAGTACGTACGTAAGTAAATACAAACATGGTTGGACTAAGTACCTGTTCGGTCAGATTATTAGGTACTTATTTCGCATTCATTCAGTGGGTGAATGTATATTAAAAAGAATGAAAGAAATCCTGAATAATTTCATGCGTACCTAAGGCTGACTTGACTTGACCTTGAACACAAGTATACAGGTTGTAGGAATTTAACAGGCAAAGTTAGCGAAACATGTTGCGTCGTCATATGTAAAATAATATCGAGTTTATTTGTGGACAAATTTTAATCACGGTAAAGTCGCAACGTATATTTTGTAAACTGATTGTTACCACTACTTTCAGTATATCGATCAGAACAGGGTGCATACTGCCGCACTCCGCAACATGATAATTATTTGTACAAGAGTCGCTCATTACCTACGATTATAACTATCCACTCTTTTAAAGTTAAAAACTGTTAGTGCTTACAATACATAACTTACCATAAATATCAAAGACCCTATAGGTTCACTGTTGATAGAAATATTCATATATACGCATGGCCTCTGTAAAATAGGAATGGTGAGAAGTTTTTTCATGAAGAGCCTTTAATAGTGCACATCTAGTCATAGGCCTCTCCTTAGAAAGGAGGTTTAAGCTTGATATACCACGCTGACCAAACGGGTTTGGTATAGGATTTGTTTCAATTTCAACTCTTTGCAGCGCTATTTTCTTGCGTAGTTTGCATCCTTAGTCGGCTCTTACGTCAACCAGGATGAAAAGAGTATTCCGTCCACGAACAGTAAAGTAGCTTAGTTGCAAAATACTTTTAGTATCATGTAGATAAATTTGTTATGGCTTTTGTTTTGCTAAGTATATTGCTTTGTATGATGACAAACGATCTTTTTTATGGGACTAATCCGTCCCACACGCCCACCACGTTACTCCAGCAGTTAGTGAGAGAGTACGAGCACACTAAGTAATGGCACTCGGGAAGTTCTAAGTATCAACACACAAACGAGCAGACAGGTCACCTGCTGGTAAGTGACTACCGCTAGCTTTTAGGACCTACAGAATTAGTAGGGGCGGGAGGGAAACATGGCTCTCTCATTCACTCTTAATTAAAGGTGTGTGGGAATAATCAAATTAGGTGCGAGCGGTCCTAGAGATACAAGAATTCTTCTCTAGTACTGGAATTAAATAGTATTAATACACGAGTATGAAAGATAACTTAATTGAAATAAAACTAATAATAAATTAAAGAAAATAAATATTGAATAAAATCATAATAATTACGTTTATGAGTATCGACAAATTACTTAAAAAAAAACGTTAAATGTGTAATATCAAACTTATACTAACACCAGAGGATCGTATATAACTAGCAAACTGTCGAATTCCTTCTTTGTAATAATCTAGATATACAGTGTAAAAGTATTTAGAGTCTACGAACTCTTTTAGTTCCGTATCGCCACCAAGAATCTCGCCGTCCTTTAATACAGCAACTTGTGACTGCAAACAGAATGCTAAACCGCCATGTTTAACTTTCAAATCATTCCACACTTTTGGCCATTCTACTCCTGTTACACCTGTAAGTGTACATATAAGTTTTATTGAACCTGTATTTGAGAATACTCGTAGTGTATTGAATTGTATAAGTAAAAATAATCAAAACTGAAGCGCTAGCAAGATATGCGACGGCGAAAACGGAGCAATGCAATTCCTTTGGTTGGAGATTCACGCCATAGGTTCGATAGAACGAAATCTTATCCTTAAATTCATCTAGAGATTTATACATTACTTACTATACCGTACTTATTCCTGCTTTTAATGTCAGTAGATGAAATAAGTCACCTTTTAAAACAGGAGCTTTAAACTGCTGTGGTCGGCATTTATGCAATCCTTTTACCAGATACATACAATAAATGAATTCTTTTGTAACTCTATTCCCTATTACTGTAAACTGTATTTGCTGATTATCACAATTTTCTGTGTCTGGTGTTTTTGTTTGGTTTGCTGTAAATATGGGATTGAACACAGAATTATGCCCGTGTTTATACTTGTTAGAATACTTGGCTTTAATTCGGTTGTTCCATGGATGATTTGGTAATACAGTTTTGGTTAGTTTCGGTGCCACAGGAATAAATATCGACATTTTGGAAGAGATCGCAACCCAAAATGTTATTTTTGTAGAAAAAAATATATACAAAAAACAGATCTACAAAATATAAAACATAATACTTGATGTACGAATAAATATAAATAAACATGATACAGAAGATTGAAGGTGTTGTCAATTAATTTATCTTTTTATTTCTACGTCAATTTGGTATACTGGCCTGGCCGCAAGAATGGAATACACAGAGTTCAGTAATACTTGAATGCACGGATGGCGTAGTGGTTTAAGCGGTCGCCACGTAGCTTACTACTACGCTGTGTTGTGGGTCCGATCCCCACATGAGACGACACTTTGTGTGATCCACGAATTGTTGTTCTGAGTCTGGGTGTTCCTTGTTTCCATTTCATGTATCTTTGTAGTACACAGGATTTATTCCTAATGCGGGAGTTGTCTTTAAAAAAAAGAAAACTGATAAAATAATTGTATAATAGAAATTTCATCATCATCATTAACATCAACAGCCTATAACAGTCTACTGCTGGACTGCTTTCTAAGGAGATTCCTATATCTCTCCTTAGAAAGGAGGTTTGACTTACTATACCACGCTCTGGCCGTCTGGCCCGACCCGTCCCGTAGGGTTTATTTCAAGTTTTCCATCTCTTTGCTGTGCTGTTGCCTGCGTAGTTTGCTCCCTTAGTCGGCTCTTACGACACCCAGGGGGTGAATAGGGGTGGTGAAACTTCGTATTCTTAATCCATCAACACAAGGACAGCCATAAACATTTACTTACCATTGATAAGTCCAAAGGAATCTAATAATATAATTAATTGGTTTTTTAATCATTTAGTAAATAAGTATAAACAGAATTAACAACAACACTCCCAGTCAATTTATGTCCCGTAACTGAAAATTAGTTGATGTGTTGATTTGGGGTCTTGTTATTTCTGCGGACGTGGAAAATTTCGAAATTTACTTTTTTTTTAAATTATAATCTCATAAATTCCATGATTTATAATTACGGCTATTGCACAAAATTTACGCAACCACACACTAAATCTACAGTTCAATTACAGTACATCATCATCGAGACACACAACACAAACTAAAAACACAACTATAAAAGTAATTATAGGTTTTGGAAACTGAATTTCGTGAAAAGCTCGGAAAACTGCGAGACTCGATACCTGAACTATTTAAATATGTACCTACAAATTTGTACGGAACCCTCGGAGAACTATTTTCAAGTGACAAAATTTCAAGTAATATATTTCACTAAATTCCTTCACTAATATTACTCATTCAAATTGAAATAAAGTTGAAACCTACTCGTATTTTTAACAGAAATGTCAATAATTATCATGTAGCCACTGTTTAGACGACCATTTAAAACATGTTCTTTTAATATTAATCATGAATAATAACGTGTAATAAGTGCTGTGGTCTTCAACTTTTTCTTAGCGGTGGAATTTGAAAATTGATTGTAATAATATATAGTATTTATATATATTATAGTAATTTATGTCAAGTATTTTAAACAACCACCTATTTGCCTGACCAGCAACTTGTTTTTTTCTCACACATTGTCTGCACACCGGGTTCTGCCCATGCCTTGTACTTAGTGTAGGTACTAAAGTACTAAAAGAGAACTAGATACTACCTACGATACGGATCTTCGCATAAATCTTATGAATATCGTCAATTTCACAGGCAAAACTCTACTAATATGATCCCCTAATTGTGATCTTTATGAAATCCTCATTGTGTACTTTATGTAGAAACTGGTCCACTGTCTGTACCTATGAATGATGAAGATATAAATTATACACAAGTCATCCATATTCATAATAGACTTAGTTTATTCAAAATTATAATTAGTTATAAACACAATTAAAACAAAATACATAAAAGTATGAATAAATTATTTAAAAAAATCAAAGGTATCTAAAATTATTTAGTATGCTATCAAAATAACAGTGGTACAAAAGCAGGGTCTAAATAAACTTTCGATTCCTTATAGATTAGTAGATTGCAAACATGTACTTTCGACAACTAGAAACCCAAAAATGCTTTAGTGCTACAGATATAACATACGAAAGGTAATTTAAACATATATCTTTAACTAAAATTCTTCTTTCCCTGATGTTGTACGTCAACAATATATTCAATATATTCATAGCACTAAGACAAACATAACTAAACATATGTCGTAATATAGAATTTGTAGAATATGGGCGACGGGTCGTCGCTGCGGAACGAAATGTTTCTTTGTCGGCCTTATATCTTCAAAATTAACTTCAACTAAAATAAATTAACTACTACGAAGGCGTAAAAAGGCTGATGAGATGGGGGAATACTGCACTATCTCCCCCTCAACTCGGTACGCCCATGCTGTAGAATAAAGCAAATTAGTATTAAATAGTTTGCTTATTTCCTTGCTTCTATTGGCAAACAGTCAATGGCACCTTTATTCACGAAAGTCAATCCGTTGATTTAAAAACTACCTATTTTAACTACTGAGTTAAGCAGGTACTTTAAATTTTCTTCACTTTAGTTTTTTTTTCACAGATATACGGTCGTATCAGTACCAAGATCTGACTGTGTGTTCTTCTAGATACTCGTTCTGTCACTCTTATTGTTGTTTGCTTCTGTAAAGGATGATACTATTTGTAAATGTTTGTCAGCACGAAAAAGTTGATGTCTTGTTCAACATATTACATTTAATACTTCAGCGATGTTTACAGTTAAAAAAATGTATATAAATACATACGAGTACATAAATAAATTATCTACATGCAAATCTAGGTTCTAATCATCCTAGGATGAGGATAGAATAAGATTGAGGTTTTAAACCTCAACAAAAAAATATGAAACTATAGTTTATAACATTTTAACTCCATACGGAGTTAAAATGTTATAAACTATTGAGAGATGGCTAGATAAGAGATAGATCGATCTTAGACACTAAGGGTTTTCGGCCTAGGGCGTACTTAGCTATAGCTATTTATTAAAAGAATAAAAAATAAATTTCCAACCATTGAAACGACTTCAAATAAAATATGTTTGATTCATAAAATGAAATTAATATTTAAAAAAACAAAAGGACAAGTTTTAGTGCTTTAATTCGTCACAGGCTTTGCTAGCACCGACTTCAAAATTTAATTGTAGGCTTCCTAGTTTTAATTTCGTATTTGTTGTTAAATTCAGTAATAACCCGAGTCGATTTTATTTTAAGTCGAGTCTTTAAGTACATACTTCTTATTCTGCAATTTACAGTTTGAAGTAAAATATACAAAATATTTTATTTATGTTCTATATATGAATAGAAAAGAAATATCTACAACATATATGTTGTAGATATTTCTTTTCTATGAGGGCCTTGTCACCTTACTGATTATGTAGAATAATTTTTTCTTATATTACAGGAAAGCGTTGCTGACAATTAGAGTCAAGTTGCGGAAAACATTAACTCACTCGACAATATAATTTTTTTTTTTTTTTTTAATGATGTTTGGAAGATAACAAACTACTGTAATTAAAATGAAGTTGGGCGAAAGTCCTTACTTATTAGCATACACTACTCGCTTAAAATTTATAAAAAGTATATCTAAAAGACGAAATTATCTTTTAAGTAAGTTAATTTTAAACTTACCCAACTGATCCTTAGATGCCTTTAGTTGCTCTTGATACTTTTGATTTAGCATTTTGTACTCAACTACAGAGATAGATGGTCGATTTTTTGCATATTCCACACTTCTTATAGAAGATTTCGTCCTTTCATCAAAATGTTGTAGAGTATTAGCGTAGTCGGAAGACACCTTGCGGCAAAGTTTAGATCCATGTTGTATATCAAGAGTTTCTTCTACTTGCTGTCGGGATATAAAGTTTCGAGGGATGAAAAACTTCTCGTCTGATTCCTTCAGAGTCGTATGTAGAACAGACCGCGTCAGGTATGGGTAATGGTTTATTTCTTGTGACTCTAACTTCTCACTGGAGAAAAGGAAACGAAATCGTTACTTTGTCTGCTATTATATAGCTATTTATAGAAAAAATATTTTAGCATTCAAAGAATATATTTCCTAGGTGTTTATAGATTTCAGCTACTTCACTACTTTACAAGAAAAGATAAGGATTTTTTTTATTAATATTTGATAACTAAGTGATTTATCACATTACAAAGTCTATAATCGGGGATAGTTTTGTGTCAATAGTTTAGTTTTTAGTTTATTAGCCACTACAAAATTCTCCATTGCTACTAATTCTGTTGTTCGAAAACTCTCTAAAGTAAACAAAAAATTACTAAAAATTTGTTTAATCCTGTCAAATAACGTTTCACATTCTGAAAAATCAGTATAGGCTCATTTGTGCCCGCCAAAGCACCAAAACTTGAGAGACACCACCGCATAAACAGACAATACTTTGATCGTGAACATCGTCATTGGGACTTCAACGACTGGGGTCAGGTTCTCTGCACTGGTCAATGCACAATTGTCAGTTCAGCAGTCAGAGCGTTTTATGCAGTCTAATTTTGTTAATACAGTGGCATATGGCGGCGGCTCAATTATGGTCTGTGGAGGGATATTTTTAGGAGCTAACTGCTGATCAGGGATATTTTAGAAGAACATGTTGTACCATTTGTCCCCTTTATTGGTAGCGACTTCATTCTAATGCAGGATAATGGTCGGGCTCACAGTGCTCGCTTAGTAAAGGCGTACCTTAACTATGTTGGTGTAACGATGATGGGAGTGGCCAGCATGGTCCCCGGATATGAATCCAATTGAACAAGTTTGGGACTTGAGGACTAAAGAGGACTGTCAAAACAAGAATGCCACCTTCCAACAATCTGGGCGAGTTGCGAAACGCAACGATTATTTGAAGAATGGCAGAGGTTGCCCCAAGAAATCATCGACAACATCATCTGCAGCATGCCCAGATGGATGTAAACCATGATCAGAGCACGTGGACACTCGATATTAAACATTCATTTAATTAATTGTAAACCCTCACAAAATCTTGCATTTTTAACTGTTTTTCTGTCATTAGTATTAGTAGTAATCTAAGTAAAATGTGTTTTGTTTACTTTAGTTTTTTTTTCATTAAACATTAAGTATGTTGTTGTAATTTAATATCAAAACATGTTAATTTAATTGTTGTTACATGTTTAATTATTATTTGTTTAAAAATAAAATTAATTAACTATTTTACATTCTACTTTTTTGTATTCCGCTTATTCTGCCGGCGTGTATAGTTTGTTTCACTGTATATGCAGTTTATACTTACCTTAAGGTCTTTAATGTGGGTTTCAACTCCTCATTCGATAGTTCTTGGTAAAGGCGTAAGAGGACTGATTTCCTTGTACTTTGAGTATCTGATGAATGTTCGTGACCCGTTTGGAATCGGTTGCTTGATCTGCCAGGTCTAGAAATTTCTAAACCGACATACCTAAATTTGGAATAGAATTATTAACTTTGTTTAGAATGGATTGTTAACTTTTACATTCGTTCGTATGGTAACGGATTAAGAATACGGAGTGTCACCACCCCCATTCATCCAATGGGTGTGGTAAAGGCAATACCAACGTAAAGGTAAACGTAAACCCTATACCAGCGTGGTATAGTAAAAACAAAAACCTCCTTTCTAAGGAGAGGCTTATGTGCAGCTGTGAACTATTAAAGGTTGTTGATGAAACAAAGTGTATATGGGACACAATCAGACCTATAGTATGTTGAAGTAACACCCGTAAAGCGTACTATACATTTTTTAATACATTTATTAATACATTTACAAACATTTGGAATTAACAGCGGTTTCCGCACTAAGCTCGTACCTTGTATCGCGGCAACCAAGTGATTACACATTGCTCATTGTAATTTTGTAGCGGGCAGCGGTTCTAAGAGTAGTTACATGGGTTTTATAGCTTAGTTCGTTAAATAGAAATTTAAAAAATAAACTTACAACAGGTTTTTAACATTACAATAATATAAACTTAGAATTAAATTAAGACCAATAAAGGAGTGTGGCCAAACTATATGTGATGAGTTGGTGACTGTGCTCATGCGTGTGTGTGTGTTTGTGCGTGTGTTCGTGTGTGATTGTGTTTGTGCGTATGTTTGTTTGTTACTATAATAATGGGCACCCTACAAATTGCACATTTAGTTTTAAAAAAGGCTGCTACCTTTCGGATAGATTGGTGTGTGGTATCCATTATTCCGTTAAGAACTTCACAACTAATATTATCGAAAAAATATATAGCTGCATTTATTAACAAACCATAACGACCTATCCATAGAATAAAGTTACTTTTGCAAAATCACTATTTTCAGGAGAGCGATTTCAAGTTGATTCTTTTACCAGTGATACATAGGCATAAATTGGTATGAAAATATTACCTTTTAAACCCATTTTTTTTTTTTTTTGTACCCATATTTTAAAATTTAGCTATGTGAATATGTGACGATATACTGTAGGAATCTGCCTGTTATACTCGTATATGCATTTGTAACATTATTCTTGGAAAAAGTGCCAGTGCTACGTACACATATAACTTTGTTTTACGTAAATACAGATTGACAAAAGTCTTATATAATAGCCTTATATGAAATAAGGGCTTTGATCTAGAGCAAAACAAAGTATAACTTGAAATTAAGAAATATTTATTGAAACGAAAACTAAATATAACAGTTAATATAAAATAAAAAAGTGATGATCATTGTTTTATTTTTATATTAAAACATAAATAATATCTTGAGACAGTATTTCGGCACTTATGGTAGTAAAAGAACAACAAAAAAATAAGTCGAAAGTATTGTAAAATGAATTAAAAACACTTAAAAAGTCAGTCTTTAATGAAATCACACAAATCACAATTTAATAAAAAAAAAAAAAAAAAAATCTCTCATCATTATTATTTAAGGCTTTTACAATCATTTTAACGTACCTTATTAAACATTTATTATGAAAGTTACAGTTTATAAAAGTAAAGCGTGCAGTTCTACTAGAGCCCACACTAGTTCTAGTGGGAAAATCACGTCCGTAAAGACCGCGCTTTAAAAAAGAATAAGTACTTTGACCTAAACAATGAAATAACTAGAAATGGCTATTTTATTGCGTTGTATGCCGTGGAAGTGGGTGCGAGAGGTATACCAGCAAAATCCCTCTATTACCTGCTAAAAGACCTTAGATTGCCAAGAGCATAGGGCAAGAGGATCATATCAAATATCGTTAGGTAGCGGGGATAACACAGCAGACAATGCAGGTGGTACTTCTGGGGCGCAACCGCAAGTCCCAGGCGCTGTCGAAGTCGCATGTGTTGTCTCCATCTATATATACGATCACGATGACTGAAGAAGAATCATCTCCATCATTCTTCATCACTATCGCTCACAGAATAATTAACATCACCTGAACAAGGGACTGATTTAAAAAAAACCCTGCTTATTTCGTAGGTATTATGCCCAATTTAACTAAACTAATGAGATCCTATAGTTAAATTGATTGGTATCGCATGAGACCCAACATGTAGACGGGTATTTGAGCATACTATAATAGTCTCTTAAATGGATATCACTGTGATCACATTTGTGCAATATCTTGTTAGGTTCTAATTTATGTATAAATAATTTCTATTACACTATTCTAAGACACCTCACTCCCTTCTGTATTTTTTCTCTAGTTTTATTATTTACCTATGCCTTTTTTATAGCAAAACGGGCAAACGAACAGATGGGTCACCTGATGGAAAGTGACTACCGCCGCCGATGAACCCCTGTAACTCAGGAGGTGCAAGCGCGTTGCCGGCCTTTGAGGAAAGAACATACATTGGGTCATGTTTCAGACTTTATAAGGTTGTCCTGTGCATTTTGCCCAGCGGACCAGTAAACGCCATTCGTCCGTTGTGTAAATCGTTTTTCTTTTTCAGCTTCCCGCTCTATGAAGGTGTGCACGCTGTTTTGTGAGTGGCCCTTCTCTAGAAACTTTAGCTTAATGGAACATTGAAATTTAGCACAGAATATGTAGAGAAAGATTACGAAACGGTTTCTGTTCTGCCCAGCGGAGTCATCAAACCAGAAACAAAATTTTATTTGTATTTAAAAAAATCAGACAATTTGAGCTTGACATAAAGCAGTGGGAGGTAAAATAAAAACACATGACCTTGACATTTTATTTTTATTTTGTAGCAAACAATGCAAGAAATCTTTAAATGTCTACAACATTTTTCGTGCCTCTATTTGAAACATTTATAAAAAAGAAAAAATCTCAGTCAGATATAAAATACCCTGCAAAATTAGATTTAGATTTTTAGCTAGTATGAAAAGAACATCAAGCTGAACCGTCTGTATAAAATCTAACACGCTCGGGTATTTTGAAATGGCGATTTTTCGAATTAGCAATTTACATTTTCGATAATACGCTACGAGCTTGTGTTACTTTAAAATACTCAGACCTTTCAATGGGAGCGTCCCAAAATATCTGATGCGCCCGAATTTTTTTTTTTCGATTTCCTCCACTTACATTTATGAAAACATGCAGAAGCTTTTCCCATCGCTGAAAGTGAAAACATCATATTACTTTTATTCATTCTATTACCTAATCTTTCATATGCAATAGGTCCCCATGTCGCTCAAGTAAATATCCATTAAGCATCATGGACTCCCCTACTATAAGTCCAGTATGCAACTAGTAACCTCAATGGCACCTCTATTTGCCACTGTTTCATCCCACTTACGACACAAGGTGTTTTTGCCCAACATTTTTTATGCAATTTATTTTCGCATCAGACCATTCGAATGTACGACGCAACTTTTTCTTAGTTTTCCTCGTCGATGAGCAGTGGGTTTGTCGTCCCCGGAATAGTTTGGTGCATTACAAACGTTAGAAGTTAGCAGTGACATAGTCCAATGGTCATCATCATGAGTCGGACAGAAAGTATCAGTTAGTATGGGAGTCAAGATATTTGTGAGTGTTGAAACCGAAGGTAACTTGCTAAAGTTGAAAGCGGGCACATTTTCGAGGCTGCATTTTCTTTCAAGTGCAAAAGGCATTCTTCATAGGAAACAGTGGTTTGGACAAGAACCTGGTTGTTTTGAGTAAGAGAATCGGTAGCGATTTGAAGCGGGGTTAAACTAGATATGTCATCAGTAAAAGCTGCTCTCTTATCATTTACAGGCTTTGCTGGAGGTAATGAATTGTCTGTGACTTGTACTACCAGTTGAGCCAAAAACCTCTTCCCATACCAATTATGCGGCACGTTGTGGTAGTGGTGATGAAGTCTTACGATTTTGGACGGGTGCCTCTAAAAACAATATACAATGTGACATGTTGTAATGTTAATAAAATAAAATTGTGTCTACTGGCTACAACTATACATTTATAAATACAAAATAAAATATATTACATATTTCAAGGCTTTCTTCGCAATTTATAAGTAGAAAAGGGCCATATCCCTCAATGTAAAACCAAGAATAAAGATACATTTACAAAAAGAACGTAATCTAATAATCGCAAAATTACTTGCAAAAAATAAGATTACATGTGAATTTTTAAAAAATTTCATGAAAAAGTAGTTTGTTAAGAAATGTTGTCATATTCATAAGTTATTATAATATAGCTGGATGCGAGAAGCCCAAAATCGATCTAAGTGGCGTGCAATGGGAGAGGCCTATGTCCAGCAGTGGACTGCGATAGGCTGATGATGATTATAATATTGTTATTGCAATTTACATTAACGTGTTATGCTCACAAAGCCATTGAAATTCCACTCATATTTATGTTTTACAGTAAAACCGTACATTCCATAGAAAAAAGATCTAGGTGATTGTCATTTTAATATTTCACAAAAAACATATATTTAAGACTATCCATACCGTGGCAGTCTTTAAACTTTAATTAACTGAGCAATGAGAAGTACGAGTATGTTCAATTTACTTACCTGAAATATCCATATTTCCGTCATAAATCACAGCACTACTTGTTATTGCATTATCTATTCTTGCAATTTTTCATAACAGACTTAACATAAGTGTAAAGCGTATGTTTGTCATAATGACTACATAAACGTTAATTGTGTTCGTAATTATCACAGCCCTCTTTGCTTAGAGCATGAACACATGTATCGATGTGACCTCCGCGCGGGCTGCTTTCACGCCGATTCCGACATTGTATAAACTTAATTATTCTCGCCTCTTTATTCTCTGGAGAATTAGACTACATGTAACTTTATTCAACTGTTATCTTTGAAACTACAAAGAATTTTTACAACAGTTTTTACATGTCAAAAACATAGGTCAATCAAACCCTACAACTACATAAAAGCTATTTGATAACATGATCATATGTAACTTTGTTCTTTTCATAGGTCGATAACAAAACTAGATTAGTTAAATTAAAACGAACGTAACCACCTCATTGCTTCGCTTTCTTTTTCTGCTGTTCCGTCTTTCTCCCTCAACTCCTCAAGAATTTCCTCTAACTGTTGTATTTGCTCTGGACGAACAAATCCTGTTTGACGTCTATGGATTTTGGTATGCGATGCTGCAGGAGTATTTTTGTTGATTGACACCCTCCTAAAACAAATAAAGTTATTAGTGCATAATATAAAACAAAAACATTTACACACAATTGCAATAAAATAAATTAAATTGTTTTATTATTATTATGGGTCAATAACAGAAAGCTGGTCAACAGTTAATAGAACTTTAAAACTTAAAATTCATTAGAATACGGAGAAGAAAAACAAGTAGTAACTCTTTTTTCTACATTAATTAAGTTATATTATAAGAGAGCTATATTATAAACCGCAAACAACTATTGAAGCTACTGAAAAACTTTTTAACTTAACTTAACTTTATTTTGGTACACGTAGACCACTTACTTGCGTTGCACACTGTGAAGTTTCTTTGTTGCCACTCTTAAATAGAAAATAACATATTAATGTATTTTTAAATAAAAGATTTACCTGAATAATGAGAAATAAGAAAATATCTACCTTAGTAACCGCAAATCTTCGTCAGTATATAAATTTTTCCTGAAATTAAAAATACATGTTGGTTATAAGCATATGGTGTAGGTATAAACCTACCCACAATGTCAAACGGGCTTAAATCCACAAAACAAATCACCAGCACAAGCAACAAGCATCAGTTTTCCAATTCTGATGTCTAATGCAGAAGTGAAAACGATGCTTCACTTACATTTTACTTCACTTCATAGTTACGGTAAAAGAAGCAACAATTATTATTATATGTATAAATCAGCAAATCTGAGACCCACCAAGTTGGCGATCAAACTACAAGAAACAATGAAAAAACTTATAGTTTGAGTGGAATGTACTCTTTTATAATCAATAATTAAAGGTTTATACTAGTACACGTCTTAAGGTTGCAAACATAATTATTTCAATATCAGAGCCTGATATAATATGAGAGGATATAAATATAGAATATGAATATAGTATGGTAATATTACACTTTATCTATATATTAACTACTAACTGCAGGTATGAATAAGCGGCATCATCATCATCTCAGCCGAGAGGTCCGCTGCTGGACATAGGCCTCCCCCAAGGCTCTCCACAACAACCGGTCCAATGGTGTCCCGCCTGCTCGTTTGCACTCTGTGCCATACACTTTTGGCCCCCATTTATGTGCTACGTGGTATATATAAAGGGGACCAAAAGTTTAATTAGCTCTGGGCGCCCGGGCAACAGTCGTAGCGTGAATGACTAGCATACACATATAAGTTATAAACTCACTTTTTCCTTTCATTTACATCTTGGAGTATTTCATATTTATCTTGTATATTAGCTACTTTTTTAATAATAGGACCTGCGAAACTAGTTGTGTCCACATTTTCTCTGTAATTAAACATAAAATATATTTTTAAAATAGTTAGATAACACATTTTAGGAGTAACAAGAAAATGCAGTTTTGAAATACTTGATATATTCCCGGATTTCCGTTTCATCATCTGAGAGTAAGGAACCTTCTGTAAGAAAAGATTTTTTATTTTATTAATAAATGCTCATTAATTTATCACTCTATCTTGTTAAATTAGCAAGTGTATTTTCCTACCAGGCTCTTCCTCAGATTCTACGCACTCGAATAAAGCATCAAGCAGATCATCAGGGATAGTTATAGATTCTTTATTTTCAGCAAACATTTTTTTTCTCTCATCACGATCTAATACTAGGTCAGTCTCATGACAGTAATCACCTCTCAATAATCTGTAAATAATAAACACATACACACAATTAAAAAAATATTGTAAATGGGGAATATTAATGGGGAATATTAATTATATAATGGGGAATAATACTTAGCGTGTATAAGGTACTGTTAGAACAACTTAAGCAGCATCCAAAAGCCTTTTAAGTATAATTAATTTTAGATATTACAAATTTCTGGCGTGAGACTGATTTGTAAGCTGACTAATGATTACTGTAATTCTTTTTGAGTTCTTTTGTTTATTATTTTGATATAATGTTTTAATGAAACTAAGTATAGATTGTTTTTTTGTTTTTTGGTCGGTGAATGGAGCGTTTTGTAATTTATTCATTGGTTTATTAATTACTTTACTCATTTGTTTCATTAATGCATTGTTTTATCCAAAAACATCTCATTAAATAAGTAAACTTTTTGGCCAATAATGATTCTTAAACATTAAAGAAATAACAACATTGTATGATGATAATAACAAATATTGTATGATGAGGACAATCATTTGTTCTGTGTCTGGGTGTAATTTTGTCAATGTATTTAGTTGGAAAAATATACTTAAGTGTGTTTATTACGTTACTATAGTATAGGCTCTGACTAGTTTGGGACCAGACTGCCGTATGTGAGATGAGTGAAATTATTACTATTATTAAATAGCAAGTTTAAAACTAAATTTGAAAAGAAAATGTGAGATTACGTAACTCCACTCCAAATAGGATTTTTAGAATTTATTGTAGGATTGCTATTGGAAACACTTCATTACGATAAAACGCAGTTCACTATAAATAAATGATTTGCCCAGTAATAAAGATATATTTATTTATCAAACCACGTGTGAATATAATAATACATGTTTGATGCATATTATTCCTTTCGTATTATAAATTAATGTTTGTAACTTGTTGTTTAGGAGATTTCTCATTACTTGCCCAACTCACATTGATTAATTTTGTCACTTAAAATTTAAACTCACAATCACTCATTGTAAATTATCCGTCATCTAAACAGAAACATTATGACGCTACTTCCTTAAGAGATGACACAAATATCTTTTTAGCAAAGTAAGGGTAAGTTTATTAGATTATTCTTTGGTACTGCTGTACCAACTTACAAATTAATTTACCGGAGTGATACCGCGGCTTCATAGAAAAACCGTGTGAGTGAGGTAATCGGAGCTCAAACTCTCCGGCTCCTTTTTTTTGTGCGGCAATCCTCTTGGATAAAAACCACCGGTGGGTGTTTTTGTCGGACTCGAACCGACCAAAAACCGCACGCCGTCTCGGGTACCAGTTGCCTGGAAACCAAGTGTATCCTAAACAAGGAATGGATCCCTGGTATCCCTGATGTACGTCGGGGCATCTATAGCGTGTAGATGACCCCCTCCTGTGTGGAAACCCCCATGTCCCCTTTGTGCTTCCGTTAGGGCCAACACCCCGGCTGGTTTCTGCTAGAGTGACAGATGGGCTGCCACCCCTAGGCCTGCGCTCTGGGAGGACGGAGGACGTCTCCCGCTCCCCTGATTCTGAGAGAAGGGACTAAAATGGCGGTAACGCACTTGTGCCTCGGAGTTGCAGGTGTCCATGAGTGACGGTAGTCACTTACCATCACCGTCTGCTCATTTGCCCTCTCTTCCATGAAAAAAAGAAACTGAACAGGCCTTAAAAAGCTTGTTGTGGTATTGATTTATGCTTTATTGTTTTTTCCTATATTTAGACCACAAATTGCTGCTTAAGAAATCGTAAAAGAGACTTAAAAGACCGTCAGATGTTTGTCAATGATTCCAACTTATCCGATGGTGTCTTTTCAATAATGAAGATTTTTTCGGAAAAAAAGCAACAAAAATATCAAATGTTTGTTTGTTGTATTCAAAAAGTTTGAACCCCGTATAGGTGTTATGTATTTTATAAATATATATATTATGTATTTTATTAAACTTACCTTTGCAGATTAAAGGTCGACTGAACCTCTCCAGGATAAGGCACATCTGTCAGAGGTAAATAATAGGGTTGTTCAAGCACCTTGCTTGACTCAGGCGTCTCTGGGCGATATCTTCCAGCAATCGATTGCTCTGGAAACATTTCTTCTTCCTCATAATGCTTCTCGTACTCTTCCACGTCAAAATCATTGTTTACTTCGGAACTAGCGGGTGTCATATAACGGCTTGATTTTTGTATAAGTTCTTTTTCTATATCCTCCTTATTGCGTTTAAAACTATGAAAAACGTTAAAACCATTTAAATAGTTGTTATAACCCAATAAAAGCATGTACATATTTATAATATAATTAGCTGACCCCGCCAAACATCTTCTTCTTCAGATTTAGGCCGGAGTAAATGCAATGGCTTCGCCTGTAGTTAAGAACTATTCAGGTGAATGCTCATTTAACCAAAAAAGGTAAAAATTGCTGAAATCCTCTTTTCAGACAAGAATAACGTACACACGCTTATGGAAGGGGGTAAATTGAACAGGAGAACATTGTTAATTTCAAAAGTTTATTCAAATAATACAGTTACCTACTCATGCTTTGTGGCGAATGATTTGTTTATATTTACCTACAACTAGGTTTTGCCCGCGATTTGTCCGCGTGGTGGTCGACATCAGACATTGTAGAGGCTATAATGAATCAATTATAATCTTGATTCATTGTACATGTATAAAAGAAGATACAAACTAATTGGCTGATTGATTTACTGACTGTTCGAACAACGTTCGTTGCTAAAGATGCATCGTAAGGTTATTATGACAATATTTCTTCTTCAAGTTCTTAAGGGATAGTTTTGATAAATTATTAAAAATGTTTTTTATTACTTTTATTAAATAGTATTTACTGTGAGATTTAAAACGCTACTACTAAAAATAACGAAGTTTCATATAAATTTTGAACCCCAATTTTGTACTATTATGGGTGGAATTTTTCTGACCAGACTCGCAGTGGCGCGCGCGGTTAGAACAGCGACGGAACGCGCGCCAACGCGCTGTCGGAAGCTTGGGTAGGTAGGCAGGGAGGTCGCGTAACCTAATGACGCAGGTACTTACTGGGCATGGCTACTTTTTGGTGAGTACCTGAATCGAATTGGACCCGAGAACACGGCACAATGCCAGCATGCCTTCTATACCCAGCGATTTCAGTTGTGCGTTGATCGATCAGTCAGTGAATCAGTCTCTCAGTTTCTTATTTTATAGATATAGATAACTCAATGTTTATGTTGTTTGTTCTTGCACTTCTTAACTCCGTTATTTTTGTTTTAGTAAAAATACATGTAATGTATTTTTGTAAAATTTCTGTCTATAACAAAATCTCGAGAGATACATTATGGTTAGTTTTTTATGACCGAAATTAACTTTAATAAAGTGTACCTACTTTTTAATGTGACTTTATACTCTTGTTCTTTTTATCACTATCTTCTGGATTTCAATTGTACTTCCCTAGTAGTAGTAAGGTAGACAAATTTGTTTCACGCACATCCTAGATTCTAATGTGTGCATATAATTTGATTAAATAACATACGACTATAAAACCAAACTTGTTAATTCATACCTTTTAGTTGCACGAACACTTGATTCCTTTTGTATTACAACGTCAACTTGAAAATCTTCTTCTTCTTCTCCTGCTTCTTCTTCTTTTCTCTCTTCAATTACCGCGTACACTTTCTCTAATAACATCTTAAAAAAAGAAACTTAGTCATTTGTTGATTTTAATTTTTGAGAGATGTACAACTGCCTGATATCGGACGTTTCATCCCTTGAAATACCATCCCATTATGGTTTGACACAAGTCAGGCTCCCCGAAATACACAAGTGAGTAAATTCTTAATAAAGGTCATTAATAAATTTAGAAACCATTAGTAATCTTAAATAATATTTTTTATTGCATATGCATATTATTGCAGATTATTGCATATTGTGGATGGATGGATGGATATAATGATGATATAATGGATGCTCTGACATCGGACATACAGGAGGAGGCACCTTGGTGCCATTTGCAGATGACATTGTGTTGGTAGGTGAAGATGGGGTTGAGGTCCAGAGCAGACTGGAAAAATGGCTTGTTGCCTGTTAGGCTGGGGAATGTTGGTTTGGAAATCAGCAGAACCAAAACTGAGTACATGTTCTGCGATTTCGGCGGTCTCTCCAGTCCTGAAACCATTTCGCTGGATGGAATAGAGATAACAGTCTGCTCCAATTTCAAGTACCTCGGCTCCCTCTTACAATGTGATGGTGAGATTGATCGAACTGTACAACATCGAATCAATACGGGATGGATGAAGTGGCGACAGGTAACGGGAACAACTTGTGACCCCAGTTTCCCCTTAACCATGAAGGGACAAATATATAAAACTATTATCAGACCTGCCGTCCTGTATGGTTCTGAAAGTTGGCCCATTAAGAGAACCGATGAGAGACGCCTGAACGTAGCCGAAATGCGAATGCTGAGATGGATGTGTGGTGTGACTCAGATGGACAAGGTTAGGAATGAGTATATACGAGGGAGTCTGAAAGTAGCGCCACTGGATGAAAAGTTAAGAAGTAATAGGTTATCTTGGTATAGACATGTCATGCGGAGGGAGGAGGAAAATGTGGAGAGGAAAGTTTTAGGTATGGGAGTTGAAGGGTACAAGAGAAGAGGCAGACCGAAGAAAAAGTGGAGGGACTGCGTGAGGGAGGATATGGCTAGGAAGGGAGTAAACAGTGAGATGACGCATGACAGAGTAGAATGGAAAAATCATACATACTGGGCCGACCCCAAATAAAATTGGGAAAAGGGTAGGCAGATGATAATATTGCATATTGTAGTAGGCTAAAACCTCCTTTATAAGGAGAGGCCTATGTCCAGCAGTGGACTAGTAAAGGCTGTTGATGACGATGATGATGCATATTTTAAATCAAATATATTATTATTTGATTAAAATGTGAAAAATTGCTGAAATCTATTTAAAAAAAAAACAACTTTCCTCAAAAAAAATCCTACAATACAGCGAGTGCAATTAGGTAGATATAATATTAAAGTGGATGGTAGTGGTTCAATTGTTTTCAGTATATTTTTGACTAATGATCTATTTTCGATAACCCTTTCCACCCCTATTCATCCCGTGGGTGTCATAAGAGGCGACTAAAGGAGCAAACTACGCAGGACAACAGCATTGCAAAGAGAAGGAAAACTTGAAACAAACTATACCAACCCGTCTGGCCAGAGCAGTAAAGTAGGCCTCCTTTCTACTTTACTAAGGAGAGGCCTGTGTCCGGCAGTGGACTCTTAAAGGCTGTTGATGATATTAACCATACCTTTAGCGGTGTAGCCTTATACCATATGTATAACAAATATTTATAATGAGTCACTTCTTTGATAGATCGCTAAATATCTGATCTTGACTAAAAATATGCAAGGGTTGTCACAAAAACGATCACGATCGCTAAATCCCGTAGCTAGGTAAATATAATATAACAATAATAATAATAATTAACTAATTTAACAATAATTTACCTATATAGCAGTATCTCGGGTTTTAATTATGTTTAAAATATTGAATAAAAGGTTTGAACCAATTATACGAAATAGGTTAAAACGATACATTGGAAAATAATTTAATTCGTTTCTTTTTAAGATTTTGGTAAAATTGAATTCTTACAACCAAATGATTTTCTATCACGACAATAATTTAATTATATACACTCGGTTCCAAAAATTACGGGTCAGTCACAAAAATTGAAATACCTCCAGAACTGTAAAAGTTAGATCAATGAAATAAAAAACAGAATAAAGACTTTTTAGTTGCGCTTCTAATAGCATATTATTTAAAATGGTTGATGAAAAAAACTTCAATAGAAAAAGAAAATTTAAAAAAATGACTATTTTTAAAAACAAAATTTTTGTTTCATTTCATTATGGATGCTTTCCATTTCAATTCTGTCACAAAAAAAATTATCGTGAACGTCTTCCACGTGCATAATTAATTTTCTGTGAGGTGAAGCATGGCAGTCACGCTAGAGGAATGTACCAGAATCCTAACTTTTTTGGAACTTGGGCGGAGCCAGCGTGAAACAGCCAGAAACATTGGTGTATCTTTGTCGACTGTTCAGCGGATAGTCCAGCGGTACCAAGAGACCGGATCACACCTTAGAAGACCAGGAAATGGCAGACCAAGATGCACAACGGCCAGGGAAGACAGACAACTGGTGGCTACAATGCTCCGAAATCGTTTTCAAACTGCTGTTGGTCTAAAAACTCACTTTATTCGCTTTGGAGGTGGCAATTTAAGCGCTCAAACAGTAAGAAGACGTCTTGCTGAAGCAAATTTGAAACCATTGGGCCTCAATGGTTTTAAATTTGCTTCAGCAAGACGCAAATGGCCCCAAACTGGAACAGAGATACGTGCGCGAGCACCTAAACTGGACACTAGACGATTGGTCTAGGGTAATGTTTACGGACGAGTCTAAATTCATGCTTTATAAGTATGATGGTAGGCAGTTGGTGTACAGAAGACCAGGGGAGCGCTTCCATCAAGCGTGTGTGGAGGAAAAAGTGGCGTACGGTGGAGGCTCCGTACAAGTTTGGGCTGGGATTTTTACTGAGGCCCGCACCGAGCTGGTACTCATTCAAAATGGAACTCTAAATGCAGAGAGGTACGTGGAAGAGATCCTCAATGAACATGTAGGCCCTTTCATGGCCAGGATGGACCGGCATGGCATATTAATGCATGATAATGCGCGTTCCCATACCGCCAGAATTGTACATGACTACCTTGAAGAGGTCGGTATCGAACTCATGCAGTGGCCAGCGCGAAGCCCGGACTTAAACCCCATCGAGCACGCCTGGGACGAGCTTCAGAGATGCGTGAAAGGTCGAAACCCCCCACCAATCACGCTTCCCGAGCTCAAACAAGCACTGGTGGAGGAATGGGAAGGTATTCCTCAGCACCGGCTCCGAAATTTGGTGTACAGCATGCCTAATCGCCTGGAAGCTGTCAGAAGAGCTCGTGGAGCTCGTATTAAATGAAGAAAGTGATGAAAAACAGCAAAAAAACAATCATAAAAATATGTAATCTAGTAACGTAGTTCGGGAGATATTCGGGTTTATGTGACTGACCCGTTATTTTTGGAACCGAGTTTAAGTAAATCTAACAAAAATACTTTATTTTGAAATAGATTTGTGTGTCTCTCAGTCTGTGGGTACTAAATGTACTTTAGTTTTTTTTTTTTAATTTAGAGACACGTTAAGAGTTAGAGAGTTTAGATTTAAGTTTTATTTTATTTTTTATCTGTATAATTAAATTCTCAATTGAACAGTCTTCGTTTCATTAGGATGGCATACGTAGTTCGGGAGATATTCGGGTTTATGTGACTGACCCGTTATTTTTGGAACCGAGTTTATTTAGAACGATCAGTATTTTTGCAATTAAATGTGTTTTAAACCACCAAATACATTGAAACTTTTAGTAGCCGTTCGTTCTCTTATATTATATTATTAGTAAAGTAAAGAGAAAATAGTACTACTGTGAGTTAATCAAATAACAAAAATATTGCGAGTAAACGCGTGCAACTGATGTTCGTGACACTACTGAACGGACGTATCAGTTAACAAGGCAGGAGGGTGACTCCGCTCTTCTTCATACCGCACCGCAGCGTTGCTCCTCTAAGTAGCTGGGTTGACTCACTATTAGTATTTATTACACACATGCTTATACTTTGCAACTGCAGGACTACATCGAGTAAATTGAAGTAATTTAAAGGTATGGTATTGATTCCTATAGCCCGTACCTCGTAAAATAGTTTTCCGATTTGAAAAAGATCTTCAATGTGTCCAGATATGTAATCAGTAGCTGTTTTGTTAATGGGTCTCCAATGGCACTCCACGTTAAATACTCCTGCTTTGTAAATAGTTATTTTAGCTGTTGGTGATTCGTGCCACGTCGGTTCACCTTCTATCTTTTTAAGAGTGCCTTCACCTTCAATAAGTTGACCAAAAGCTACGTATTTATGTGTCATCCAATCAGCAGGTTGTAGTAATACAAAAAATTGTGTTGAACAATCTTGATTCCTGTACATTTTCAAACACTATATATACGCTGCGTATAATAAAAATATTTTGCAGAGGTATGCACTATTCCTGTGAATACTTGTGTATTAAGGATTTACAGATCAATTTCTGGGCTATGTATCCCAGACATTTCAGAAGCCGATCCCAAACTATTTTCTTTCTGAAATTTTTTCTACCGTATTCAAAGATTTGTGAATTTTACTAAGTACATTAGGTAGGGTACATTTTTACACATTCACTATCACTATGATTCCGAGTACCTCTAGTTTAAGTTCACTTAGATGAATAAAAATTGGCTGTCTTCTAAAACTTTTAAAGATCCATCAAAATGAGTTTTAGCAATGATGGTACTTACTTGGTTACTTACTTAAGTTTAATTCTACAAGGTATTCGGAATACTTACCTTGTATATTTGATGTAAAGTGAAAAATTATAGAATTTATTGCATTTTCACATAACATAAGTATTAAGTTACCTGCCAGCGTTAGCCATGGCGAGTACCCCCCGTCTATCATGGGGAACAATATAATTTTCACAGTCCAGTTCAGTGGGATTTTTTAATGTAAATCCTCCACATTGTATCCAAGAGTCTTGTACTATGCGGTGGATAGGGGCCCCCGCATAGCCATTTTTCTTTAATTCACATAGTTTTAGGAAGTTTTGACATGTGAGCGGGACTATATCGGCGTAAAGCTGCAAAAATTAGGCAACATTATCTATGTTCTTTTGATAGTAATTTAACAATTAATTTGCATTTTTTATGATTATTTTCTACTTAGTTTTATTTGCCACATGGGTGATTATATGGGTACATGGGTAGATTGGATTTCGAAACGTTCAAAGTTCTGAGGAGTTTAAAGTAATAGTTGGTAAAACGTTAGTCAGAGGGCTCGGACTTCCCAGTGAGTTCAAATACTTTCTTTACTGTTAAATGCTAAAGATTTGTTTTGCTGAAGAAAGAACCGCTGAATAAAATAAAAGCTAGAAACATTAATTGATCTTTGCCCTCACTGTACGTTTGAGAGGCAAACAGTTTTAAAAATATTCCGTAATACACATGAAAAACATAGCTCACGTCAAACGAAGCGTCAATGCATTTGCCAAATGTATTACAAATAGTAAATTCATATTAAGTACTACTTACCATAAATATCAAGGGTCCTATGGGTATATCATTAATAGAAATGTGTAAATAAGCACATGGTCTCTGGAAGTTAAAATGTCATATTAATAAAATATAAACGTGAACACTGGATGAAAAATTAAGAAGTAACAGATTATCTTGGCATGGACATGTCATGCAGAGGGATGAGGAAAATGTGGGCAAGAAAGTGTTAGGTATGGGAGTTAAAGAGTACAAGAGAAAAGGAAGGCCAAAGAAAAGGAGGATGGACAGTGTGTGAGAATATATATATACTAGGAATAGAGTAGAATGGAAGAATCATACTACATTGGGATATGGGTAGGAAGATGATGAAACGTAGACCTATAAAAGTCTGTAGATCCATTTAACTATCAGAGACGGTTAATTGAAGCAACAAAATAAGACGTCGAGCCATGCTTCGGCACAAATGGAAGCTACCACCAGGATACCACGGCCTCAGTGAACTGATTTTAAGCAACTCTTTCATTGCTTTTCACCGAGCTAGTGAGTTTGCCGGAGCTCAAACTCCTTCTGATGCTTGGGAGGTTCACAGCGCACTTGTGACGGCGGTAGCTTTTTACGTATACTTATGTATTTCCCAAAAAAAAATGAAATGAATTTAACAGTGATGTGAAAACACTTACTCCGTTAGACTTAACATAATTGGTAAACTGTTCAATTCCTTCCTTATAATAATCTAAGCATTCAGGATAATGGTAAACATATTTTGATTGAATTAGCGTTCTAAACTCATTTTCTCCTCCGAGAAATTGGTTATTTATCAACACAGCAACTTGGGACTCTATACAATACGCTGCAATACCAAACTGCATCTTCAAATCATGCCATACTTTAGGCCATTCTACACTCGTAACACCTGAAATACAGTAGTAATAGTAGGTTACCTAACAATATAAAACTTGCTATTTTCTCGATAGCTGATGCTTTTGCTGACATCACAAAGACGCGTATTACAGTATTCTGATTACACAGAGAGACACCATTACTCAATCTACTCTCAAACGAGCCGAGCTTTGACTACAGATATTTAAATTGATATTCTATAACTCAGAGTATAACCTTTAAGTATGTTTATTCATAAAATCATACTTGGATTCCTTTCTTGAAATATCTAGACTGACCGAAATAGATATTTATGCATACAAATATATACAAAGACCACAAATCGAACCCGTGATCTTTCCAATTGAGCTTTCAACCTGGATACCAAATTTAAATAAATACAGGATAGACTTTAAAAGAAGTCGTAAAGCAATTTTATTACTTTAGGATATTTAGAGCATGCCGTAAGGCAGCTCTTATACTTGTATATTATGTATTTCTGAAAAGACCAACGTTTCGGAACACATTTTACATTAAGACAAAGGTTTTACTTTTAAGTTTATCTACATGTCTATATTTCCTGAAAAAAAAACAGATGGTACAGAGCTCTCCCAAATACTAGGAATTGATCGTACACACCTCGTATGATAGGAGCTTCAAATTCCTTTTTCCTATGCTTATACAATGCTCTTACCACGTGGTAGCAATAAATAAACTCTCTTGTGACCCTGTTGCCAATCACTATAAATTTTACGGGCTTAGTGCCTAAGACATGTTTGTTTTTTGGTAAAGGATATAAAGGATTTTGCACAGAATTGTGAGTGTACTTATATCTATCAAAAAATTTCGCTTTAATCCGATGTTCCCACGGGTGCTTAGATGGTAGTTTTTGTTTAATAGGGATTTCGGGATTAAAAAACGACATCCTAAGAAATCGTGTTTTCGTTTATTGACAGTGTCATCATTACATAGTTGTGACGTTTACATTATTTTTATTTAACACTAGTACTCGCGGCCTGCTATTGTTAAATGATTTAATAGTTTTTAACAGTTTATTTGGGTTGTAGACCCAGGTCGATAATTTTGAAAATGGCAAAAGTGAAAAAAAAATATAGTAGGATGAAACCCGTTAAAAAAGGACGAGAATAAAACAAAAATGAAAGGAAAAATAATTTACGGGCGATCTGAGGTCATCTTAGGAGAGATCATCTTAATATTCGAAACTAAGACTCTTAATAAAGTGATATCATTGCCGTCATAGACATCGTTTATTGACAGACGTTTATTCCGAAAAAGTTTTTAATAATGATGATGAGTTCATTGTAGACTTGCAACGAATAGTATATTCGGCAGTATACCGAATACCGAATATTCGGCGAGGCCCCTGACCGAATAGCCGAATATTAGGCAAAAGTATTCGGCTGGATTTTAGCGCCAAAAACTTGTACAGACGTGAATTAAATTATGTACCTGTTTTATGTACCAATGACTACTTAATAAATGATTATAAAAGAAATGAGAACCTTACCCTTCTAAATTTTGATTACCACAATAATTCAAATACATAGAATCCTCCATTTTTCCTATTCAGAAGATGATTATGTACCTGTGTTATGCACCAATGACTATTTAAATGATTATAACAGAAATGAAAATATGAATATATACGTAATCAATCGATTTTAATTTTTCATTTTACCAATTATTTCTCAAAGACAATATATTATAAAAGTATTCGGTATTCGGCCGAATATAATAAAAGCAGCCGAATACCGAATAGTAACCGAATATTCGTTGCAAGTCTAGTTCATTGTCAATATCATCATCATTACCCTTTGCTCAATTTATTTGGAGTCGATGCAATGAGTTTTTACTTTATATCCTCTTTCAGGCACTCATTCATTTCATTGTGAAATGGTTTTGGCTTTTTTAACAGCCGGCCGCCTCCTGATGATAACCGTCCTTGGAAAAAATCGTTCTTAGTACATAGTATGAAGCGAAAGATATTTGGGAATTCGATGGATTAAGAATACGGAGCGTTACCACCCCTATCCATCCCGTGGGTGCCGTAAGACCCGACTAAGGGAGCCAACTACGCAGGACAACGACACTGCAAAGAGAAAGAAAACTTGACACAAACCCTATACCAACCTGTCTGGCCATCGTGGTATCGTAGGCCAAAACCTCCTTTCTAAGGAGAGGCCTGTGTTCAGCAGATGACTAATAACGGTGATGATGATGATGATGATGATGAAACACCCAGGGTTTTCCCTATTGTCTAACCCAACAGCTTCACAGCCCTGTTTTTCTTGTATTTTTTTTTATTAAAACTCTTGTACTCTTCTCTTAAAAGGAAAATGACAGATCCTGTAACCCTAGTACGAGTAATATATGATGAATGACTATGAAATTTGTATTGTTTATATAGTCAATCATCCTATTTTCATGTAATTATCATATTTTTAGAACTTTGCTAAAAGTAACTAAATTCTTCTGAAATAATTGTTCCAACTGCAATAACTAAACGTTCAAGTGTCGTTAACAAAACGCAATCCTACGTTTTCTAAACTTGCCATGCATAAAATATGAATTACATAAATAACGATATATTTACGTCGATATCAACGAATAATCACACTAGTGTATTTAGCAGTTAAAAACAAACATTTCTATATTAATAATGTTGACTGTAGAGATTAGACAAATATATATTTTAAATCAATTAATTTAAGGAAAGGGACTAATAACTTTTATTTACATCGATTAGAGTAATATAATTTTATTAACAACTCATTTGTGACAGCCAGCAGTCATTGGTATCGACTTCAGTACAGTTTATATGCATACTACAAACTTAAATAACTTTTGAACGTAAAGTTTCAAAAAATCTGGTAATTAAACTGTAAATGTTGATGATATTACCAGCCAAAAAATATAACAGTAATCCCTACCATGAGATACGCAAGGCGCTACAAAAGTCCCATACATGCCTGCTGTCCTTTGGTTGTCGTACTGAAATGATACCTCAATATACGTGTAATCTTAGAGCTGATCTGATTATGAATTCAAAAGGTAGATTTTAATAATAATAACTAGAGACATTTTACGCACGGCCGTCTGATTTCAATTTGGGCAGTGCGTGCGTTATGATATGCCGATTGCTGATACACATAACTACTTATATATTTCATAGACGAGAGCGAGTTGATGTAAAATAAACTTGCAGGCCCTCCGATTGGGCTTAAATTGTACGGCTTTTATTTAAAGTATAGTGTTATATAAAATTTCACAATTCAGTGCAGTAGTCTGATGGTAGTGATTAGGTTTTAATTATATCATTTTTTTCGATATGGAGTAAAACCGGGAAACTGAAAAAAGCTGGTTGTCGAAACAGCTTTTTAATTTTATTATGAAATTTATTGGCCTAGATTACTCTTGTAATACAGTTACTTTAATTATTTATGAAGTTTTATTACCTATATTTGTTAACCAACTCCTACGCTTTTTTCAGAAATTTAAGTTTTTGCAAAGACCGTTTTTTGGGGATAGATGCCTATCTATAATGATAGATGCCTCACTATGAAATCGCTTAGAAAGATAGCTGGACTTTTAAATAGTCAACAATAATATTATCTAAAAAAAACAGCGTGAGGGTCTATGTATACCTATATACACCCCCGGTCGGAACGAAGTTTCTTTCGCTTTTAGGTAGTGTCGGCAGAAAGTATTGTTACACATTTTTTGGTCTCGCTCCCATCCGCTCAAAGCGTGTAACGCGCGATAAGGAAAATCGTTCCAATACAATATCCAGGTATAGGTAATATGAAACTAGGACCATAATTATATGTATATATTTACAATATGCATTTCTAACAAAAATTACGAAAGAAATATTTAAAACTCATGCAGTAATCTGTAAAGAAACATTCACAAACGAAACGTTTTCTTCACGGGTAGACTTTTGTATTGTTTTTACCTTTTCAACATTGGGTAATTTTCGTTTTCACTGTCTTTAATGTGATCAATGTCCACATGTTTCTTTTAATTTTTTTAATATAATAATTGCAATTATTCATGTCGCCATCTGTTTCTTTACTTGATCCATGCTTTTTCGTTGGATTTTCTTTCTTATTTTTATTGTTTTGTTTTGTTTTATTTTATTTGGGACAATAAACAGAGGCCCAAGTTTGAGTTTTTTACACATCAACTCGCTCTCGACAGTGAGCGCGTTCGGCGTTACGATTGGTGCAATTTTCAGTGCGAGCCAATCGCAGCGACGAATGCGGTCATCGTGACGATCGATTGGATGCGAAATAAACTCACACTTGGGCTTCAGTTGTAAAATATGTTTAATATCAGTGGAAATAGAAAACAGTAATTAATGCACAACCAGCTTAATTATTCACATTTTACAAATTGAGTCTCAAATACACCAGTGCTTTTGCTATGCAAGTCTTATTCTAAATTGGTATAGTTCGTAATACACTGTCAATTTTACGTTTAAACTTCGCGGCAGACAGTGCGAGTAGTGCGGCAGAAAGTAATTATTGTAGGCATTAACCAGCTGTAATATAGGGGCGCGTCGCCCGGCGTTACTTCGACACGGGCGTAGTACTGAACACCGGCCTTACTGTGCGTCTTCGCACTGTACGGAATCATATTTGTTATGACACTGTTTGTATCTTTATACAAACTGTGTCAGTATGAATTAATGTCGTTAATAAACAGAAAAAATAACAAGGGGCCCCGAATTGATCTCTGCGGGATGCCAGACGTCATTTTGATCTCCTTTTATTAGGTAGCTTCCGTCTTGCTCATCTTAGATTCTATTTGTTTATTCTTCCTTCTAACAACATTCCTCTTTTCTTTTCTTTTTCTATAAAATAGAGAATATTTTCACTTTCGAATTGAACTAGCGATAGCTGACTAGCTATTCTGCTGTCCACGAGATTACTAAAGTTCGTAGCTCCTTTCTTTTTATTTAGTTGGCATGGCTCTCCTACTATAAGCAAAGTATACTTATAAACACATTACAACATACAATAATAAGTACTATAAAATTACGTATTATAAAATACATTTTAAAAATACTTTGAAAGGCCTCTTACAGTATACAGAAATAGAAGCCTCAAAGCATTTATTCTTTAAAAAATCATGGCGACTATCCTTTACGCTAGGAATAGAGGCCCTTTTATACTTTAAGTGACATCAATGCAAAAACCATTGATAAGCTCTTAAATGTGTTCTCAATTAACCAATGTATTAACACAATTGAAATGGGATAATCCATAAGAAAAAAATCCATAAGGACTTACAAAGATATGGAGCATTGAAGACTTACGTTTAAAATTTTGAGGGGTTTTTTGTGTCCACTTCGAATGTTTTGAGACAGAAAAGCTAGAAGCAGCCACTTAGCCAAACTGTTTACGTGTCATTATGGTCATGTCATATGAGGCAAATATTTGAACAACGCAATTACTGTTTTGATTTTTGAAAATGAAGTTTTTAGAAACGAGACATCAATCCTAGTGCTGCATCTATCCCGGTTTTACCCTACAGAAAACAAATAAGATTGTAAGAAGCAGGTCGTCGCAGTAGATCGCTTTGAACAAACCATAAACAGCTCTTTACATATAGCTATAATTTAAGTGTAATCATCGTTCAATAGACACTTGATGACTGCTTTCTACAGCGTGAGGTTACCGAAGTCCCAACTCCTTCCTCCTCTTAATACGCGGTGGTGGAAGCACTCAAAGGGCAGTCATTCACTAGTGTCTCTTAAGTTGTCAAGTCTATCATCACATCAACAGCCTGAAATGGTCTACTGCTAGACATAGGCCTCTCTTTAGCAAAGAGGTTTTGGCCTACTATACCACGCTGGCCAGACGGGTTGGTACAGGGTTTATTGCAAGATTTCCTTCTTTTTACATTGCTGTTGTCCTGTCTAGTTCCCTTAGTCGGCTCTTACGACACTCACGGGATGAATAGGGCTGGTGACACTCCGTGTTCTTAAACCGTCACCACACCGAAAGTTTATCACTCAACAATAAAGTGGAGATGTACTCTTAAAGTAATAATACAAATCCTTTTTAATGTAAAAAGTTTTACTGTTTTTAATTCAAATATAAACTTAAAACTTGATATTATCAAGTCATAAAGTGCTATAAATTTTGACAAATACAATTTATATAAAATTAAATTAATAATAAGGTTTTATTAACAATGGGATTATCATTATTTTATAAAAATATAAGACTTGTCAATTTAATGTATTAGAGACTAAATATATGGCCAAATTTATAAATATACAAACATTTATGTACATTTTTATTAAGACAACCAGACAACCGGAACCGTCAGAAAAACTCAAGATACATTCAATCTGAAATTATTGGTCAACATGCCTTGTCAACCTGTAACAATAAAACGATTGGTTTAGTCCATAGATAAAATACTATAAATCCTAGAGCTTTATCTTCAATAGACGACGATCAACATTATAGTTTTTTTCTTTTTCTTTTATGGCATAGTAGGAGGTTCGTATAAGAATTATTACTATACGTATTACTTTTGTCAAGTCGGTCAAGCCGGCCCATATTATAAATGCTAAAGCATTGTTCTCTCACGGCTAACACATGGTACTTAATGGCAGCTCTTCCATACATTCTTCGTGTGGCTTTCGCATACATCTCTGGCCTTCTTGTATGCACTAAGATAAGCTATATGCCAGATTAGGAAAGTTAAATCAATTAATTAATGATTATTTTCATCGCTTACTGCTTCGTTATCTTGCACATCTCTAGCCCTCTCACTCTCTCTTTCTCTTTCTCTCTCTCTTACACATATACACAAGTACTTACTTAGGTTTATTGATTTTTATTTTTTTAAGTTAGTTTCATGTAACTGATTTTTGTTTTGGTATTCAACAACTGTCATTGATGGTAGCCGTTTTCGTGAATTTGTCAAAAACTGGTTTTCAGCGCTTCTGATATTCAAGTTTTTAAAAGACATTTTGCTGGGTAGCTGATAGAGTTCTTGATCTCTAACATGGAGATTTATAGAATCATTTGAAGACAATGCAGTATCTCTGTGGAATATTTAACATGTAAAATCTATATTCCATTTTTACAAGTTTTTATAAGTAAAAGCTTATTGCTGCTGTTGCTGTAGATACAAATATTGTAAGTTTTATGTGAATCTCGAAAGCTAATTTAGAACCACATCCCGATGTCCGACTAGGCTCAAATTTGACGCCCTTTTGCATCTTGAGTGAGAATACAATAATACAATACTATGGAATATGTTGTGATGATGGAGCCGGAATATGGCCATAGGAACTTCTTAACTAAATCAGATAAATGCATCGAGATTAGGCTCATTTGTTTTGTCTTGATGAGTACTTTGGTGCCTATAAAAGCGTGTTTTAAAACATTCTTTTTCACAATTAGTTGTAGTATTATTTATAGGTTAACCATGGGGGAGGCCTACGTCCAGCAGTGGACGTCTTTCGGCTAAGATGATGATGATGATGATAGTATTATTTGATAACGTGAATACATTCAACAGTGACTACAACAAGTATATAAATTTGTTTAAAAAGTTTTAGGGTTTCTACTGATTATTTCAGACCCTTTTAGATCTTAAGCTAAATAAACTTTCAACATTCAACTTTCAACGGTCATTTACACGCCGTAGGTGGCCCGAGGTTTGTCGGGGTATCGGGGATTTCCTTCCTAGGGTACACCTGGTTCCCCGGCAACTGGTACCCGAGACGGCGTGCGGGTTCTGGTCGGTTCGAGGGGATTTCCGTACAGAAAAAAAGGTGGAAGTTAATGTAGAAATATTATGAGAAGTTATTTTTTACTTCTACTACGTTAAATATTGATATTTTTTTACGTGCATATTGATTATGTTATGAATATTATGAATAAAGATATTTCGTTTTACACTGCATAAGGGGTAGAATGAAATGTTCACCAAATTATGTTTGTAAGAATGCATTCGTATAGTTATAAATTTCAGGCATCCTGATTTTTACTGCAATTGCAGAGCTGATTTTGTGATACTTGTGCATACAAGGGCGGCATTTAACAACAATCTTGATAATGAAATCCAAAATATGTTGAGAGTAATCTAACAGTATACTCACCTAAAGATACTTGAGGAGCCATCATAATAACTATAAATTGTCTCTTCATCAAAGTGTACAAGGTTTGACATACGTCTCGAGGAATTGCTTTTTGTCTCCGACACTGGTATACTAGATTCAGGCGAAGATTCTGAATGAATCTTTTCCTCCCTAAGTAAATATAATGTTTTTTAATAGCAATAGAAAGTTTTTTGCTTCTCTTTCTGTCTTAATCTCGAATCCCAATTCAAGCCTTTGGATTAAATTTCCACAGATTTAAAATATTTAACCACTTGTAAGCTCGGTTGTGACAGATATTTAGAATAATTTACATACTTGGGGTCCACAATAACTACAGCTAATTATTTAGCAGATTTTTTTATGAAAGAGGTGGCAAGTGAGCGGATCAATTATGCTGCGAATTATCAAATAGATAATGTTACACTTACGAGTACTTAGGAACTGCGGTGTTGTATTTTTTTGCCATGCTGTAAAATAAATAATATGTACCATTCATACATTAGGCGTAATTTAATTTAAATTCATGCAGAAGTCCGTTGCATGAATTCGGTGTATTTCGACAAAAATCACTGAACACTTAAATAATGTTGACTTACCCATATCTAAAAGATATTAAAGAAATAAAACCGAATTACCGAATTAGCCTAAGTTCTTCATCCATTATGGTACCAACTCTGCAAGTGATCAAATATATTGTTATATACAAATAAACTAATCCAAGATGTAAAAAAAAAAAAAAATTGACCTGTAATAGTTGCTGTTACAAATATTTTAATTGATTTAGTCTGTTTTCAGGTGATACTTACTTGATCTTCTGTTTAAGATCATCGAAAAGTTCACGTTTTTTGTTCAAGCTTGCAATTTTTTTTACCAGAGGACCAGCAAAACTGACTTTGTCCACACTTTTTCTAGAATTAAATGTATTGATACCATTAATATAATTCGTTCTTATTCAATGTTCTGGTTTGAGAAGAGAGTTGATAAATTAATCTAACTAAAAATAATAGATATAAATCTGACATAGGGCCCTCAGTATTACATATTGTGCATCGGGCTTGGCACCGACTTCAAACAGACTGGAAGGTATCTATTGCGATTATAATGTTGCCTGTTATATTGAGAGTCGTTCTTATTTTAGTCTTTTTAATTAGATTTGTAATTACTTATTAATTTTTAATTTGGTTGAAGTCGGTTCAACTTTTTTTAAAAGGTATTATTTTACTACCAATTCGAGAAAATCATTTATTTATTAATATACTTAAAAGCAATAGTTAAGAAAAGTTTTAACACATTACTTTATATATTTCTTGATTTCAGCATCATCATCGAGTCTCAAGTAATATTCTGTAAATAGGTAAACATTAGAAATATTTGTTATTTAATCATATCTGTCGTAGACAGTTAAAATGGAAAATATCTAAATTGTTTACAATACAATAACAATAAGATGGTCAGAATAAAACCCAGCCCGCTGATGATAAATGGGTTGAATCAAATTTCATCTGATGCCGGGAACAATCCTTAGATATATACATTTAGTACCCACAGACTGAGAGACACACAAATCTATTTCAAAATAAAGTATTTTTGCTAGATTTACTTAGATAATATATAAAGAATAATTATTACCTCTTTCTTCGTCGGGGTCTTCGTAACTTTCAAATATTGCACAAAACACTTCATCGGGAATGTTAAAATGCCCTTGTTTTTGAACGGGATCCTTTTGTAAGTCATTTTGTAAACAATAATCACCCCTCAATAATCTATAAAACACAATAACAGATACATATTATTAAATAAAGCAGTGGTAGTATATATTATATTTGGCACATCATATTTTAGGGCTGTTTTGCAAATTTGTAACAATCCCTTGAAATGTACTATATCATAGAACTTTATAACAACAGTAACCACTTAGGTTACTGTTTAGGTTAAAGTTTTTAATATAAGCAGAAATACCAATCCATGTCCAATGATATATACGACACAATTTACATCTAAGTATTTAAGGAGATATGATGATTTTCTAAAGATCATCTACATTTTTTCCTAAATTCGGTTGACGCAATTCTATTTAGAACAAACTGTGCGATTTCTTAAACAAGATGTTACAAGAAGTAAACGATTGAGAATCTTGACAATTTTAATATTTTACCTCTGTAGATCAAAATTAGAATGAACTTCTCCAGGGTATGGAACATCCGTTAGAGGTATGTAGAATTGCTTCTTGTACTTTACTTCCGTACTTTGTATAGATAATGGCGTAATCTGCTTGTAACGCGTATAGTCTTCGAATTCACACTCTTGTAAATCACTCTCATAGTTGACAACAGTCTCGTAACTTTCATGAGTGCAAGGACTTTCAGTACCATCAGCGTTTAACAAATTTTGGTCTCTCTCTTCATTTGTTAACACGAACCTAAAAAAACATGCAATGTTTCTTAAGCATAATCTCTATTCTAATAAATTGATTCGTAAACAATACTAACAGTACTACTAAACGCTTTCCCTGTGTGAGATTAAGTCCATCTAAATGCTCGTAATAATAACTTCACACATCAAGTTTACCCCAAACCCCAATGTTTGCTCAATATACGAGTCAGTTTGAAATTTACATTTCCCCGCTTATAGTGGATGTCGGATGTAAACATTAGTTTGCCCCCTTTGAGTTCCTCGTTTTTCTAATATTAGAGAAAATTGTAGTCTGCTTTCTCACCATTCCGTATTTTCACCGTGTAACGTACGGTATTAGATAAGTAATCCTATTTAACATATTTATCCTGGATGGGAACCCACGACCTCTGCCTTAGCAGTCAAGATCGCTAATCATGGTCATTAGACCGATAGAGCTACTAAAAATTATGAAAAAAAAAAAAATGAAAATCCGAGATTTACGACAATGCATGGCTAGGAAGTTGGGCTCGTGGCTGGGTGGTAACTGAGTAGATTAACACATTGCAAAGTTATGTTCTAGTCAGGTCAGTCTCTGGATGTATTACATTCTTAACGTTAAGCCGTTGGTTCCTGTTGTCATACGAACATCTGTGGCAATCGTTACGGGTAGTTGGAGCCCTAAAAATTCCAACAACAGCCTTTTTACAGAAGTTCGATATTGTCTACCACTTGGGTTGAGGAGGTGTCATGGCAGTCGCTTTTCGTAAAAAATCTAAGTTCAATCGTATCGTAGTACCCCCGACCCCAACAAGGTTTGGAAAAAGGCTCGCAGGAAGGCATGGTTAGGAAGTATAGTACTATACAGTAATGCAATTTAAAATATAAACTAATACAACTAATTCATCGGCATACGGATGAATAAAACCAAGGTCATGTTCAATAAACATGTACTATTGGAACCGATTGCGGTTCAAGGTGCCATTCTCGAAGTTGTTCAAAATTACGTGTACCTCGGTCAGACATTTCAGTTAGATAGAAACAACTTTGAGGACGAGGTGAACAGAAGAATTCAGTTGTGGCACCTTTTGCTAAGCTACGCCCAGTCTTCTCATCTTCGATCCCACAGTGCCTTAAGACGAATGTCTTCAATGAGTGCGTCCTACCCGTCATGACATACCGAGCCGAAAGTCGTCGAGTCAAAGTCGCTCAACGTGCTATGGAAAGGGCTATGCTCAGCATTTCTCTAAGCGATCGCATCAGGAATGAGGTGATCCGGTGGAGAACCAAGGTCACCGACATAGCCTACTGGATCAGCAAGCTGAAGTGGCAGTGATCTGGCCATATTAGCCGGAGAACCGAAAAACCGTTGGGGAAATGAGTTTTTAAGTGGAGACCGCGTCTCGGGAAACGTAGTGTAAGACGCCCACAGGCCAGGTGGAGTAACGGTTTGCGCAAGATGGCTGGCAGAAGCTGAATGCGAGAAGTTCAAAATCGCTCTAAGTATCGTGCAATGGGAGAGGCCCATGTCCAGCAGTGGACTGCGATAGGCTGATGATGATGAGACAACTAATTCGTATTTATATTAGGTACTTACCTTTTTGCCGGTCGAACATTTTCAGTTATGTCTTTTAAAGAAGGATGGTCTTGAGTTACTTTAGGGTCGCTGTTTTTATTGTTAATTTCAATAAATACGTTTTCAATTAGGGCCTGAAAATGTTTGCACATTTCTTCTGCAATTACAATTATAAAGGACATGCTTTTAAATTAAGAAGAAAATCGATCATGTTAAGTCCCTTACCTTATAAAAAATCTCTCCAATTGTATTAAGATCTTCAATATGCCCATTTATATAATCCGTCGTATCTTTATTTACAGGTATTTTAGAAGTAAGATCAAAAATTCCGGCTTTATAAATGATTATTTCAGCCTTTGGTGATTCGTACCATGTCGGAACATTCTCTATTTTTCTAAGGGTCCTTTCACCTTCTATAAGTTGGCCAAACGCTACGTATCTATGGTCCATCCAAGGAGCAGGTTGCAGTAGTACAAAGAATTGTGTAGAGCAATCGTTATGTCTGAAAGATGGATTCCTTATCTAGATAACTAGATTCCAATTGACCAATGGGATATTCTTATAGAGATGGCGTAGTGGTTTTAAGCGGTCACCTCGCCGGTTCCTACTGCGCTCCCCACACGGTCATACACTTTCTATAATCCACAAAAATGTTGTTCTGAATCTGGGTGTCCTTTGTGTCCGTTTCATATATCTTTGTAAAGTACTCCGTGATACAGGATTTATTCCTAATGAGGGAGTTGTCTCTCTAAAGATAAAAGAAATACTTCTTTATGGTACATGGGGCATACGAGGCGACGGGTACCTGGCTGGCAAGTGACTATCGCCGCCCATAGACTCCTGCAACTCAACGGTCACAAGTAGGGCAAATATAATATATTATGAAATATAAATATGTTTATGACGTTAAATTACCTGCCGTCATTAGCCATGCAGAGAACCCCACGTCTATCTTGTCTAATAAGTAAGTTTTCACAATTCAGATCCTTGTTACTTTTAAGATTAAAACCTCCACACTGTATCCAATTGTCTTTCACGATGCGATGTATGGGCGTTCCCGCGTAACCACCTTTGGTTGTTTTACAAAGCCGTAGAAAGTTTTGACATGTTAGAGGAACTATATCGGCATAGAGCTAAAATAAGTTGTCTTATACGGTGAAACTAGTAATTAGAATGTATTAATTTTATAGATTTCTTTGCTCCACATATTCAACAAAAATAAGAGAGCGTTAAAAAATGATCGTATCAGTGTATTGTCTAATTAATTTATGTAATTATTACTATTTCGAAAACTTAATCATGTCTGAAATAAATTAATGATCGTAACTCACCAAAAATATCAAAGCTCCTATTCGTTCACCGTTAATAGAAATATGCAAATAAGCACACGGTCTCTGCAAACATATTATATTAAATTATTGGAAAGAAGTTCCCTATCGCGTGTTACGAGACTTGAGGTTATGGGAGCGAGACCGAAAAATGTGTAACAAGACTTTTTTTCGACACTTGTTGCAGAACTTCGTTCCGACCAGGGGTCCATGAACCCCTCCCGCCGTTTTATTATCTTCGTTAAGGTATTTTCTTCCATAACAAAAATGAGAACACTCAATATGCTCGTTTATTGAATTCAAGAGTTTACTTGACTATAAGAGGTACCCCTACTCTACCCTACAGACGGCCTTTAATCAGTCCTAAAAAGTAATGTATAGAAACACCCTACTTGATAATAACTATGTGGTATGTTATGTGAAAAGAAGGGTGGGGCAAATAAGCAGTTGGGTCACCTAATGGTAAAAAGAAACTTTGAAAAACACAATCCTTTTTTTTATTAAATATCGCTCGGGTCTAAAAGCTAAAAATATTTTTTTACAGATCTGTCACCTACAATATAAAGAAATCGAAAAAATAGATTTATTTATTAGTTCTAAAAATGCACACATCAACAGCGCGAATCAGTACTAACTTACTATCAACCATATCCATATCTCGATGCGACCAAGTGACTAGATGGGTAAGTTAAGAAATAATTGCTCTACTCACCAGATGAATGTATTTGTAATAACTTAATAATAACTAATCACTGGTTTTCTGTGGGGCCGTAATATCACTCCGGTCGAGTCGGCCCATTTATAGCGAAGCATAGTTATCCCATGGCCTAAGGGTCAGAAGGCCAATTCTTGGTAAAGTACGTAAAGTATTAAACATCCAACGGTGACAGTAATTTGATTATATTGCCAACCCTACGAACCGAACCGAACCGAACCGAACGTTGTAGGCAACCGAAAATTGAATCGTTAATCTGCTAGTAATACTTTACTTTTTTCATACGAAAATACCTTTTATGGCGGTCGCGAGATCGAGAGTTGATCGGAACCTAATTTTGACCGAATTTTTTTTTAGGGAATTGGCCTTCTGGCCTTAAACGTAATTTTAAGTAACGTAGATTTAAATTAGAAGGTGGCTACTTACGCCCTGAGAGTTAATAAAGTTTGCAAATTGTTGTATTCCCTCCTTGTAGTAATCTAAACTTAAATGATAAACATATCTTCTGGACTCTAAAAATTCTTTCAATTCGTTTTCGCCACCGAAAAATTTACCATTCAGCAATACAGCAACTTCCGCATTCAGACAATGCGTCAAAGTACCAAATTTAATTTTTAAATCGTTCCGTACTTTTGGCCATTCTACGCTCGTTACACCTAAAACATCGATTATCTATATGTCTATTATTAAATACATCTAAAAATTTATAAGTAGTCATAGCTTGATACTTACGAATGAACCGATACACAATTTCCAGGATTTATCTTTCGGAGACCACCCCACACGCAAGACGGTCTTTACCGATATGAAATACCTACTATATATATATAAAAATGTTAAGTTGGTTTGTGTAAGTGCGCTTAAACTTTGACACAATATACAACACGCTTCAAAAATGGTTTTTATTTATCTTTTACGACCACAATGTGCTACAGCAAAGCGTCTCAGGCAATAGCTGATTGGATAGCTCAAAACCGTATCTTTCGTTAGAATCTATGAAATATATATGTAGAAACTACATACATAGAAACGCTCTATAGTTTTAAGTAGTTTCAAATTTTCAAGACGTCAACTTAACTTGTAAAAATAACTTATCAAAGATCGATAAGAATACAAGAGATTTTTTATGGAAGCAGCAAACAGTCCCTTGATGGAACGTGACTACCGCCCATGAACCGTCACAAGCGCGTTGCCGCAGGCCTTTGACGAAGGAGTACCTACGCTCTTTTCTGAAGATTTGATTCATTCGGTATTGATCAAAAATTTTACACACCTTTTATCACAGGGAATTTAAATTGCTTCGGCCTATACTTATGCAAATTTAATATTATGTCCATACAATAGATTAATTCTTTATTAACTCTGTTCCCGATGACAGTGAATGTTATACGATCATCCTGTTCCATTAAGCTTTTCCTATCATTTTCTTTATATGTAAAGTTTTCCCCAGAATTGTGTCCGCGCTTGTATATATTATGTCCATTTTGATTTTGTTTCTTGGATACTATTATATTTTTAGATTTAAAGGTATCCCGGGGAAAAGACATTTTAAGAACCGGTATATTTGAAAACTTTCTGTTTTCCTAATTTTTGGATATTTGTTTCGATTTGCTTTTTTATTTTTTGTCGAATGCATCGAGTAGGCAAAGACATAGAGCGTGATGTGACTAGACAAGGCAAGTTGTGTTTAAAATAATGCCGAAAATACTGGAACTTCGATTTTTTCTAACAAACAACAAACAAAAATCGCATTTTTAAGACCAAGAACTTTGTATGGGATCACTCGTGTCTTTCTCTGCCAAACCGTAGCAAATTTGTAAGTTATTGATTCATATGCTTAAAAAATTAAAAAGTGCATATACGTGATATTGATATGTGTCTACTACAACATGATAACAGCGATGACACAAAATACAATGTTGCCTTGGCCCTAGTTACTCATTGGGAAAATGATTATTTATTTTAGGTTTTGTATTTAGGTAATTTAGGTATAAAATATGGCAGCCCTAGATGTAATGTCACAATGTAGATTTATTTCGTAGGGATGTATTGAAAAAGTATATCGATAAAATAGACAAAAAGACATTCATACTTTGTACAGCCGTCTTTAAATTCCTTATTTCCTTGTTGTTTGTCATGCTTATGTCTAGCATCAAGATGTCTGTACTATTATCTTCAATAGTCATAAGCATTAAGGCATTTAAAAAATAGATCAACTCATTTTATATAAATTTAAAACGATTTATTGTACATTTATTTGAACGAAGTCACTAAATTTAATAACTGTCACTCGCTGTCACTAATTTGTAGTGAGAACTTGATACTTGAGACGATTGTAAACAATATAAAGAAGTCAGATGAAATCTGTTTCATTTTTCATATGTTTTTGAAAACATGCTTAGTTTTTTAAATAAAAGTGTCGCGTTACTACCTAGTTAACGAGAAACAAAAATCGTGTAATGATTTGTTACTTGTTTCATGTCTAGAAAAATATCTCAACATGAACAACGATCACACTCAGACATTTTCAGTATTATGTGGAGAACTTTGCAATCTTCTTTACATTAAAGAGTACGACAAAGAAAAAGTTAATGGCCTTATAGACGAGTTGAACGCAAAGCCATACAAACTAGAATTATGTGTTCGGAAACATGTAAGTTTTATAGGTTATGCTAGAACTAAACATTTCGCTGTAACGTTATAATTGTTTATATTTTGCTTGATTATAATGGTTTTTTTTCCCATAGGATGCAACAACATTGATAACCGCTCTCTGTTTAAACGTAAAACCTGTGGATGAATTTTTGGCTGCTAAAACTTCTCATTTAATAAATAGTATTGTAACAAAACAGAATGTCCAATTTGGTCCAGATTATCTTTGGAAAGTGATGTCTTGGCATGTTGAATGTCTTAAGAAGTGTTCTGAGATTGTTTTGCCAGACATTTTACATAGTACTCAATGTATATTACAGTTTAATGTTGCAGCAGGTTCAAAGGTTTGTAAACATTCTCATATATAAATTTATTATTGTTTTACTTTAATCTCTTGATTTTAGCATGCTTATTTAAAAAAAATTTGCTGCCTTGTTCTCACCTTGAGCTGCCTAAGCAAAAAGTATATTAAAGTATATTACAAGTCTAAATTTGTAATATACTGCAAAGACTTTGAGGGGTGAGGAGGGGGTAAAAACCTCTGATAGTATTAGACAACTCTTAAAATCCCCTAATATTACTACAGCAATGATTGTTTTGGTGGCTCCGCTACTTTTATTGGCATAGTTTGAATATCTGCTAAAGAATGTTTGCACATAATATTCTTATCTCACATACAAAATTCTTACTAGTCTACATTTCTATTGTTTTTACGAAATAATAGGAATTGCTTATTATAGCAAAAAATATATAGTTGTATGTTTTTGTTGTATATGGCAACACTTATGTACAATTTACATATTTATTTAACAATATTTCATCTTCCAAAAATGGTTCATCATAGAACCATAAGTCTACGGGGCTTATGAATTTAGTTATTACAAGACTCAGTTTCTATCAGATGACCCATCTCCTCATTTTGCTCCTGTATTATATATGTAAAAAAATACAAATATGAATGTTTTTCATCTTTTGATAGTTTATTGAAGACTTAATTGGCAGTCGAGGAATACTCTTCAAGCTCCTTGACGAGAACAAGAGTGTGTTGACTACACAAAACTCTTTTCAAATACATTTGTTAGCATTGAAATGCATAATTTACCTCATAACTTCAACCGAAGACAGTAAAAGTGAATCCAATATCACAGCAGATATGAAAATACAGATCTCTGAAATAATTATTAAGTTTTTGATGAAAGGTTACTCAAAATCCCAGGATGAATTTTTGTATTGTAAAGTAAGTATAGTTTTTTTTAAATTTATGTATGTTGGATTTTACTTATTACATTTACTACTTGTTTTTATTTTCAGAAGATTTTTATAAGCATGTCACTATACTGGTCAAGTATAGTGACATACTTCTAAAAATCTAAATTAAATTAGTTGCTTTGTTACTCTCTTCATGCTTCATTTGAACAACTTTAAAAAAATATAGTTTTATTTAAAATATCATTATAGTATTTTTTAATAATAGAAGACTATCTAGGAGTCCTTAGGATTTGTAGTCCTAAAAATTTTTAGCATCAAACAATTTTGCAAATATAAAAATATAGTAATTTCTCAGAATAAACTGTATAGTAGAATAGTTTTTTATTCTTGATATCTTCTACCATTAATTGATTTATTAAGGCAAAGCTTTATATCATTTATATAATTTTTTAATTTTCAATTTCAGGTTGTAATATCGGCACTTAGAGTTTTATCACAACTATATTTCAATGATCCTAATATCAGCATACCTTTGCCAGAAATAATGGGCATATCTCGGTATTTTATTCTCTATGGTCTAGTAGTGCAAGGAAGTAGACCAGACAAGATCATGCCTGCACAACAAACCATAGCAATGCCTTCAGTTGTAAATAATGCCAATGCGAAAGGAGGAAAGGTAGATACTTTTTTTTAATACTCGTCCATATATTTATTAACATTTAAAAATTTGCTAATAAAACATGTGTTTATAAACTTAAATAGAACATTACTGTCATATGTTATATTATATATTCATTATGTTTTTAAATGTTAAGATTAGAGCTTAAATCCAGTGCGTGAGCATTGTTAATATAAGTGTGATAAACAATTCAATTATCTTTTTGTTTAATATTTCAGAAACAAAAACTAAGGAAACAAAGGAACAATGCTATTGAAAGCTTAAAAAAAGAGATACCAGTGTCGGACCGTAGTTTGATGAAAGATGTTGATAACTTTGAAAATAACTCGGCATACAAACCGGCCAGTAGAAACTATCTAGAAGCACAGAAAGCAAAAAACGAGTGGGCTTTGACGAGCGATTCTGATATGTCAGATGTGGAAAACAGTAGAGAAGTGAAACTTATTGCGTTAAAGTCCAGAGTGCGACAGAGTGCTTCGAATTTGCTATTGGTCTTAGTCAAGGTGAATAAGGCGCTTATAAGTTAATAGACTACGGTGTTATTTTTAATGTTCTTGAAATTGATAGATATAAAATGTTATGGCCTTCCAAGGTTGGAACACACAACACACTATTCTGTAACTGAGAACAGAAAGATTGTGACAGTATACTTCTTGAGTTGCCAACTCACATTTAATAAAAATAACTTTATTTCTCTCATAAGGTACAGTTGTATACAGTGTATCGTAATTACATGTTTTAAAATAAGCTCAGGCTCGAAAACTGACAGATCTCCAGAACTCTAATATACCTATTGCCTCCGTTCCACCCTTGATTTGTCTGTCAGGGGGCCTATTTCAAGGCCTTATTTCATATGTTGTTATATGGGTTTTATTTCATATGTCGTAATAGATACACATTATAATTTAAAAAAATAAAGGGTGTGTATTAATTTTCTCGCCAAATCAAGAAATTATTAAATTAAAATCTAAAATTAAAAATACTTCCATACAAGAAACGGATTTTTCGGAATACTCATTCAATCTGGTAGTATGGAAACCTTAGTGCGTAAATTTGACTGTAAAGTGTGTATTTTCACTATAATATATTATAATTGTTTAAGGTAAAGGAGAAAAGAGAAATATTTGGTTACTGGTGGGCACTATTGCCGGATTGCCCCGACGCCAGTAACTGGTCTGTCGGAGAGTCAGCTAAAAAGACCTTGGCATACTGCGCAGCCACTGATCCTATGGCGAGCAGCCGCGCCAGTGTGCTTAGCGTTATATTAGCATTACTGTCTGGCTCCAAAATGTACCTATCTCAGGCAGAGACCAGGTAAAATTTTGTTTTGTTTTTTTAGCATTTCAAATGACAGAACATACTTTTTTTATAATTTTATCGCATTCTTTTATAAATTAGCTAGAACTGTCCTTGGCTCGCACTACCTTAATTTTCGATTTTTAGTTGTTATATTGAGATCATCATTATCAATCATCAACAGCTTTAACTTGTCCACTGCTGGACATAGGCCTCTCTTTAAGAGGTTCTGGCCTACTATACCACGCTGGCCAGACGGGTTGGTATAGGGTTTGTTTCAAGTTTTCCTTCTCTTTGCAGTGCTGTTGTCCTGCAGAGTTTGCTCCCTTAGTCGCCTCTTACGACACCCACGGGATGAATAGGGGTGATGACACTCCGTATTCTTAATCCTTCACCACACAGACAAAGGATATATTGAGATAAACACAGGGTAAAATATATGTCATTAGGCTATGTAGCCGGTAGTGTTTATAAATCGTGGTCCACCTAATAATCCTTAATATTACATTATCCTGTTGGGGAATAGTCAGAGAACTATTGTTCTCTGACCATTAAGAACATTGCTACATAAAGACTTTTAAAAAGTAACGAAATTAGTTTAATTTATTTTTTTTATATGCTAAAATTCCGCTAAGATATTAGAAATGTTTTGAATGTCTTGTATGCCTGCAGAAAAATATTAGTCCATCCAAAATGCTATACTTTACTTTTGTACTTTATTCCATTTCCAGTAAAAAAGAAAGCACATCATTCATCCCTTTCTCAGAATCCCTTGGTTATATGATTATATGCATGCACAAGGTACTGCACAGTATACTGGAAAGCGAGCGAAGTCACGCGGTCATAATAGTCGCATTGAAATGTTGTGCTGCGCTTGTTCAAGCTACGCCTTACCACAAAATGAAGGAAGGGCTTATTACTGAGCTTGTTATGGCCACGAGAAAATTCTTGGTACATCGAGGTAAGGAAATAGACGCGAGCCTATAAAAACAAATGTCACTTGTTATCTTGAATTCTAACTTATAATTTTTGCCTATGTCAGTTTAAAATAGTGCTTTGGTATGTTTTTTGCTATAAAAATGCTCTGTAATTGTATCAATTCGAAAAATCCAGATTCCTTGTACCCTGTCTCTATAAACATAAAGGATCTAATTACTACTTTGCAAAAAGTTACGTACTATAAAGTGTTATATCTTAGTAATCTGTCTTGGAAGGGGCTTGTGGCTGTGTGGTAACACATTGAAAAGTTAAGCAACCCTGGTTAAACCAGTCTATGGATGGGTGACTATTCTTAACATGTTGAGACCCTTACGTTAAGCCGTCGGTCACTATTGCCATATGAACATCTGTGGCAATCGTTACGGGTAGCCTATATTATAGCCTATATAGCGGTATATTGCCTAAGTACGTGGGTTGTTTAGGTTTGATGGCAGTCGCTCCACGTAAAAAAATCTAGGTTCAGCCGTATTTTAGTAAATTTAAAAGCCGACCCAAGTTTTTGAGAAAAATTCTCAGAGGAAGAATCTGTCTTAAAAAAAATCCTCTTATTACCCGACTGCCCCAGAAAGAGGTTTATTTATTTATTATTTATTATATCTTTATTGTATACACTAATAGAAAAAAACAAAATAAAAGATGAGTTACAAATAAGTAAACGTAACAATCGGCGGTCTTATCGCTCACAGCGATCTCTTCCAGACAACCTTGACATGGATTTTAGGTATTTAACAATTTAGGGTAGTATACATACACGTAACACAATATCACGTGAATATTTAAAAATATTTACAAACATAAACAAACACATTCATACACAAATATACATCTATGGACATTACACATATACAAATACACATACATACATACACATATACCCATACATATTTGGAATATATAATATATTAAATAGGGAATCAGAACAGTATTTATAATGACAGATAAAAATCTTTTAATATTTTTTTAAAGACAGGCAAAGTTTTAGCTTGTCCGATTGTTTCAGGCAAGTTGTTCCAGAGTCTTACTGCTTGCACAGTGAAAGATTAGTCTGCAAACTGGGTGGAATGTTTTGGCATTTTTAGTTTTAAATTCTCCGATGACCTCAGGTCCCTTTTTTTTTTTCTTTTTTTTTTTTTTCCGTGCGGAAATCCCCTCGGATACCACCTGTCGGTGGCATGTCGGACTCGAACCGACTAAAACCAACCGCACGCCGTCGCCGGGTACTAATAGCCGGGGAACCAGGTATACCCTAGAAAGGAAGTCCCTGGTGCCCCGACATACCTCGGGTCATCTACAGACGAGTAGACGACCCCCCCCGTGTGGGAACCCCATGTTCCCTGTGCTCCCTGGAAGCGAGCGCGCTTCGCAACGCGCTCGCCGCCACCCCGGCCTGCTTCTGCTAGGGTGACAGATGGCCTCACCTGTCACCCCCACGCCTGCGCTTATGGAGGACGGAGGTCGTTCTGCGACCTCCGGCGCCTGAGTCGTCTGCGGTGCCTGGCCCGTTCCCGGGCCTGGCGGGCCGGGAGAGTCCTAAACCTCTCCCGGTCCCGCTCCGCCGTCTCCTTAACATAACTTGCTCGCAGAAGGAGACGGCAGAGTTCCACGCACTCTCGCTCCGCACGATAGCCGCAATCAGGCTATCGAGCGAGAGAACTCCCACTCCGATGGCCGCTACGAGGTCTCGCCTCTGCTCAACCCACGCCGGGCACTCTGCCAGCGTGTGGAGAGCCGTGTCCACGGTCTGGCCATCGCAGTGGTGGCACTCAGGCGTTGGCTCCTTGCGGATCAGACACAGGTGATCCCCGAAACATCGCTTCCCAGTGATCACCTGCGTCAATCGGTATGAGAGGGTCCCGTGACGCCTCTCGAGCCAATCCTCCATAACGGGTCTTACCGCCGCGATGACGGCGTGCCCGGCGGTCGGTTGCCCGAGTCGTTCCCTCCACTCCCCTATGATGACCTGGCGGAGTTGGGATTTCCGGTCATTGATTTCTCGAATCTCGGGGCATCGACCCAACTTCCGCGCCTCCTTGGACCTCAGGTCCCTGCAATGTGTGGTGTGTAGGAACTCAAAACGTTTTTTGAGATAAGAGGGTGTGTGAGGATGAAACAGAACACTGTATAAAAGAGAAAGAATATGGAGATTCCGGCGAAGGCGTATTGGTAGCCACTGGAGTTTGGAACGATACTCTGAGATACTTACTTTATGTTATCCGAGTGTATATAATAATATAATACCTATAGTATTCTACCACATTCACACAACTCTATCTAGTCCCAAGCTAAGCAGAGCTTGTACTATGAGTCAGACAACTGATATATACTTTTTTTTGTAAATACATACATATTATATATAGAAACACCTAGACCAAATCAAAAATTAAATGTTCATGCACACAAATTTTTGACTTGATCGGGAGTCGAACTTGCGGCCTTTCGCGTAGCAGTCCGTTACACAAACCACTACGCCATCGGATCGTCACGTATCTATGTATATTTATTCGGGTTTTTTGTTTTTTTTTCTTCAATAATAGGCTTGTTTTCAGATGTAACACTGCAAGTAGGAGCACTTATAACAATGGGGTGCGTCCTCTCTGTTGATCCTAAAGTGGACGAAGTTATTAAAGCAATTGAAAAAGATTCGGTGCCTTCTAAAATATCAACTAGTATGAGTTCATCTAAAGTAGCTTTCAGTAATGATACCCTCAAGTTTGACGTCGAAGAATGTGATGATTTTGAAGAAGGATACTCAGATGATGAGATGTTTACCGCCGTAGACAATAAGACTGAAAATAGCAAAGAGGCTGACACTATAGAAAGTCTTTGTTTTAGAAGCTGGATTTTAGACATATGTTTTAAGAATTTAGGATGGATTTTTAAAGGAAATGAAATTGTGGTAAGATAATTTATTTCAAATTTTAAACCTTAGGACCCTAAACTGAACATACTTGAGCTGGACTGGAAATGAAATCTCTGTAAACAAAGTAAATGTCATCTTTTTTAGGATTGCCATTATTACACAATTTCCTAGGTATAAAAATACATAATTTGCCAAAAGGTTATTAACACCTGCCTGTCATTGGTTGACAACAAACGGTTTGTTAGTGAATATTCCATATAGAATTTGGCAGAAGTGTACATTCATACAACCATATTTAGTGATAATGAAATGGCCTAATAAATACCGCCTCTCACGACGACAGTTAGAAGTTAATTTTCGCAGTGTTACACCACATTCGCAGTGTTACATCTTAATGTGTGAACTAGAAATTAGTAATCACCTACTCTATCAGCTATTTTACACAACATACATTACCCCCCTCTCACCCTGTTTCTAGGGCGGGGTTCTTGAGTTTTAGATGTCCATGAACGGTGGTAGATACCATCAGCTTGTTTGCCCACTATACCATAAAAAGAATAGTGACTTAATTTTTGAACCATAAGTTACCAAAACAAAATTAAATCATATGACTTGCAAAGCTAGATAACCCTAAAATGTTTATGTCACGATCCAACCTATTTAATCGGATTCAACCGGATTAATCTTAAAATATTTTGGCCGAACAGATAAAGTTCAATGTCTAACCTAGCATTTAAATAAACAATATTACTTGTTTTAACTGGTTCTTAAAGCAGTTCTGACCCGACTTAATGATAACACCAAAGTGTTGGCTTATGATGAGCACGTGTCGGTTTTATCTATGAGTATGAAAAATACTTTGTTATTGTATAATCACGCCTGCATTGATGGAGGAGTATGTAGTGATTCGGCACAAATGGGCCGGCCGTGACCGGAATTATACCACGACCTCACAGTAAACCGGTTTTAAACAATTCTGAATGAATAAGATTAATGGAGCTCAAACCCTCCCGCCCTCTGATTCTGGGGGGACTCAAAGGCTTGCAACGTGCTTATGACTCCTGAGTTGCGGCTATCCATGGACGGCAGTGGTCACTTCCATCAGAGGCCCTAATTCCCACAATAATATTCGACATTATATTTCAGCGCTGCAAACCCTCAGCCATACCAATAGTACTAGAGTCTCTTCAAGTTCTGTCTGCAGTGTCGTTTCACCACCTTCAAGATCTCTTACAACCTAACATTTTGCTACTGAGCGACATTCTCAGTGAGATGCTGCAGCATGAGCACCAAGATGTCGTGTTACAGTCTGCCAAAGTTATCAGTATAATTGGAGATGGAATACAAAAGCTGGGTAACTTTGGTTATAATTTTTTTGTTAACTTTTTTTAAATTAAATTAAATTAACCTATTGTAGATCAACTTTCGATTGATAATACTTTGAAAAGGTATGGTTTGGTTAAATTCTAGATCGGTTCCTATGTTATTTGCCTTCTAGAATTCTATGGTATACCCTATTACCATAGTGCCTTGCTCTATTAAAAGTATTCATATCAGTTATTGGTAAGAAAAAAAACACAAACAAAGTTCTAAAAGCTCTGGTGAGCCTGGTTTCACCTTTGTTACATATAAAAGCATTCCAAATTCTCTTTAATTCACATCACCATGATTTTTCATTTACAGACCAAGTTGATCAATCTCCACCGTTATCCCAGTGTGTTAAAATGTGGTCAAATCTTATAATTCCATTATCCAACGTACTGCAATGCCACGAAAATACACCAGTTAAAGCCATGGTGTGCGATTGTATCGCAAACATTGGAGAGAGAAGCTTTAAGGAATTGCCTGTAAGTTAAAATGTACATAATTATTATCCATACTTATATTAGAAATGTGAAAGTGAGTTTGTTTGTTAGTTACGCTTCCACGCCTAAACCTCTAAACCAACTAATAAATAAATATTAAAAATTCTTTCACCAATGGAAAGCTATTATCACCGACTAACATAGGCTACAACTTTACAACATAGGCAAAAGCTAGTATAGAACAATTATCATGATAATGACAAAAAATCAAAAACGTGGCATATAAATCTATTATCATATCTTAAAAGTATGACTATATTTTTTTTAAATAATCACTGCGTTTTTGGTTAAATCGTCAATACATTTGAATTATAAATAAAAACTTCTCATCGACGTGACGTTTCAAAATGAAATATTTGGTTATCTTGGTAATTAAAATGCTCTTTAAGTTAATCATAGTGTTAGCAAACCCCGCACAATCCTTCCTAAAAGGCAGGCAACGCGTTTGTGACTCCTGAGTTGCAGACGTTCATGGGCGGCGATAGTCACTTTCCATCAAGTGACCCGTCTGCTCGTCTGCCCCCTCTAACATAAAAAAAAGTCATAACGTTAAAACAGTAATTATATCCTTTTCATTCTCAACGGGGCAATATTTATCGGTCTTCTACAAATATGTAGGTCCTTTATCTATCATTAAATAGATCATGTTTGTTTTACAGAGACACCTACAGTTGCTGTGTTGCACGTTGCTGATAGGCTCGTGTAGCGATGTAGAGGCCATGGTACGTGCGGCCGCAGTCCGTGGACTCGCTATGCTAGTCATGTACCGAACCCTCAGAGAAGTTAGTATCTAAAATTTTTTAAACTCTTATTAGTATACAAGTAGTAGTAACCAGTTAGACTTACACCATGTTAATAGTTTGGTGGTAATTTGTGATGACTCCTTAGGCAGCCGTAGATACAGGAAAGAATAGAATACACCGTTAATTCTGATCCGGCGTTACGATTGATTTTCACCGATCATGGTCACGGTGCAATTCGATCGAAACGTCGCATAAAAGTATCTTATTAAAAAAATAACAGACAAGTTTTATACAGTTCTTGTGAAATACAGTTTAGTCGGTGATTATTACTGTGACATTATAAATTATTGATTTTATCCATATAAGGATAGTAAAATAAAAGGCTTATATGATAAGAAAACCATTTTTGCGGAAATCCTCTTGGATACCAGCCGCCGGTGGGGTAGTTATGTTGGACTCGAACCGACTAGAAACCGCGCACCGTCTCGGGTACCACTAGTCAAGGAAACCAAGTGTACCCTAGAAAGGAAAATGCCTGGTATCCTGACAGAAACAGAAAACCCTAAACACACTGAGAAAATATATTCCTTAAGTATAATACAGTACATAGATACACTTACGCCTTTATGAACGAGGTTAAAGGGTACGTAGAGACCTATTAAACACCTATATTTTGCTAACTATAATGTGATCCCACTCACTTAGTGGCCGCATATTGCCGTCAATAGGCCATTTTGTGAAACAAATGTAATATAATACACCTATATCAATACCAATATTATAAAGTTGAGTTGAGTTTGTATGTTTGGGGGTAATCTCCGGTGCTACTGCGCCTATTTTGAAAATTCTTCTAGAATTCTTTCACTGTTAGAAACATAGAGATATAACCTAGAGGGAACAAGAGCCCCAATCTTGCAATATAGGCATCGAGAGAGATGGATAATAGTTAGTCCCCTTTTGTTTCTAGTGAGCTCTGTGATTGGCTGGGGAATATGAGGGGTTTATTTATTTATTCATTAATAAGTACTACGACATCAAACATATTATACTTATAACTAGTTTTGACAATATGTGGTATATACCTGATATGTATGACAGTTACGGTGTACATAGCATTTACTGTAATGTAGTAGTGTAAAAAGTAGTAAACTAATAACAATCAAACGGCGAAAAATGTCAAACTAAACTAAAAATCACTAAAATTTTGTTTAGAACTGTCAAGTACCTAACGTTTTCAGAATCAGAAACGTTATTTGACAGGACAATTTATTTTTTAGAGATTTTTAGTTTAGTTTAGAGAGTTTTCGAACAACTATGTCTGGGATAAGAGTGAGGAACATTCACAGATATTTTTTCTAATAAATAATTTTACTGTATATTATTATTAATTAATTTATGAAGAAAACAAAGGTCAAAAATGCGTCTGCGATTAGAAAGAGTGGTCATGTTAAACTTGGATAGCCGTTTGTCATACGGGCTCCTATTAGAAAAACCACTGCAAGAGTAGGCAAGGTTTCTGGTGAAGGCTCTTTGAATGCTTTCAATTCTTTGGGAATGAACAGTGAACCATGGTGTCCATGCAGTACTTGCAAATTCGAGAATGCTGCGGACAAGAGCATTGTACAGAAGTAATTTGCTATCTAGTTTTTTAAAATATGAGCTATTTCTCCTCGAAAAACCAAGCATTTGTGCTGCCTTAGTTACAGTTTTGTCAATATGCGATGTATAAGTTAGCCCTGTATCGATGATTACGAATCTAATTGACTTCTGCTAAATAGACTCCGCCAACCTCATACTTAGTAACTAGTGGCTTTTTTTGCGGGTGTACTTGATATGAAAGCATTTAAACATTAAGCCTCATGCAGTTTACGTTGCACCAATCTAAATTGCTTAGCTAAACAGAGACAGAGGGAAATATCGGGCGTCTATCTCTCTCGTTGCCTGTATCACTTCCACTTACAGGGAGCTACACCCTGTGTTCTCTCTATGGTTCGAAAGGTATATTATCCCTGAGTGCTATAGACTATCTCTAACCGCAATAACTGACGTGAGGTATGTTACGAAAGGGTGTAGAGGTACAATATTATTTGTTTTTCAGGACATCGGTTTCGTGAGTGATTGTGGTGAAAACATTCTCAGAGCGTTAGCTGAGCCGACTCTTGTGGTTCGAATAAAAGGTGCCTGGGCACTCGGAAATCTAAGCGACGCTCTTGTTTTAAACATGTAAGTATATAGTGCGATAAGTGATCTGCATTGACAATATACATGTATTAATATTGTCCTTAAAATCAAATTGATTCTTAGCAATATGAATTCATATGAATGAAAATATATTATAGTCGATTATTGTAATTGTAACGCTCTTTAAATGATTACACAATAATTTATTGCAACCAATACCAACGCTACTATAATACATACGATTTATAGGTTATTATGTATTCATGTAATGCTCGTTTATAATAACTAGTGATGTGCCGGATATCCGTATCCGCGGATATCCAAGGGAGAAGAGAGATCCGTAACCGTATCCGTGACTTTTTTGGCGGATCTTTCAATACATATTACATAGATGAAATTCTATATAGGTGATTTTGTATTCACTGTAAAACTCTTAGGTATGTGTTTGTAACACTATACACAGCAACTTTTTTTCTGGCCAACGTCAAAATAAAAAAAAATCGGTCCTCCATTCAAATGACCAATCAAATGTTGTTAGTTTGTATGGAGAAACAATTTTTTTTCTTTCATTTTCGGTGTTAGTCCAAAAGAAAAGTTGTTGTTTATAATGTTACTAATATGCACTTCAGAGGTTTTCAGTAAATTTAAAATAACCCTGAATAATGGTTATTAGGTAGCTATGAAAAACTATTGAATTCTGTTCAGATTACTTTTTATTTCTTAAAACAAATATTTGGCACCTTTGTATTGCAATCATTTATCGTACTACACTAGATCAACTAGGCAGGTCGTAGGTACTGAAAGAGCTATCTTTATAATGAGATCAATCGAACATCTTTGTATTAGCTTATTAAAATAATGAAATATTTAAATACCAACGACAAAGCGTCAAGTGGTGACAACTATCAAGGTCACGGGCGATCCGCGTATCCGCGGATCTTGACACCAAATATCCGTATTCGGATCCGTATCTGCGGATATACTTTGTTAACGATCCGGCACATCACTAAAATAACATATGATCCCTACGTTTATACTAGCATCTTAGACGCAAATTTCTTCTTAAAAAGAAAAAAGAAATAAAATTGCTTAAATTTGCTTAATAGGGAGGAGCCTGATTCAGAGGAAATTGACGATGACCTCTTGGTACGCCTACTTGAGGTCAGCGTGCAGTGCGCACTGGATAACGATAAGGTAAAATGACAACATTTTTTTTTCTAAATATACATTACACTTTATCGTGGAAAATTTTCGTTCATTTTATTTACGCATTGTACAAACGGATATCATTCATGTTTTGCATGTTTTTTTGTTCTAGATATTGTTTGTGATAAATTGTTTATTGATTCCATTTGTGAGCGTTGATTGGATCGTAAAATGATATCGCTATTAGAATGGTTTTAAATAAAAAAACATATTCTACTGCGCTATTTAACAGACCTCTCAAAAAGGAAGAGGTTCTCAATTCGGCTGTATTTTATTATTTTTGCCTCGCACAACCAGTCTATGCAAAAGAATAAAAGTACTACCACCTGAAATCAGGTAGTAGCATCGACGCCGCTAGTCACTTACGATCGGGTGAACGGTATGCTTCATCAAAACCATTTAGTAGTCCAGTACTGGTCATAGGCCTCTCCTTAGAAAGGAGGTTTTGGCCTACTATACCACGCTGGCCAGACGGGTTGGTATAGGGATTGTTTCAAATTTTCCTTGTCTTGGCAGTGCTGTTGTTCTGCACAGTTTGCTCCCTCTGATAAATAGGGGTGGTGACACTCCGTATTCTTAATCCGTTACCACAAGGAAAATGGTATACTTGTATGCCCTAGCCTTAGATATCACAAAAAAATCACATGAACTTGCGTGTACAGTACTGACGCATGACGCGTCGATAGACTACTGTTCTATCACGTCGCGACGGCGTGAACGATCAGTCACGATTCAAAGTAGGGTAGATGAAAATCACAGGTCTGCCCTCAGTTCTCTTCATTTATCTGTCTACAAATGTAAATACGTGTAAATAAAAATATATGTGCATTACTAAACTATTCGCAGATATTGATATTTGAGGGTGTGTTAAAGACTCTTAATATAAGAGAGAGTAAGAGACCTTTTTGTTGTGTGTGTGTTTTTTTTTTCTTTTTGTATTAAACTAAACTTAACTTAACTTAAACTAAACTAAAATGTTTATTAAACAAATGTATAAAGGATTTTTCATTGTAACAATACTTGTAAACAAACAAATACTCTTTTACTTTTTGTGTCTTTGACATTGTTCTGAATCTTTCTGAATCATCAAACTTACGCTCGTAGCAACATCTTATCCAATTCTGACATTAATAAGTATTATTTACCTAATATTATTCTTATCAAACGTTTAAATTTAATACTTATTTTCTTTTTTTAGCTTGACCTATACATATCTCTATTTATGAATGTAACGGAATTTTCCAACAGTAATTTTACTGTTTAATAACCTAGAAATGTTAGCGAACTTAATAGATTATTTGATTATAATGAGTTATTAGACTTAAATTTTGTTTTAAAAATATGTAGTCCCCATATTCAAGTTAATAAGAACCGAAAATTTGATAAAAACATATTTCTAGCTATCTTGGTGTTTCAATTGAAATTTATATTACTATAGGGAGGGGGGGGGGGGGGGCAGGAAGATGCTAAAAATACCGATACCTACTACATTTTAATGTAGACTTCATTAAATAATTACTATTACATGAAACATTATTATCATCCATAACCATGACGATTTTGTAATACAGGTGAAAATGAGCGCGACACGCGGCCTCGGCAACCTACTACGACTGATAAAGAATGAGAAATTACTGAGAAACACTGAAATAAAAACCTTATGTGAATCCGCAATAATGAAGCTTTTGGATTGCGCTTGTAAGGTGAATAACATGAAGGTTCGGTGGAACGCTTGCTATGCTATGGGGAACGTTATGAAGAATGAGCAATTATTCACTTGCTTTAGTGGTTGGCAGGTAAGATAATTAGATATTTTTTTACGAAACACCAATCTGACTTACAATTGACTGCACGGATGGCGTAGTGGTTGGCGCCGAGTGTTGTGGGTTCAAACCCCACATGGGACAATACTTTGTGTGATCCACAAATTATTGTTCTGAGTCTGGGTGTTCTTTGTGTCCGTTTCATGTATGTTTGTGAAGTCCCCCGCGGCACAGGAATATATATTCCTAATGCGGGCGTTGTCTTTAAAAAAATAAATAAATAATTAAATGCTACATTTTTGCTATAGTTTGATCCCACATACTCATAATCATATGTATATGTATGTTCGGTCATTTATATTTCTAACATGGCTAACCCTTAGAGGCATAACAAGGTACAAGTAAATATCCTTATTTACTTGTCATTACCTTATGTACTTGTACTTGTGTTTGTTGGATAATTTTACATCACAAATGTATTCATATTCTTGCACTGAGTTGGAATGCAATAGAATCCTCGAGCGATGACATTACAATATCTTGACCGACGCGCCACAAAGATCTGAATGAATATGAGTAATTTTGTATGATAGGTAAACTATACGATAAATATACTATTTACAATTGCAAGCAATAAGTAGATGTTGAGTTTCGTAGCAGTGACGTAGCCGCAGTGATAACTGCGCATATAATTTTAACTAACGAGACGATCACGGACAAGGACATTGATAAGTAATTCACAAGGTAGTTGACACATATTGTAATACTTAAATGTAATACGTTAGAGAATTGAAACTACATGTATATACACAAAACATATAAAACCGGTTATAACCGCCCGTAAGTTTATACTACTTACTAAAAATGCCCGTCTTACCCTAGGTTCTTCTATTATTTGCGCATGATTTTACGTACCTGACAAGCTTCTCTCCACTATAACAAACGAATTCCCGCTAACGGGTTTTTGGTAATTCCGAATTTCTAATTTTTAGGGATTTGTCAATCGAACATTCTTTAAAATCTATGCGTTACCTTAAAATAAACTAATTTAAAAAAATAGATGAGACTTGATGGATAATTTTTCAAATCTCTGTTTATTCAGAATTTATTTTATTAATTTTTACCTCACAATATGCTGATCTTAACAATACACATTAGTGATGTGTCTTTATAGTTAATAGAATTGCTAATTACTTATTATAAAATAAGAAAATGACGGTTAATTCTGACGTTTAATGCATCTACATCTGTACAAATTATACTGAAATCTATGTAATTAAAATCCTAATAGCATGTTTGTAAAACCGCTATTGTAAAGTTTGTACTAATCGATTTTTAAATGAGATGTAATTGTTGCGTTCATTTATGGATAAGCTATCTTTATTACAAATAACTTATGAGTTATCATGCCTTAGTTTCATGGAGGGGGGGAGAGGGGGAGGCTCTCATAAATAGACCTGATTGAACTAGCTAGGAAAACCTAGTAATAAATTAATCTTGAAATCGTGGATAATAAAAGAAAAATAACGGGGGGTTCTATATGAAAAAGCTTAAGAACTTTGACTCTTCTTCTAACTTTATTCGTCAGTATTCATAACAGAACAAAAAACAAAAGTTTTTGAAATAGAAATGAATCCCACAGGACAAAGTATTCCCCAGTTTCTGCACACTGAGTCAAGATTGCAAAAACCTGAAGGTACGCATTACGGCCGCCACGGCGTTGCGTGCGCCGACTGCGCGGGCGCACTACGGCACTCACTATGTACCTGTCTGGAGAGCGATGCTCACTGCCATGGAAAATGCCGCACATGTTGATGATTACAATGAATATAAACATAAGGATAACCTCATTGAACAAGTAAGTGTAACTATTTTCGAAGTAGTCGTTCCCAAGGCAAGGTTCGATGTAACACAAATAATTAGCCGTTCAACATGATAAGGTTGCATCTGGGTACGTTATCGGAACGGAAACAGATATCCTAGAAATGTCTAATGAAAGTCTGTATTGTATTACTGTTTATCTTTTTGTCTGAGTCTTTTTTTATTATAGGTGTTTTGTTTAAGTAAATACATTTAATCAAAGTCGGAAATAGTTAATAGTCACAGGGAACTAAAATTATATCAATTCTACTTTAACAAAGTTCTACAATATAAAGAAAACTATTTTATTTATGTTCCTAAAATAAATATTATAGAACACGCTGCAAAAGTAAAATTACTGTTATTAGTTTGGTAGATGCATTGTTGAAATATATGAAAATAACTTTTAAATCTAGGACTAAAAGTAGCCTTTTAAATATGTTACTCACTAGTTTTGGAAATGTTCTTTACTAAATCAACTACTTGTATAATTATGTATGTATGTACGTGTGTACATACGTACGTACAATAGGCTGAGTCAGACTAGACAGCCTGCCACCAATACAACCTGGTTAAAATGGCAGGCAATTCAAAGGATGATCTTTCGTGATCCTATAAATTATTGTACTTAAAAAGTTATCCTACCAATGACATGGTATACTAACTACTATTTAATTAGTAACTAACAATTATTGTTTCAGTTATGCGTCACCCTTGCCCATTTATGCTGCTTGCTGACACAAGCGGACTTATCAGAAATTCTCGACCCGCTAGTGTTTCACTACGAGAGCGCTAAATCTCTTTTCACTCAAGTATGTCACAAACTGCCGCCTGAAAACGCGTCCTGCCTCAAGATATTACAAGCCGCTAAATACGTCACTGTAGACTTAACAGCGGCTAATGATACGCAGATGCAGACATTGAGCATGCTGCAAGATATATTTATATGGGACATGTAAAAACTTCTTCTGTGATTTTTATATTGGTACATACAATGGCATATATATGTATATACATATCGAAGCTATTGATAGGCATAAGCGTATTGAAAGTGATTATTTTCGTTTCGATTAGTTTCGCCAATTTTCGTAATAAAAGTTCGGTCAAAATTCAGTTTCGATTATCTCTCGAACTTGTTTATGGCGATGCAGAACTCGTAGTTGCTTGATAATTCGGTGTCTTCGTTAGATTGTATTGAAATATGTTTTTTCGTTGTATGTTGAAGTCGCCACAATAATGTCAAGTCATTTTGTACCACCCATCGCGACGGCAATTATTATGTACTTTCTGTCTTATATATTTAATGGCTAGTCAGCAAATGCACACGACAATAAAATCACGCGTGTGTGAGTATACTCGTAAGTAAAGAATTATATTAAAAAAATATTGTATTAAAATGAGTACCTACTTATTTTAATTTTAGATCAATTAATAATATAAGTTTCACTGATTAGCCATCTAAGTGTGACGTGTGAAACTGATATGAACTTTGTATTATATGTTTTTGTTAACCGACTTTCAATAGTAGGTTTTTAACTCTACTTTTTTATTGTGTGTGTGTGTGTGTGTGTGTTACATGATATCCTCGAAATTTGTGAACCAAACTCAAAATATCTTATTTCATAAAAAAAAGTTTGTAATCTTCTCTTATGTAGGGTCCAAAGTCAGATCAACACGCACAATTGCAACAATCTCTGTATTGTCAAATATTTAGCAAGATGAATACGTATCGAAAATCTATTATATAATTGTGCCGTGCCAATCTACAACCGCCCGTTTCCAAGAGGTTAATTAAGCCTTATGAGAAGCAACGGCAAACAAACTGACGTTATTTTCTTTTAAATTAAAGTGGTATTACTCTAGACTTGTAAAACTTGTAAAATTTGAAGAAAATATTATCGAAGGGACCACGATTAAACGAGGATGAATATAGTTTATTACAAAATATCATTAATTTAATTTACATCGTATTAATTTAGGCACTATATTGGTAACCTCTTTTGAGGTAATTAGTTATAAACAACGTATGCAAATGGCAAATAAGCAACGCAGTCCGTAATTATATCTTCCACATTTCTCTTGGTTAGAAGACTAAGGATTTTTTAAATTTAGTCCAATATTTGCTTTACGAAACAACTGACCTATGTAAATTAGTATCTACTACCTATAATGAATTTTCCATTATTCTTTGTTATAATGATAAGGATAATTTATTCTAATTTCGTTAAGTTACCCATAATTTATACCAAGGCAAAAATTCTCCAAGATTATTGAATATTCTACTAATTACTTTATATTGTGTGTTTTAACGCTCTTATCAGAGAAATATTATACTAATGTCTTTATACTTGAGTTCTGAAATAAATGGACTTTGCCCCACGGTGCAAACAAACCGTTTATCTAAACAGGTAAAGATGTACGTACATCTCTACCTGTTTAGATAACCGTTTTGTTCTAATATCCCATAAGTCATTCAAAAAGGGCTATAATATAGTTAAATGATCTTAAAGTCTTGTCAGATTTTATTGGATTGTCCAAATTGTGTTTTTTTTTTTGTTACAAGGTGTAATATTTAATCTAGTTCTATAGATAAGAGAGCAAACACTCAATAGCACTACTTACATCGTTAAATAAGCCGTAAGACTTCATTTAAAAATACGTTCTGAATACTACCATCATGATTTTTTCTAGATTTTTGAGCCAACATTTGCTCGTACCGGGGAAGGGCGGGAAGGGGTGGATAAATAAAAGTGCCTTTTGCAGCTTTCTAGGACGTGCCTTCTTGGAGCTTTCGGACACACGGACATGACGAAACTGTAAGGATTCATTGTTAGGTCTACGGAACGTTGAAAGTTTAAATACATCCCGAAAATTTTGCCTTTTCCATCCACCCTCTATAAATATAACGTCACGTAAAATTTTACTAAAGTCTTTAATTAATGCCTATTAAACTATCACTTTAATTACAAAATAAGTATTGCTTTCACTGAACTAATTATCTGCTTTGCTTAAAAAATTACTTAAATTGTCTTACGCAATATCTTTAGTGTTAAGAGAGTTGTTTATATTCTGTAGATAAAGTAAATAAGTAAATTATTTCTATTTTTATAGGTAATAAATATTATTTAACAAAATTTGTTTTATTGGTATAAAAAATCTTTTGGTATGTAACCGCTATGCATTTTGAAAAATCACAGTTGTATAACTTGTACAATCCGTTTTACACTCGCTTGTTTTAATAACAGTTTCATTGTTTGCCTCAAATTAGGTATCAAGTTCGTTGAGAACCTGTCACAAAGAGAACTGAGCTGAGATTATCGTAATACAATACTGCTTTCGTAAAACCTATCCGTTCTATAATGAGTTAAACAAGTATTTTATGGAAGTGACAGCAGGACTGTTCTTCATTTCTGGTAGTGTAAAAGCCAGTTTCAAGATTGTGACCAAGTAGAAACTACTAAATCCGCACGACATGAATAAATGTATTTCTTTCGTTATTGTTGGAGTCTGTTTAAATTTAATAAAGAATATTTTTCAATGTACATCGAATAACTTATCACCCATCAATTTATATTCCTCAGTTCTTTTTACATCAAATAAATTATTTCACTGCAAATAAACCAATTGTTTGAGAAAACTAGTACTAGGAATAATTTAAAAGTATATACCAACAGTGTATTATATTTTTCCTTCGAATGCGCGGTAAAAAATTTGCCGAATGTAGGAAAACATAATAATTTAATGTAGTAATGTAGGAAAATATATAAATAATAAAAAAAATTTCATATCAAATATACTATACAGTATATTTAACAAACGTATTACTCGCACAACAAAATAAATATTTTTGCAACCCATCTGGCCAACGTGGTATAGTAAGCCAATACCTATTTTTTAAGGTTTAAGACTACCCCGTCAGAAAAGAGCTGCTTCCAGAAAAGTAGGTCATTTTAGAACAGCGACCACACAAGAAAACGAATGGCTATTAGAAAGGAGCTGTATCCAGAATAGTAGTTTAGGTTATAAAAAGTGCCGCGTTCTGCCATTTTGGATTTTAAGTCAAAAAACTTTAATCCCCATTTAACCCACAATTTGTGCTGCATGTTAAATCATTTGAACCTAACCGTCACTTTAGCAGAGTGTGGCGTGACCTATCATTGTTTATGTATTCCTGGTCGAACACGTTCTTACCGATAACGATTTCATAATAACTTAGTACTAGTGGTGTTACCTTTATAAAGAACCTAATGTTTGATCGGCTATGTTAGCCACACACGAGTACACCAACGACAACTTGAACGGAGGACGGAACGGAATCGGTCGAGGAGGCTAGTAGTGGTAGTAATGTTTGAAAGATCTATTCTTTGGGTTATTTTCTTTTAAACGCGAGATAGAGAAATAACTGTTTATTTTCTAATAATATCTCGCAGACGATGAATACAAAAACAAGAACGTAGGCCATTAGCGGTGAGAAGTAATAGAAATGTCTACTCGCTTGCAGGTTTATTTGATAAAAGTTAAGATAACACTAAGGTGTCTTGCCAATCTGTACCTACGGTTTAATTAAGACGATAAATTATCAAAAAAAAACCTACTAAAACAGTGGGTAATGTATTGATGGCATTATTTTAAATGACGTTTAATTTTAATGATACTAATAGCTAATATTAACGTACATTTATATGAAAAGAGGCATAATACCGCATTAGAAACTAAAATTTCTTAATCTTGTAAATAAATTCAAGTCTCCATAATCTACGTTGATACCTACATATTGCACTAATATCTTGACAAATTTTGAGTAAAAATGTTTGGAACAATCAAAGAGTTCGTCAAAACAAATACACTTGCTAACTTCATTTTGAAATGAACATCAAAAAATACAGCTCTGATTTTAGATAAGATATGTACCTGCCTCTATTTTTAATTAACGTTGTGAAAAAAAAATGACGGAATATCCTTAAATATCTAGTACTTGACACAGTTACAAATAGGAGGACAAAACTAATGAAATTAATAATTTATTATCAGCTGAGATGATGACCTATCAACTAAGAGCCATCTAGACTAGGCACGCGATCATTAAATAATACCTAGAACAAGATAGAGAACATACAAATAAATAATAATTAGATGAGATTGAAACAACCACTATATCATACCATCTTGAAACTAACAGTAATTAAAGAAAGAAATCCGTCAAATGTCAGAAACATCTGAAAACCAATTTAATGGATTCTTCCCCATAATATCTAATTGTCTCCTTTGAATTTTATCGATTTAGTTTGAACTTGAAAAGCAGCAGTATAATTAGTGCTACCTATGTAATTTTTAATACATTGAGTGTTAATTTTTCATATCATTTTAATACATTTCTAAAAATATTTATCATAAAAAAATAGGCGAGTCAATAAGTCAATCTCGTTTTACTCTGCTCTTCGAAGTTCTTTGACAGTGACTCATATCGAGTCTCTCAAGTAAGCACTAACTTAGTTCAATAAAGTACCTAGTAGATAATAGTATTATGATGCGGTCGGTTATTTGATATATTTCATTTCTCAAAGTTCAAGTTACCTGTGGTCACAAACAACTTGATTCGCGAAATCATAAATTACAATTAGATTATTCCAGAAACAAAAACATGTTTACAAGGATTTATATAATGTACCTACTATTTTTAAAGTGTTTTATTAGTATAGGTATTATTTACTTCTTTTGTATTTTTATTTCGGTTATTGGTATATTTGTAGTGTTTTGATGTATATTGCGTCTAGTCTCGTGTTATAGTCATGCTTCGGCAAATATGGGCCTAAGGAATAAAAAATCCCCTTCCGTATGTATTTACATGTATTTATTATCACAATGTAGATATATACAAGATTACAAAAAGCAGAAACGATAATAATAGCGATAGATTGATTTTGTACAGGTAAGCTAGTTAATTCAACCACAATAATAT